CTTATTTCTGTTGTTTCTGGGTCAAATCTGATAGCTTTCTGTGGGCTGGATCAGAGACTTGGAATTCTTTTCACCTGGAGAAGCCCTGCAGGTGCACCACTGCAAAGCAAAAGATACCGAGTGAAGCAGGTGAAAACGGTGACGAAACTTGGGCAAATTTCCACTATACTTCCTGCCTCCTTTCCAGTTTTATACATCCAAATTGATTCTGGGTCTGCAAACATAGCCAACAGCTGCTCTTTTTTCCCTCTTTAATTCATGGGTGGACCACACATACAGTAGATGGGAAACTACTGTTAGTTCTTGAGAGGATTTACAGTACTTTTGAAAGGGTTTCTAGCTCCCTGTTTGTTTTACAATAGCAACCATAGAGCAGCTTACCCCACTTCAGTTAGGCTGCTGAAATGAAGCCAGCCAGCCAGGAGTAGACTTTGATGATAAAGGAGGATGAGCTCTATTCTGTTCTGGTTCCGGAAACAAATTCGTGGACTTAGAATGTGCTCTACATATAAAAGAATGTTAGAAAGAGGTTGGAAAAAGAATATTAGGTCGTTCTGGTAGATATGATATAATGGACTAAGCAAAAATGAGTTGATGAAATTAATGAATTAGAGGAGGTTTAATCACATTAATTTTAAAATACGTAAATGAAAATAAGGTTAGAAGGATTTGCTGGAAACACGATCTGAACTAGAATACAAAACTGGGAGGTGAGAGGAGGTCATGGAAATAAGTAAAGGGAAAAGGCTATGTAAAGGTTTAATCTGTTTTTGTTTTATTTTAACTCAATGTATTTTTATATTTTTTGTTAAGTCTTCTCTTTTATTGTATCTTATTGTTCTTTTTTACTTGTTTATTTCTTGCTTTGTTATGGTTAAAGATTTCTTTGTATTTTGCATGGTTTTTTCTTTTTCTTTTTTGTAACTTTAAATCTGGAATAAATATTATTAAAAAAAAAAAATAGGATGTGCTCTACAAGGGCATTCTGATCTTTCATTTTCACTCCTGGCTCTGGTTGGGGTTCAAGTCAAAACTAAAAAACAAAGTAGATTCAAGAAGAAGCCTGCTCACCGGTGTGTTCATCTTCAAACATTTTTCAAAGGAGCAAACGGAACAAATATACTTGGGGATTATTTATTTTTAAAAAAAAAAAAATATTGATTTTCCAAATTTATAAACAAACAAACACACATAAATCCTAACTGTAATTGTTCCACTATTATTAACATTGTTAGATGACTTCCTCAAATCCCCCTGGCTGAATTTCAATGTATATCATTGTAACAGTTTTCCAAGACTAATTTCTCATAAAATTTACTCAGTCAATTAACTTCTTCCTTACTTTTCATATAAACTTTAAACATATTATTATATAAAATCACATATTTAAATCCTAAGCCAATCTGGTATTTGCAAGTTTTTCTATTTAAATTATCTTAACATATTTAACTAAATATTCTTTAAATTTCATCCATTCTTCCTCCTCCTCCTCCTGGTCGCGGACTCTTCCGGTCAGGTCGGCTAGCTCCCAAAAGTCCATCATCTTCATCTGCCATTCCTCCACTGTTGGCACTTCTTGTGTTTTCCAATTCTTGGCCAACAAAATCCTTGCAGCAGTTGTGGCATACAAAAACAATCTAGCATCTTTCTTGGGCAATTCCAAACCTGTTATTCCAAGAAGAAAGGCTTCTGGTTTCTTAATAAATGTATATTTCAACATTTTTTTCAATTCATTATAAATCTTCTCCCAGAAGTCTTTCACCTTGGAGCAGGTCCACCACATATGATAAAAGGTACCTTCTTTTTCTTTACATTTCCAACATAGATTATCACTATTGTGATAAATCTTTGCTAAGGAGTTAAGTACCATCTAGACATCATTTTCATAATATTTTCCTTTAACACCGAACATGCAATGAACTTAACCTGTTTGGGGATTATTTAGAGAGATATATGGTGCCTCACATTGAGGCAAAGTGACAAGGCTTCATGACAACTCATTATGTGCTTTACATATCAGAAAACCAACCTCGGTGCAACATTTGGAGGGGGTTGGGATACATAAATAAAAGCCGGAGGGAAGCCTAAACAATCTTTGAACTTGTGGAGTAGCTCGTTCTCTCCCTGCTGCAGTCCTGACAACTGGAAAGAAAGTCAAGCCAAAGGTATAGATGAATTAGTGTCTCAATATCTGACCCCAGAGCACTTAGCTGGAGAGAGTCCAGGAGTGGGCAGGGACGAAGAACCAGAACTAAGAAAGTCCCAGTTGGAGACAAAGTGCAAGAAACCCTCTCAGAATGTCACCACAGCGCCCCTGTTAAAACCACTCTGGCAAGTAGCCATATCTTCAGTAACCACCCTAGCTGGAACTTTTTCCAAGCCAGCTCCGAGGGCCTTCTGGTGGTTCCATCTCTCCTATTAGTGAAGCTACAGGAAACCAGGCAGAGGGCCTTCTTGGTAGTGGTGCCCTCCCATCAGATGTCAAGGAAATAAACAACTATCTGACTTTTAGAAGACATCTGACAGCAGCCCTGTATCGGGAAGATTTTAATGTCTGATGTTTTATTGTGTTTTTAATATTTTGTTGGGAGCTGCCCAGAGTGACTGGGGAAACCCAGTCAGATGGGTGGCATATACCGTATTTTTTGCTCTATAAGACGCACTTTTTCCCTCCTAAAAGGGGGAAATGTGTGTGTGTCCTATGGAGTGAATGCAGGCTGCGCAGCTATCGCTGAAGCCAGAAGAGCAAGAGGGATCAGTGTGCAGCCATCCCTCTTGCTCTTCTGGCTTCAGGGATAGCCACGCAAAGCCTCTTGAGCGCAGCGGGAGCGCTCCTCCCTCTTCACTCAAGAGGCTTTGCATTGCTTTCTTGTTTCTTGTTTTCTTCCTCTAAAAACTAGGTGCGTCTTATGGCCAGGTGCGTCTTATGGAGCAAAAAATACAGTAAATGATAACATTCTTCTTCTTATAATTATTGCAGGGGCAGGATTGATCCTCCTAAAAATTACAGCTAGGGAAGGAAGATTGCTTGCCTCTCCAGTTGCACTCTTCAGACACATCTGGCCCACACCCCAACTGACCACTCCTCCATAAGGCTTAGGAGAAAATGGAAAACTCCAAGCCTAGTTGCTGGTGCAGAGAGTGAGCATACGTAAGGGTGCCATTTATGCAAATGTGTATGGTTGTAGTGCATGGTTTCTTCAGTTTGCAACTAAGCCCACAGGTCCCAAAAGTTTGGTGCCCCATGTCAGAGAGGCAAGTGGGAACTCCAGTGGTATTTCCCAGATGCCAAACTAACCCAGGAGTAGTCAGATGCGGTGAGACCTTACATGCCACAGCAAAATTGGAAGTGAACCAAGGCCAGAACTGTGTTCTGAGTTGCCTCACTTAGCCTCATCTGGAATACACGCCACAGCATTCAACGTCATTCCCAAACTCCAACAGTGAATCAGTCACATAGTTACACTTCGTTTTTTAATGTTCGATGCAACTTCTATGATTTATGGTCTTTCCTACTCCCTAGCGTGAGAAAGGCCTAAATTCTACCTGCTGAATCAACAGATAAAGAGATCTGGCTGTTATGCAATGTAACAAATAAAACTATAAAGTGCAAGGGAATGACTTTTAAGAGCTTTAGGAAATGTCTACTTGCGTGTACCGTGAGTAAGCAAGAGGAGAAACTTGTTTACGTAACCCAGGTCAGATCTAAAACTCTCTTTTCCTGGATGAACCAACAGCCACCATCCACTGCCTGTGGAATTTGACATTTATGCTGCCGTAATCCATCTGTTTACTGTGATGTACAATTGCTATATATATATATAAATACTGTGTAGATTAATAGCATTTTTAATGACTAAATAATTAGATCAACTGGTAAAAATTTATTAACTACGTATTCACCCAATGAACACTATCAAGAACTGTACTCAAGGGAAAACACAGCACTTGACAGCCTCCAGACTGCCTGTCTTGAAGAGCTGAATGTCCCTTCCTCCCTTGATGAGTCGAAGAACGGCATCAACTCGCAGGCATGAGAAAACCCCAGGACAGGATGGAATCCCAACAGAAGTGCTGAAAGTCAGCCTCAACTCCTCCCTCATAACATGGTCAGTTTACATTTATTAGTGCAGAAAGTGTGGATCTGATGTGTAGAGATCTTTCCTATTCTAATTAATTCAAGAGGGTTCTGGAAGCTTCTCTGCGTGAAAGAAACAAGCAGAAGGTTCATGATGTTTGGGTTATTCATTCAGAGAAGCTGAGTACAGCTGGCTTAAACTGCTTCTGTTACCTCTTCTGTCAAGGTCATACTGATTATAATAACAAGGCCAGAAGGAGCCTGGGTTTTCCCTTTCCCTTTCTCTTTTTCTTCTGGTGTGGTGTTCTGTATATAGTATGCTCAGTCGAAAGGTTTAGACTTATTATAAGTTATTGTAAGTTTAAGTTAAGTCTGCTGCAACTGGATTTCTTAGGGACAGGGCCAATCCTGGATGTACTGGATTTGTGACCATTATGCTCATTTGCCTTCAGTAGCAGTAAAGCTCTGCTGGATGGAATATAATTGCCTCTGGTCTATTTTTTGGGAATCCTGCAATGTGCTTAAGTTGTTACTCTGCTAACTCTACGTTGGAATCTACTCTGGTTCAATACTGAGTAGAATTCAATGACAGACATACATCCACAGCCTCCTCTTGCAGTTTTGGGAACAAGACATGTGCAACTCCACTATTGTGAACCTCTGCAAGAAAGGGCCTGATTCAGAGGTAAAGAGCAGGTTTTTCTGGGGGAAAGCAGTGGGGCAAGTGGAAATGAGGTTGAGCCCATAGTCACAAGGGAACCTAGTTTAGTTTGCATCAGCTCACGTGTAATATAAAGCCACCAGAAGGAAAGGCAGTGAGGCAATGCCTCTGGGGAGATGAGAAAGGACCAAGACAGACATAGCCAAAGCCATCTCTTGATTTGCAGACCACGGGCGAAACAAACCACAAATTTGAGAGAAATGAAAGTAATATATTGAAGTTCATATTTTATTGTTTTAAGTACCCAGTAACAAGACAATAACAAATATTTTCATATTACAACACAGATCCAGAGGAGATTCTCCAAGTATCAGAAAAGACGCATACAAAATTGCTTTCTGTATAAAACTGAATAAGCCAGTGCTATTGTATTTATGAACAAAATATTTAAAAAGATATATCTAAAAATATAGTACCGGCTTCTTTTTGCTTCATTGTAAATACTTTTAAAATACAATTGTAAAATACATTGTGCTTATTTTACTCACGCAGTTTTAAACAAGTACTAATTAAAACTAACATAAAACTTGATTAATCAAGGATAGGAGTTTTAGTAATCCCTTAGTATTATACAAACATTTGAAGGTGGGTTGTGAAGTAGCTATTAAGAAAGAAAGCAGCTCTACTAGGTTCTCACTTGTAGGTTTCACATATTGTAGACAATTGAAAAATGGACTTGTTTATTATAGATGCAGCCACCATTGGATAAGTAATCTCTCTGATAAACGAAAAGCTGTTGAAAAAAATTACTGCAAACAGAATCATATACAAATTTAGTTTAGCTCCTACTAATCCACTGTGAAAACTGCTTTAACTCATTATAGCAATGATGGTTATTTATAGTTTTGACAGAAACAAGGAAAGCAATTAGACAATTTGGACCAGAGTTGAGAATTCAAGAGACTAGATGCTTCGAAATTTCTGACCCAGCAGATGCAAGAAGAAATCCCAATATGGCACCTAAGCACAGAAAGTTTGGCTATCAAAACGATTCTCAAAAGGATCGTAGAGTTGGAAGGGACCAGGAGGGTCATTTAACCCAACTCCCTGCAATACAGGAATCTTTCACCCAATGTCGGGCTCAAACCCACGTCCCTGAGATTAATAGTCTCATGCTCTACCAACTGAGCTATCCGGTACACCTGCCAGATCAGAACGCATCCATCCCCAACTAAAGAGCCAGTGTGGTGTGGTGTAGTGGTTAAGAGCAGTAGACTCGTAATCTGGGGAACCGGGTTCACGTCCCCGCTCCTCCACATGCAGCTGCTGGGTGACCTTGGGCCAGTCACACTTCTTGAAGTCTCTCAGCCCCACTCACCTCACAGAGTGTTTGTTGTGGGGGAGGAAGGGAAAGGAGATTGTTAGCTGCTTTGAGACTCCTTCGGGTAGTGATAAAGCGGGATATCAAATCCAAACGCTTCTTCTTCTTCTAAATCATAGAAAGGGGTTATATTAGACTTCTCACCATGGAAGGCTTAAGTCATTTGTTTTTCAGGATCAATGCTTGAAATTAGCAGGTAGTTGCTACCAAAGGGCTCTCACAAACTAACAGTAGCCATTATCATGGTTGAAAGTTAAATTCCAGGTAGGGAAAAGCACTCAAAGAGAACGCAGAGCAGGGTTGCTGGTGAGGGACTTGGTTTGGGGGGTCTCAATGGAAGACCACATCAACGTGGCTGACATCAGGAATGGGTCGCACCCAGACGTTTGGACCTTGCATTCATTTGGACTGGATTCATTTGATTCTGACTTCCACAAAGCAGCTTACAGTCTTAAATAAATAAATAAAAACAAGGAACACGACAGAGCAATTCAAATATGTTCTGCTCGATGACAAGCCTTTTGTCTCTTTGATTGCTTGGCCTTTTGGCTTCGATAAAGTGCTGCCTCTCCGAACTCCGGGTATCTATGCAAAAAGTGTGCTCTGGCCATGAAAGCTTATGACACAATAACATTGTTCGGCTGAGATTTAACAGCCCAGTGGCACCTTGGGAGACGAACCAGAATCATTAGCCATTAGCTGAAATTCTGACAGTAAAAGCAAATTAACACAAAAGACCACGGTTGAATTCAGACAAACAATTAAGAAGTTATGGATATGGTGATAAAGTCATCATGGGTAAAATTTACCTTTACTGACAGAATTTCTTGAATGTGTTGATTTATGCCAACAATCGGGCTTGCGTGAAATAACTACAGTGGTACCTCAGGTTACATACGCTTCAGGTTACAGACTCCGCTAACCCAGAAATATTACCTCCGGTTAAGAACTTTGCTTCAGGATGAGAACAGAAATCGTGCTCCGGTGGCACGGCAGCAACAGGAGGCCCCATTAGCTAAAGTGGTGCTTCAGGTTAAGAACAGTTTCAGGTTAAGAACAGACCTCCAGAACGAATTAAGTACTTAACCCGAGGTACCACTGTACAATCATCAAGTGTGGGGGGGAAGGTGTATATGAATTCACCCTCGTTTTGCAGAACTGGGGTGCAGTGCTATTAATTGATGCCTATGGACACTGCATTATGCATCTTTGTGGGAAAACAAAGGAGACAGCTAGACATAAAATATCCAACCAAAGCATAATGAAAAACCTTATTTACAGTAGTTATGGGAATGTCTGGGAAAGTCAGCCCACTGCGAAGAGCAAATCAGCTAGATCATGCACATATAAAAGGATGTCACATAGAGGAGGGAGAAAGGTTGTTTTCTGCTGCTCCAGAGAAGCGGACACGGAGCAATGGATCCAAACTACTAGAAAGAAGATTCCACCTAAACATTAGGAAGAACTTCCTGACAGTAAGAGCTGTTCGACAGTGGAATTTGCTGCCAAGGAGTGTGGTGGAGTCTCCTTCTTTGGAGGTCTTTAAGCAGAGGCTTGACAACCATATGTCAGGAGTGCTCTGATGGTGTTTCCTGCTTGGCAGGGGGTTGGATTCGATGGCCCTTGTGGTCTCTTCCAACTCTATGATTCTATGATTTTGCTCATAGATCACTGTGAGCTCTCTGGTGAAGAGGACTCGTGGTCAACTGCAGAGAACTGGTCCACCATATTTCAACCTATCCTGAAAACAAAGTTCTAAAATATGACACTTTAATTAGCCCTTAGTCCTTTTCTCAAAGGCACTGTTTCTTTGTTTTCCGAGGTTTGAAACAAGGCTTTGTAAGTAACCAGGAAGGAACATCTCTTTTGCTTGCAGTATAACCTTATTGCTGCCCAATGTATTACCTGCCGTTGATACTGAAAACATCTTCAGCATGCGAAAGGGCTCTGTGGCCCTTCCAGAACGTGTATCATCCAACTCCAGGCAAATACTAGCATCACATTGCCTCACGACATCCAAGGTGCTAATGGCAGAGCCATGTAGTTAACTCTTCAAAGCTTCAAGTAGTGAAAAAAGAGAGAAGCTTTCAGCAGCAAGTGTCTCATTCTAGGTATGCATGAGCAGTGCCTTACACACACAGCCTTAGAACAACCTAAACATTCAACCAATCAGATACAAATAAAAGACTTGCATATTCCAACAGTGGCATGGGGCTACATAGAAATGGTAGTATAAAGGACCCCTGGATGGTTAAGTCCAGTCAAAGGCGACTATGGGGTTGCGGCGCTCATCTCGCTTTCAGGCTGAGGGAGCTGGCGTTTGTCCACAGACAGCTTTCCAGGTCATGTGGCCAGCAGAACTAAACCACTTCTGGTACAACGGAAACCAGAGCGCACGGAAACACTGTTTACCTTCCTGCCGCAGTGGTACCTATTTATCTACTTGCGCCAGTGTGCTTTCGAACTGCTAGGTTGGCAGGAGCTGGGACAGAGCAATGGGAGCTCACCCCATCATGGGGATTTGAACCGCTGACCTTCTGATCGGCAAGCCCAAGAGGCTCAGTGGTTTAGACCACAGCGCCACCCGCGTTCAGTATGATAGAAGGGGGGAAGACTATAGTGCCATTCAGATGTTATGCCCCACAGTGTGAGGGAGGAATGGGGGTCATGGTTACTGGCCCAATCTGCATTCCTCCACCCTGTCCACACATTGAGGAGAAGGTCTGAAGTGGCCAGCCTGCTCCACATGTGTACGATCCCTCTAAGGTTTAGAACCCTTTGCGACCAAAGTTCAAAATTATGTCAGAAGCCAGCATGAATGGAACAGGCTCCCCACTGCAGACTATCCCCTAAAACCTGTGGACAGTTACAGGGGTGACAGGGGTCCAATGCGATGGAGTGGGTCCAGTCATCTGGGCCCTGGTTTCCCCCTCATGTGATTCTAATCCAGGCATGGGCAAACCCGGCTCTCCAGATGTTTTGGGACTACAATTCCCATTACCCCTAGCCACTGGTCCTGTTAGCTAGGGATGATGGGAGCTGTAGTCCCAAAACATCTGGAGGGCCGAGTTTGCCCATGCCTGTTCTAATCCCATGAAGGAAGGATGCACGAAATGGTTTCATGTAGCAAATTGAGGCAGTTAGCAAGTAGGAAGAAATCACTTTATGGAGATTTTCTTTTTGTTGCTCTTTTGCACGCTACAATATTACCGCAGAAGACAAGCGAAAGGGTTGTAGATAAAGTGCTTTCTGTGCCCCCATCTGAGTGACATTTCAGACCCCATCCCAGAATTTTCAACCTTGCTTGAAAAAAGAAAAGAAAAAGTCTAGCTCGTTTACCAACCAAGTTAAAGAGTAACAAGAAACAATATTCAGCCGTATCTACATATATGTATATGTAATAAAAAATAAACAGTAACATTTTAAAGAAGCCAATTATATTCCCACTGGTGCTAATGTACGAGTGAACTGGCATTTTGTACACAGAGCACATTAGCATGAACTCATCGTCAGACAACGGTATCAAAATTTTCTAGCGCTTATTGCTGCACATTTGTGTAGTAACATGAGCTTAGGATATTGTCATGACTGTAAGATAACTCCGTGCCATTTTAAAGTCTATAAAATGCCCACATTGTGTTTCTGCACTGTTTATACCAGAAGCAATTTTCTTCATCATGATGTCTGTCCGACCAATCCAGGAAGACTCTGCTTTGGGTGATAAGCCTGCAATGTGTTATCCCTATGTGTGGTTGTTGCTTTGTGTCTTGTTGAAGTATCTCCTCGCCTCGACGCTGCTGAGGGACACAGAGCAGCGCGACGGGTTCTGTCTTCTGTACTCAATACTGTCCGCTATTGCTTGCTTGACTATCTGCAAAACAGAAGCAAAACAACATTGAACTCATTAGTAGCCACTTCTTCCGCAAGTCCCCACATGCGAAGTGGATGTGAAGTGCTTGTTTACGCACTTCAAAGCGTGTAAACATGCCACAGAAGAAACTAACTAACAACCAAAGGTCATCAGATGCAGATGCTATTTGTCTTCTTTGCATAACCTGGAAAACCAGGTAATAAACATGCATTCCCTCCCCTTTCTTCAAATGGCAGGTGGATTTGCATGCCTTCGGTACATTTTTATCCATGAAAACTGTTTAAATGTTTTAAAGCAAGTCTTCTCTAAACTGGTGACTGGGAGCAGTGCCAGGACCATATAACACTGGTCCTGAAAGACCTGCATTGGCTCCCAGTACATTTCCAAACACAATTCAAAGTGTTGGTGATGACCTTTAAAGCCCTAAACAGCCTGGTCCTTTATACCTGAAGGAGCGTCTCCACCCGCATCATTCAGCTTAGACATGGAGGTCCAGCTCTGAGGACCTTCTGGTGGTTTCCTCAATGCAAGAAGTGAAGTTACAGGAAACCAGGCAGAGGGCCTTCTCAGTAGTGACACCCGCCCATCAGATGTCAAGGAAATAAACAACTATCTGACTTTTAGAAGACATCTGAAGGCAACCCTTCAGTTTTTAATGTTTGATATTTTATTATGTTTCTGTATATGCTGGAAGCCACCCAGAGTGGCTGGGGAAACCCAGTCAGATGGGTGGCATATAAATAATAAAATTATTATTATTAGCCTGAAATTATCATCCTGCAGCAGAGCTGGTGAACTCATGGGAGAGATTTATTCTCCAGACAGCAGCTGCACAAGACTCACTAGTAATTAGGTTCTGAAAGTAAGCCGACCCTATGTAACTGTAAGGGTTTCACCACTGGAAATATGTATTCTCAGGATAGCAATTTACACACACACACACACACACACACACACACACACACACGTGAGCATGCATACCTACATACAGGTAGATTGTATACCTGATTGTATACAATAGGAAAAAAATATTTGCATTAGCATAGACAAACTATGTTGATGTTTCTGATGAAAATTTTATCCATTTAAACTTGGAATGGATCTCTTGCTCTTAATGCAACCAAGCAATTTTGATCCTTATTTGTATTTTCACAGAAGAAATACAGAATTAAATTTAGCCAGTAGGTGGCATATTTTGATCACATTCTAACTGTCCATTTGGGCATCTACAGCAGAAAAAAAACACCACTACGTTCATTTAATTAAGTTGTTAGCAAAAACAAGAAACAAACCATACATCTAATATTAAACTCTAGTCTTCTGCATAGTAATACCCATTCAGTCTTTAATATAATACCGGAAGTACAGCAATCATTTAAGTTGTGATATTATACTTAAATATTATTAAGGAGTGCTTAAATATTTTTCCTACCCCATAAACACGGCTGATAGGAAGCTCTATTTATTTTTATTTATCTACTTTCTTTATTAATTTTGTATGCTGCCCTTCTTCTTAGGATCACAGGATCTATAGTGTGATTGCTACACTGTGCGGGATTAATTAGGACTGCAGCAAACTTATTTCCCATCAGCGTAACAAACCGCCCAACACACAGTGCCTCTACTTTCTGCCAAGAGAGCTTCATGGTATCACAAAAGTAGGAAGTATGTACAGTCCTCAGATTCTAATTTAGTTTTGTCTCTCGACACCTTTTCATAGGGCAGAGTCTCTTCCATATGATCAGAAAAACCCCTTTTCTTTCACAACAGTTCCATTGTGCTGCCATACTCCATCAGATCACACATTTTACTGTGAGAAGGAATGACTGCTAGCCTTTCAAACCAAATTTGGCTTCCCCCCCCCCCCACATGAGATACTTTACACGGTGATGCCAAATAGAAACCTGTCATTTGAGTCTTCAATACCCAAATCTGCCTGCAGAACCCGGTGTACAGAGCGGATTCCAGGAACCCTTTGAACACAGCTAAGGCATAACCCCGCTCTTAAAAGTATTCTGGCAATTCCTTTGTATCACATTCATTGGCTGTGTTTTCTTTGTGAAATACAAATAATAAAAAAAACAGCTCTTGAAAGCGATAAGCAGCCCTCTTAAGAATAAACAGAAATCAGAGGATTGTGGCACCACACCCATAAACATCTGCACGCAGAGAGTGGAAAAGTCATTAAGAACCACCACTTCACTTCCACAAAGCAACCGAAGCATCTTTGAATTGAAGCAAGTTGTGCATTAAACATACATTTAAGTTGTTCAGGGTATTAAACTCCATTAGATCGTGCAGTCTGCAGAAGGCCTCATTTGGGTACTGGAAGTTGAAGGTGGAGAACGGTGTATCAGGATCATCAAAAACATCAAACTCAGCAAAATCTTTCTCTTCTTGAGTTTCCCTTGGAACACCTGTTAAGTAGACCACAATGGAAGTAGGCATTTTAAAGGGCAAACTGTTCAGTTGATATACCACAGTTTAATATCTATTTAGTAAAAGTAAGTTAGTAAGTAAGCCAATTTGAGTCCCAGTCTGGGGGAAATGAGAAATAATGGTGTTGTTGATTATGATGATGAGGTGAGAAAAAACCATGCACATGATTAAGAGAAAAGACACACACAGAGAAAGATTAAACTGTACTGTAACTGTATCCTTAGATAACATAGGATTAATTTTGTGTTGTCATTTTAGCCTACTGACCTGGCGCTTTGTATTCTCTAAAATTTATATTGGCTAAAACAAAGTGGATAATTGTTGGACAGTCTATGTCAGAAGAAGGATTCTTGGGTTTGAAGACGTAGCACTCCTTTAAGCCTTCGCGATCAAAAACATTTGGGTCTATTTTGGGGAAAGGAAGGTTGTTCATTTTCGCCCATTTTTCAGCAAGTAAAATTTCCTAGAAGAAAGCAAAAAAACCAAAACAAAACAAAACAATGAGAAAAGGAAGGCTGGGACAGGCAGAAATGACATTATATGTGGACACCTTAGTTATAAATAATGGAAAGAGAATACAGGCAAACCTCCATTTAGGTGGAGGGTTATGTTCCAAGTCACTGCGCATCGGCGGAGCATGCATAATAATAATTTATTATTTGTACCCCGCCTGTCTGGCTGGGTTTCCCCAGCCACTCTGGGCGGCTTCCAACAAAGATTAAAAATACATCAAAATGTCACACATTAAAAACTTCCCTGAACAGGGCTGCCTTCAGATGTTTTCTAAATGTCAGGTAGTTATTTATCTCTTTGATATCTGATGGGAGGGCGTTCCACAGGGCGGGTGCCACTACCGAGAAAGCCCTCTGCCTGGTTCCCTGTAGCTTTGCTTCTTGCAGTGAAGGAACCGCAAGAAGGCCCTCGGCACTGGACCTCAGCGTCCGGGCAGAATGATGGGGGTGGAGATGCTCCTTCAGCCTGTTCTGCTCTCTTCCGGTGCCAAGCATGACACATGCGTGCATGGTTCTGCATGCATCAAATGCACACCAATTTAGAGTTGCCATTTATATTTATACAAGAATACCATGTAAGCATGCTGGCAGCAAGATAATGGACCAGTTCCCATGTTTGCCTGGCAGACTCATGGCGTTGTTGAACTGTCACCAAAAATGGCAGCTCCATGTTCACATATTGGGTTGAGTCCAAGGATATTGGTAGAGCATGAGACTCTCAATCTCAGGTTCGTGGGTTCGAGCCCCTGGTTGGGCAAAAGATTTTGGCATTGCAGGGGGTTGGACTAGATGACCCTCGTGGTCCCCTCCAACTCTACAATTCTATGATTCTATGTAGTTGCACAAGGGGGGGATGATTTCTGATTGTGCAACAGGACTGCTCCTCCCTCAGCTCCTCCCTAATCTGTAGAGCAGGGGTCAGCAAACTTTTTCAGCAGACCTTGTCCCTCAGACCTTGTGTGGGGCCAGACTATATTTTTTTTGAGGGAGGCGGTTGAACGAATTCCTATGCCCCACAAATCACCCAGAGGTGCATTTTAAATAAAAGCACACATTCTACTTGTGTAAAAACACCAGGCAGGCCCCACAAATAACCCAGAGATGCATTTGAAATAAAAGGACACATTCTACTCATGTTAAAACACACTGATTCCTGGACCACCCATGGGCAGGATTTAGAAGGCGATTGGGCCGGATCCATCCCCCGGGCCTTAGTTTGCCTACCCATGCTGTAGGGCATATTTGGGTGTGTACAGTTGGTGGGGGCGCAAGGTGGGAGGGGAGTAGAGGGAGAGAAAATTCCATTGCGTGAGCAGAAGCTGTTCCATTTGCACAAGGACTTCATGTAAAACAACCTATCATCATTTGTGTGAGGGGGAAAAAATTCTTATTTAGCACTTCCTCTGCATGAATTGCAATATCCAGGATTTCTCACCTTGAAAGGAGGGCTAGAATCACTGGGACGTGCCGAAAAATCAAATGAGATGATAAGGTCAACTCCTCGTTGTGGTCTTAGGATAATTGGGTATGGCAGATTAAATGTAAGCCCGCTATCCACAATGTGAATCTTTTTGCTCTTCACATCCAATGGCTCCATTATCCTGTCAAACTCATCAGGATCTGGGCAGAATGAGACAGACAATGCCATTTGTTGACAAACACAATTCAAAACAGAATTATTTTCCCTCCCCACAATAATGTTTATTAATTTTCATACAAAAGCATAACATAACAAAAAAAAGAATAAACAATAATAAAAGAAAAAGAAAAAGTAAAGAACATAAAATACTTCCCACATCCCATATACTACCACATACACTAAAACTTAATTAGTTAATTAAGATCCATCTTCATAAACATATTACTTGACTTCGTCTAATCTCTTCCATCTGAATTTCCTTGTAATTAAATGTAGCAGTTTCCAATATCATTATTTCATATAACAATATTCCGGTCATGATCAAATTTCCAGACTCTTCTTATTGTACATTTTCTTTATTATTTATTTAATCCTAATTTTATCCTAGGCCTAATTTGTTCTTTCAAGTGATTACATATCTTTAATATTACAATATTTATTCAAATAGTCTTTAAATTTCCTCCAATCTCAAAACAGAATTCTCATCTATATCTGTATCTCAGATCTCAAAATATTTGAAATGCTAATTTAAAATAATTTAACTATATTAAATGCATGGTATGAGCTATCTTCTAATGCTAAGCAAATATTGAAAAACCCTCTATGGGGTTATTCAAGCAAATATGGTTTATGAAGCTTTGGGTGATTGTCTGAAACAGACTATCACGTTTTCATTTCTAATATGTTTATAGAGCCTTGAAACTTGAGCCTTCTGAACCACGCCACAGTCAACAGGCCACCCAAAAGCACATACTGACCTCATGTGTGTAGCTAGAAAATTGTGTAAAGATCTACTCAAAGCCTAAAGCTGCCATCCAGTATATTTTCCCTACTATTTTTCAGCATTCTACTGTTTAAGATGGATGTCCACTTTTATTATTTCTTCAAATATTAGGATTAGATAGTTATAAACATCTGTAATAAGTTTAAAAAAATATTTAGCAGAGCACAGATGGAAATGATGAGACAGCCACTTAAAAGAAGCATGTGCTTTTCTGCATGTTCCTGAGTTATTTGAATGTTTAGGCTCACTTGGGCGAATGTCCCACTGAACAGAGATATAAAAGGTTGCACTGTTGCAAAATCTGAGCACAATTGCACGATGGAGGGAAATTCCATCTTACCTAATGACTTTTAAAAGAAGGCATAATGGTTGTTATTTTGAGATACTCTGCAGTGATGTGGCTCTAAGCATGAATGATGTAATATGGAGATCCGTGACTACAAACTTCCTAAGTTATGCACCTAAATGGCTTAGTTCCCCATTCAGACTTCAATTATCTTAATGTGGTAAGTCTTAGCGGTGAAAACTGGTAAACACTGTGCCACAGAATGTCTAGTTCTATTTCCAGTGACCTGGGGGCAGTTCGTACATTCACTGAAAATGGACTCTTAACCATTTAAAAGAGAGCAATTTCTTTTACTATTTGGTAAAAAAATAATGCATTATTGCCAACAGGGACCAGCCACATGCATCTGTGGAGCTCAGAAGCAGTGGCCACTCCCTCATGTCTCGATTAGGCATATTCCCTGTGAAGAAGAAAAGGAGTTTGGATTTGATATCCCGCTTTATCACTACCTGAAGGAGTCTCAAAGCAGCTAACATTCTCCTTTCCCTTCCTCCCCCACAACAAACTCTGTGAGGTGAGTGAGGCTGAGAGACTTCAGAGAAGTGTGACTGGCCCAAGGTCACCCAGCAGCTGCATCTGGAGGAGCAGGGAAGCGAACCCGGTTCACCAGATTACGAATCTACTGCTCTTAACCACTACACCACACTGGCTCCATGTATTTACAATGGATAATAGCTATTGATAGAAAAGTAAGGCACTCTTTCTCCAATTGCAGGGGGTTGCTTGGGAGTTGCGCCAGCTGAAGTGAGAATTATATCCCTAGACCAGGGTGGGGAATATCCCCTACCAAAGGGCTGCATTGCCACAGGAAAACTGTTCAGGGTTGCATTCTGCTGGTGAGTGGAGACATGGCCCAAAATGGGCAGGTCCAAGGCCTAGACAAAACACTGATCTCTCTCTTTCACACATACCCAAACACACACAGGAAATTCACCTTGTTGCATCCACGGTATGAGATGTGAAAGTGGCTCCCTATTGCTGCATGCAAAACAGAATAGACAGCCAGCCAGGATGGCAAAGCAGAACGCTCCTCCTCCACCACCAAGCACATTGGCTTGTCTACCGGCCATGCAGAAGGCCTTTCCAGGGACGTGGGTGGTGCTGTGGTCTAAACCACTGAGCCTCTTGGGGTTGCCAATCAGAAGGCTGGTGGTTCGAATCCCCGCGACAGGGTGAGCTCCCATTGCTCTGTCCCAGCTCCTGCCAACCTAGCAGTTCGAAAGCACACTAGTGCAAGCAGATAAATAGGTGCCGCTGTGGCGGGAAGGTAAACAGCATTTCCGTGCACTCTGGTTTCTGTCACGGTGCTTCGTGGTTTAGTCCTGCGGGCCACATGACTCAGGAAGCTGTCTGTGGACAAACACCGGCTCCCTTGGCCTGAAAGCGAGATGAGCGCCGCAACCCCATAGTCACCTTTGACTGGGCTTAACCGTCCGGGGGTCCTTTACCTTTACCTATTGGGAAGCAAGTCCCACACCAGGTTTCACATTTGCCATTCACATACACACTTGCCATTCACATACACATACACATACACATACACGGACGCTTTCACGAGAGAGGAAGAATAAATCAAAGTGTATGCGCTTACCTGCGACAGCAGTATCCATTTCATCCTCGTCCACAGATTCTTGAGCACCGTAGCTGGCCAAAGGAGAATACGGGTAGCAAGTATTGAGATTCAGGCCCAGCATGAAGTTGTGTACTTTGCCTGCACGTCCTTCCCGGGTGGTGAAAAGAGCGCTGTCCCCCACCAGAGCCATAAACATCCGCTGAACCCAGCTCTCCTGGTTGCTCTGTTCACGTTCTTTCTCAGCATTAGGGTTTTCTGAGCCTGTAGGAGCAGAAAGAACTTCAGCATATGGGGGAAACTCTGGAAAAGTAATTTGAAGTTCACAGCGTGCCATTCTTTGAAGGAGAACTACTTGAAAACGATTTACAGATGGTGTTTAACTCCAAGTAGGCTTGTATAAGACTGAATCAGATAAGTGCTGGAGATGCAAAGAGGTTAAGGGAACGTTCTTTCACATGTGGTGGACTTGTAAAAGGGTATTGGGAAATGATTCATAATGAATTGGGGGGGAAATGTTTAAAAGTACTTTCTCCCCCCCCCCAAAAAAAAACCCAAAGGCCTTTCTGTTGGGGATAATTCAGACTGAAATTCCCAGGTGTCAAAATGTTATTTATGCATGCCACTACTGCAGCCAGTGTTTTGTTGGACCCAAAATGGAAAACAAGCAAGGTCCAAACCAAAGAAGAAGGACAAAGGGAGTGGAAGAGTCTGTGTGACCAGTCTTTGGCCTATCTCAAGGGCACCCAAAAATTATGGACCCCTTAGCTCAATCCTATATATGTTTACTTAGAAGTCACATCAAGTTAAACAGAAGTTACTCCCAGGTAAGTATGCCTAGGACTCCAGCTGTAATTTCTGAAAAACACCCACAATAATTTTAAGGATGCAAAGTATTTGGGCTGAAATCTGATGCTACTGTTTCTATTTTAAAAAAAATATTTGCTATATGTTAAATTATGTGCTGCGATAAGCAAGATGTTTACTTAAACTGGCCACTTTTATTCTGACAAGAAAGCAGCTGTGAGGTCCATATGCCATGACAGCGGGGCTGTGACAATTTCCTAATGAAAACCTTTCTCTTCCTGGCTGTTATTTGCCAATAAAGGTACTGATCGAATGTTTTGATTAATCATTTATTATTTTCTATTGTGAGTCACTCTGAAAAGCCCCTCGGTGCGGCAAAATACAAATACATACCTTAACAAACAAGAAAGCAAGCAAACAATAAAACAAACAAACCCAAAGGGCTTCTAGCAATAAGTACTACATTTTTTTTAAAAAAAATGTTTTTATTAAAGATTTTATTGTGTAACAAACAAATAAAAAAAAGGACGTACTAATCTGCTTCCAGGGACGCGGGTGGCGCTGTGGGTTAAACCACAGAGCTTAGGACTTGCTGATCAGAAAGTCGGCGGTTCAAATCCCCGTGACAGGGTGACAATGCTTCTCAGCAGTTCTTCCAGAACGGCCGTTAAGTTAACCGGCCTATAGTTTCCAGGATCCCCCCTACCCCGGATCCCTTTTTAATAATTGGTGTTACATTGGCTGCCTTTCCCTGACAAATGACTCAGTAGTTTCTCTAGGCTTTTGAGCAATTTGATAGAAGTAGGGCCCTCTCATAAACCACATTCTTCTTGGGAGTTGTGTCAGAATTGGCCAGAACGGTCTTGCCTTACAGCTGTGCTTTTGGCCCTCTGCTCCTCCCTCCTGTTGGTCTTCAATATAAGGATAATAATGGTGGCCTACTTTGGAAATTAGTTATAAGGAATGTATGTGAAGTGTTCTGAATGGTCTATAAAGTGCTATTCGTGCATGCTAAGTAATCATTATACTTAATATATGCAAGTATATAACTACCATAAGTGTTTCTGAGGAGAGCCCAAAGAGAAGGGAGCACATAACCACCAGTGCCTGAAGGAGCCCATCGGTGGCCTGAGAAGACAGTTGGAGAAACCCCATCCGCCATCTTCCCTGGGGCCATTCAAGACCTGGGTGCCTTGAGGGAAAGCAGAAGCCAGGGAGCTGGTGTCATAAGCCGCTGAAGGCCGGCGTGAGAAAAAATTCTACCTTTTTTTGCTTGTGTTAATGCTTTGCATTGTAAACCGCCGTTGATTGCCTTTGGTGCAGAAAGGCAATATATAAATGCCATTAATAACCAATTAATACCAGTAAGTAATTGGGAGGGACGCGGGTGGCACTGTGGGTTAAACCACAGAGCCTAGGGCTTGCCGATCAGAAGGTCGGCAGTTCGAATTCACGCAACGGAGTGTGCTCCCGTCGCTCGGTCCCTGCTCCTGCCAACCTAGCAGTTCAAAAGCACGTCAAAGTGCAAGTAGATAAATAGGTACCGCTCCGGCGGGAAGGTAAACGGCGTTTCCGTGCACTGCTCTGGTTCGCCAGAAGCGGCTTAGTCATGTACGTCGGCCCCCTCGGCCAATAAAGCGAGATGAACACCACAACCTCAGAGTCAGCCACGACTGGACCTAATGGTCAGGGGTCCCTTTACCTTTACCTTAATCTGCTTCCATCTTAAAAGGAAGGAAGGAAGGAAGGAAGGAAGACTCCTTTTCCTCACTTTGCTGATACGCCATAAGGGAAAATCTTCCATGACAAGAGTAGATGTGAGAAAATGGAACTGAATTGCATGTGGAAAAGTAGAAGGGGAAACAGTCTGGCCAAAAGAGAGATCTTATCTGCCCAGCTGAGCTTTTTTGTTACTGATGTAATTGAGAGAGGCACACGCAAGTCTTAATGTTCCCCTGGAAGGCATAACACGCTCAGAGCCATACTGTCCCCGCCCAACATTGTTCAGAAGGGTGGGCTCTCCTTTGACCGTAAAGAGAACTCTCATTCCAGGTTTCATAAATACCCCAGACGTTTCTAATGAACCACAGCCTGGTTCGTCAACAAGAACATGTGATTCACAAAGTGACTTCGACTATTTCAAAAATTAGTTGGAGTCACTGCTGCATCCAAAGTCCTGCAAGACGGAAAGTGAGGAGACCTATTTTGGCTCCACAAGCTCCAGGCATCACATGGCAATGGACTGGCTTAGGAACATGGAGAGCCTTGGCTGGTCAATAGTTACTGCACCCCTGAAACCCCAGGAAATTGGGCTGAGGTCAGGTCTCCTCCACAGAAGAACAGCTCCATCAACAGTACAGTGGTACCTTGGTTCTCAAACGCCTTGGTACTCAACCAACTTGGAACCCAAACACTGCAAACCCGGAAGTAAGTGTTCCAGTTTGCGAGCTTTTTTGGGGAAGCCAAACGTGCTCCATTTTGAGTGTTATGCTTCCGATTGAGTGCCACACTTCCGTTTTGAGTGTTACGCTGAGGTCTGTCTGTTTTTGCTATTTATTTTGCATTTTTGCGGCTCTTTCTTGTTTTGTTTTTGTGACTGTGTGGAACCCAGTTCAGCTACTGATTGACTGACTGTGCGACTGCAGTACATTGCTTATTGCTTTCATTATATGGATCGGAACAATGGTCTCGTTAGATAGTAAAATACATGTTAAATTGCTGTTTTTACAAGTCCGGAATGGATTAATCCATTTTGAATTACTTTCTGTGGGAAAGCGAACCTTGGTTCTGAAACACTTTGGTTCTGGAACGCTCTTCCGGAACGGATTAAGTTTGAGAACCAAGGTGCCACTGTGCTCTGCTCTGCCACCAAAAAAGGTCTCACATTTCATCTTAACACACACACACACCACCCAACCACCTCCACCTTCCCTAACTTTATGAAGCACCAGGAAACAGTTCATCAAAAAGCCGACTATTCCTTTCTCGGGTCCTAAATACTACCTGAATTTTCTCCTTTTCATGATGTCTTGCTTTATTGGGACACGCCAGTAAAAATAGTTGTATGAAGTATCATGTCTGGTGACCTTTCTTACCTTTTGGTCCCTGTGACTCATCATCGCTGTCTGAATCATTGCTCACTAGGTGCCGCATCCTGATATTTTCTGTGGAAATAAACAAAGGAAGATTTTGGTACCTTAAATGGCTGGGTTGTTAAAATGGCAATCAAAGGAGCTGCACAAGTTCTTGGAAGGAGAGAGTAACGCTGGAATAAAACAATAAACGATCTGAAGCTAACTTTATGACCAAAGGATTTTCCACATCCATAAAACCAGCAGATCACCAAGCTAAAGGACACTTGGAGATCTCTAGGGTTAAAACTACAATACAGAGCACTGTCTTTTGAAGGAAGTTAAACAAGAGATTAATATGTTTCAAAACTACTATTTTTCCTGACCAACTGACGAGGCCTCCGTTTTTCTTCCTGCACTACCAAATTCAAAATATATAAGCAGAGAAGAACACTAATTTAAGCTTGAGCAGAGAAGAACAGTTAACTTGCAATATATGACAGTCGTCAGCCTAATGCACAACATTTTGGCTTTCCAGACTACAGTGGTACCTCAGGTTAAGTACTTAATTCGTTCCAGAGGTCCATTCTTAACCTGAAACTGTTCTTAACCTGAAGCACCACTTTAGCTAATGGGGCCTCCCGCTGCTGCTGTGCCGCCGCCATGTTGATTTCTGTTCTCATCCTGAAGCAAAGTTCTTAACCCGAGGTACTATTTCTGGGTTAGCGGAGACTGTAACCTGAAGCGTCTGTAACCTGAAGCGTATGTAACCCGAGGTACCACTGTAATACAAAAAGAACTCTTACAAAAGTGCTAGAAGGCAAAGACTCCCCTCTCAGCCTCTTCTTGACTTCACCCTATTGCTGAACTCTTCAAACCTGCCTCTCAGAACCACATCAAGGCCAAGTTTCTACATTACCTTGGTGTTGTGGTTCCTGCCACAAAACCACTGCCCCATGTCTGGCTCCCACATTACCCTCTGTAACAAATAAAAGCATCTTCACATGTGAGTAGGCCGCGTCCTATCAGTCCTTCTCCCTTCCGTAGGGGCTGATGATAGGAGAAGCAACCGACACAATGTGGACCACGAAACAAGAAATTTTTGTATCTCACCTTGGTAACAGAGAAGCCAGCCATGGAAAGCAACCACCTTGCTGAGGTAACAAATGGACCAAGCTCAAAAAGCATCAGCAGAGGGAAGTGATTCCTAAACCCTGCCTCTGGTTTGGGTCTTTCCCACAGCAGCATCCCCTTTGATAAAGATGAAATAGTGTATTTGTACTGGCATCTGATAACTAGGATATTAAGCCAGGTTAAAAGACATTAAGCCAGGGTTTCTCGTTTTGTATACAACTGGAAACTGTGGTTTAAAACAAACCAGTCTGAAGGAATTAAAGAGGGGAGGAGAGAAGTAAGGCATGTGTGGCCCTGACTCTTATTCCCAGCTCCAAAAACATTCATTCTGAAACCAAGAACGAATGTCTGAAACAGACCGTTGCTTTTTACTGACCCTAGAAAAATCTCAGCTTGTCTCAGAAACTCTTCCTACATTATCTCAAAAGATCCTTATGAAACAGTCTCAGACTCGGTAGGCTTAATATTAAATGGTTCTTTTAACTCACAAAGGAATGTTTAACTCAACTAGATCTGCGCCCAAAAAACAGATAGGTTTCTTTACAAGTACATTTGATTACAATGACTTTTATGAGAGTCACGCCCTCACGCAATTTACATCTGTGTAGATCAGCATCAATGACAGATTTACATATTTTCATGTAATCTTCCCAGCTTCCCAGTTACGCACACTACTCAAGACATTCTAAAAGCTAATACCTAAAGAAAAGCGACAGACATTTAAAGGAGATGACAGAGTTACAAAATTGAAAGATCAAGGGAATGTTATGGATTTAGTGAATATTGATTTCAGTATGGCTTCTGACAAAGTCCCCCATGATATTACTGCAGAGAAGTTAGTAAAATGTGGGCTGAATGAGGTAACGTGAGGTGGATTTGGAGCTGGTTGATTGACCAAACCAAAAGAGTGCTTATGAATGGTCCCAGGTCATCCTGGAAAAAAGTGACAAATGGGGTCCTCCGTTAAAGAGGGCACGTATTGCGGAGAGACCTGAAAACCGACACCCTGTGTTGTGGGTGGGTACGATTGGTCAGCCACAACACCCGATTGGTAGGTCCCTCGTAGCTGGGTTCAATCTGGCCAATGGGACGCAGTCCAAACGGTTTGAGGGACCTATTTATGCCCATGCACATGACCCAGAGCTTCCTCTTTTGGCGCATGCATTCGGAACATCCGCCCACCTCTCCCTACTTTTAGGGCTTTGCGCTTTACCTTGCTATGCCGTCGTGTGTCATCTGTCGTTGGGACAGGGGCACGGCAGGAATTTCCCCCACTTGGCTGATTGGCTGTGGCCATTTGGATTTCGCCTGCCGCGTAGAAATTGTCACAACTTGTAAGGTTGCAGATAGGCCCTGGTTCATGTGATAGGGATGGGAGAACACTCTCACCATCCCTATGTGAAGGGTATTCCGTTAAAGGAATCGAGGGACTCGATGATTTGGTCAACCCCTGAGAGGGGGTTGTGCCTGTGCCTGAGTCCAGGGGGACATTTGGGTGGTGGAGTTAGTCTGTTCCTGGCTTTCTGCTTATCCAGGTGTTCACCCTTGGCTGACCTATGCTGGAACCCTGGGTCAGCACTACCTGCATGGCAGGGAGCTAGTCGAACCAGAGCCTATGCAACCAGTTACTTTCTGTAATCAATAAAGTTGTGGCCTAAATTCTGCCAAAAAACCAAAACCAAAAATTGAGTCAAGTGTGAATTTATTTAGGGGGGAGGTTTCTGGGTCTGAACATGCAAATGGGGTGCTGTAGGGTTCTGTCCTGGGCCTATTGTTTAATGTCTTTGTAAATTTATTTTTGTAACATTACCTAGTTCTTCTTCCATTGTAGGCCCTTTATTTTGAGAATTAGAAACTCCAAGGACTCTGTTGAATAATATAGCAAATGCACTTCCCCAGACACCTGAAAAAATGAAATATAACAATGTTGTTGTTGTAATAATAATAATAATAATAATAATAATAATAATAATAATAATTTATTATTTATACCCCACCCATCAGGCTAGGTTTCCCCAGCCACTCTGGGCGGCTTCCAACAAAATATTAAAATACAATAGTCTATTAAACATTAAAAACGTCCCTAAACAAGGCTGCCTTCAGATGTCTTCTAAAAGTCTGGTAGTTTTTCTTCTCTTTTACATCTGGTGGGAGGGCCTTCCACAGGGCGGGTGCCACTACGGAGAAGGCCCTCTGCCTGGTTCCCTGCAACTTGGCTTCTCGCAGTGAGGGAACCACCAGAAGGTCCTTGGCGCTGGACCTCCGTGTCCGGGCAGAACGATGGAGGTGGAGACGCTCCTTTAGGTATACTGGACCGAGCCCGTTTAGGGCTTTAAAGGTCAGCACCAACACTTTGAATTGTGCTCAGAAACGTACTGGGATTCAGTGAAGATCCTTTAGGACTGGTGTTATATAGTCCTGGTGGCCACTTCCAGTCACCAGTCTACCTGCCACATTCTGGATTAGTTTTAGTTTCTGAGTCACCTTCAAAGGTACCCCCACGTAGAGTGCATTGTAGCAGTCCAAGTGGGAGATAACTAGAGCATGCACCACTCTGGCGAGACAGTCAGCAGGCAGGTAGGGTCTCAGCCTGTGTACCAAACGGAGATGGTAGACAGCTGCCCTGGACACAGAACTGACCTGCACCTCCATGGACCTGGGAGTCCCACACACTCGCCCGCCCCCTGTCCCCCCAAAACAGTACTTCTGTCTTGTCAGGATTTAACCTCAATCTGTTAGCCGCCATCATAATAACAACCACCTGCCCGCCTCCTGTCCCCCCTCTTCTTGTTGTTAAGATATTGGTAGATGCTTAGGTATTGTTCACTTTCTGGCAATGCTCACATATCCACTCAATTACTTACTTACCCATTAGGAAATGCAAAGGGTTTTCTTTATATTTATCCACTACCGTTCCCATAAAAAATTTGCTGCCGAACAAATTTGGAGTCATAAAGGTACCATATTTAGCCATTCCGATTTCATAGGGACTGAATTCCACCCAATCTGTAAAGAAAAATATAAAAAGGACACTGGTTAACAGAGAACAACAGAAGAAGAAGAAGAAGAAGAAGAAGAAGAAGAAGAAGAAGAAGAAGAAGAGGAGGAGGAGGAGGAGGAGGAGGAGGAGGAGGAGGAGGAGGAGGAAGAAATGCTTTAATACAGCACAGGAACAGAAGTGGTGTGCAAAAGATTCTCAAGGCTCAACCGAATCTTGACTTCCATCTGCTGTCTTTCCTTGCCAAACTGCATATATGCCAACAATTACTAACCCATGTGGTAAAGTGTAAAAAAAGGGGGAAAGGTAAAGGACCCCTGGATAGTTAAGTCCAGTCAAAGGTGACTATGGGTTTGTGGCGCTCATCTCACTTCAGGCCCAGGGAGCTGGCGTTTGTCCACAGACAGCTTTCCGGGTCATGTGGCCAGCAGGACTAAACCGCTTCTGGCGCAAGGGGACACCATGACTGAAGCCAGAGTGCACGGAAGTGCTGTTTACTTTCCCACCGCAGTGGTACCTATTTATCTACTTGAACTGGCGTGCTTTTGAACTGCATGCCACCCTCTATATTTAGCCAAATTCTTGCTTGCACTACGGCAAGCAGACACTGCTATTTTCCTCAGATCATTTTGCACCTCCTTGCACCTCCCTTTTCATCTTTTTCTGCATTCTTCCAGGAACTTTACTGTGTTATTATGGTATGCCCTTCAGCAAATTATACATGACACCCACACAGAGTGAGAGTGAAATTGGGGCGGGAGGGGAGATATTTACAGATTAATAGGTGGAAATAGGTCTGTGAACAAGTCCCCACAAAACCCATTGCTGCAACAGGTGCCACGGTAGACTCTATTTTGTTCCAGCCTATACAGTTCATGTGTTTCCATTTTAAACTCTGAAATTTCACAACAGCTTTCCAGAAATAGGTCTAAATTATGTCTGAGTCATCGTAATTACGAGCAGTCGTAGGTGTGATCAGTGCCCACTCGGAATAAAAATATTATGGATAATGGGAACTCAACCAAAATTGTGAAAACTCTTCTCAGCTGGCAAATACCTTTATCCATTGCTTTTCTAAGCAACGTTCTTTTAAACCGAATAGTAAAAGTACCGAGAAGGAATGCAAGATTAATCCTAAGAATTCACAGATCAGCTCATGAAAGGAGAACTAATTATTGCTCTTCAAAACACACCTCTGTCCCCTTAAGTGGGACAGAGAGGATTATTTAAGTTCAGGGGAAGGGAACCTTCTTTGTGGGCAACTTTTGGGAGACACATGCCAGGATTTGGCAGAGACAGTGGCAAAAAAATGAGAGGGGCCAGAAGGCAAAAGTAGCCAATGCCACAGACGTGCTTAAATCAGATATGCCAAATGACACATGCAGAAACAAATAATCAAGTTGAAGTGGCTTAAATAAGGCTGTTTTGATCCTTCTATCTGGCCTATATTCAGATACACATATATAAAATGATGCGATTTGACTACCTGCAAACATCAGTTCTGATACATCAGGTTTAACGTGGAGGCATGTAAAGAGTGGCAAAGCAGACTGCGCTTTGTTGATTTTCTCTTTCATATCAGACAAAGTGTTGTTCATTCTCTACAGGGGAAAAAGAGAGCAGAAATAATTTAAAGAATAGAGTTAGCAATCCAGCCAATATCTGGTCGCTTTTGTGAAATCGTTCAAGAAGGCAAAGGACAACAGAACTACTCACAGAAAACTAGTAACAACAACAACCAACCATCTGAAGATGGTTTGGAAACTCCAGTTGGTGCAGAATTCAGCGACCAGGTTTTTAAGCATATAACGTCAATCCTGGCTCAATTACACTGTCTGCCAATTAGTTTCTGGGCCCAACTCAAAGTGGTGGTTTAAGACCTGTAAAATCTTTAATGGCTCAGGACTGCAATACCTCAAAAACCACCCCATCCCATATGAACCAATGGGACATTGCAGTCATCATCTGAGTCCCTTCTTTGTGTGCCTTCTCCACGAACGTTCTGGAGGGTGGCGACACAAGAATGGGCCTTTTCTGTGGTGGCTCTTTGCTTGTCCCAAGAGGCTCATCTTGCACCTTCATTACATAGCGCCATGCAAAAAAATTCCCCTTCCCCCAGGCTAACTATATTGCCTTCTACACTGGGGGTGGAGATTGTTTTTGTTTGTTACCGTGGTATGATTTTTTGTGTTTTTAGATTGCAAACCACCCTGTGATCTTCAGATGAAGAGCGCTAGAGAGATTTGATTAATAATAATAAGCCAAGCAAGCCCACCCTATTCTCAAAAGCCTTGCCCAGAATCAATTATTGAACAATATACAAAGATTAAAGCAGTAATAAAACGACAAAACAGCATATGTGCAATTCAGTCCAACAGGAAATAGATACTTTCAATTGGCTTTTTAATTAACTATTGTGCTGATTAATTGCTAGTGCTCATTTTAATTAACGTTTTAATTAATTAAAACAACAAGACAGTAATTAAAATAGGAATGGAGAACCTGTGGTCCTCCAGATGTTACTGGATTAAGAATGATGGCAACTAAAACCAGTGGCTACTTGAGAATGATGGGAATCGGAGCTGAACGTCATCTAGAAGGCCACAGGTATCCTATATCTGCATTAAATAATAATTTATAATAATAATTTATTATTTATACCCCGCCCATCTGGCTGAGTTTCCCCAGCCACTCTGGGCGGCTTCCAATCAAGTGTTAAAAACAATACAGCATTAAATATTAAAAACTTCCCTAAACAGGGCTGCCTTCAGATGTCTTTTAAAAAGAAGATAACTGCTTATTTCCTTCACATCTGAAGGGAGGGCATTCCACAGGGTGGGCGCAACTACCGAGAAGGCCCTCTGTCTGGTTCCCTGTAACCTCACTTCTCACAACAAGGGAACCGCCAGAAGGCCCTCTGCGCTGGATCTCAGTGTCTGGGCTGAACTATGGGGGTGGAGACGCTCCTTCAGGCATACAGGACCGAGGCCGTTTAGGGCTTCAAAGGTCAGCACCAACACTTTGAATTGTGCTCGAAATGTACTGGGAGCCAATGCAGATCTCTCAGGACCAGTGTTATGTGGTCCCAGCGGCCACTCCCAGTCACCAGTCTAGCTGCCGCATTCTGGATTAATTGCAGTTTCCGGGTCACCTTCAAAGGTAGCCCCACGTAGAGCGCATTAAAGCACCAATTATACACCAGATCGTCATAGAAATATTTCAGCAGTGTCAAAGAGCGAAAAGATTTTGCACAAAGCAGACTTGAGCTGCTGGGGCACCTTTTTCCATGTCCACAGAAATGTTTGCATCATAAACAAATGTTGTTTTAGAACTGCAACATAACAGAATTTTATACCATACTTGTGGGCTTGACCAGCAGACACTGCCTCAATGGACACTGAAGTTACACAAATTATTTATCAATTGTAACATTATTATACGGCGTAAAAAAAAACTGTGGGAGAGTCTCGATAAATAAATATGTGGACTTTGTGAATTCTTTTGAAGGTTTGAGAGAGAAATAAGCTCATAATACAAAACTTGACATCACACATACAAAACCACAGATAGATGTACTGATTTGCAAAGCAAAAAGTAAACTGATCGGCCCAAAAGATTTTTGACCGTGCTACAGTAAAACCTGCGCCTGCCTCCAAGTTTTATTTGCAAACTTACATTTTGGATGAGAGTTTCTCCAATCAACATTCCAAAGATATCTGTAAATGTAACAGGCTGCCCAGACCTCTTCTTTTTCCATAATGCTTCAATATATCGCTTTACTTTCTGAGGAGTGAGCAGTTTTAATGGATTGTGACTGACACAGTTCTTCAGCTCCTCATTTATTTCCTTTGGTCCTTTTACTGGGAAATCTGGATGAGAGTACAAGCTTGACATATACCTGCAAATGGCCACAACCAAGTTTAGAGTTACTGAGCAGAACATCTGAAATCATTTCCACCAGCAGCTGAAGATGTTTCATGAACCAAGGTAAAAATATTGAATATTGATTAACTCCACCCTCCGGATAAAAATATTGATTAACTCCACCCTCCGGATGATTTAAGATGGCAAGAGAAACGATATACTGTAAAATATATGAATCAGGAGCAAACCTATTGGGGGGGGGGTTCTGTTTCATCTGAAGATGCAATTACAAAATTTCCTACACTGCAATATTTCATTCATGTAGGGACGCCGCTGGTGCTGTGGTCTAAACCACTGAGGCTCTTGGGCTTGCCGATCAGAAGGTCGGCAGTTTGAATCCATGCAAAGGGGGGAGCTCTTGTTGCTCTGTCCGAGCTCCTGCCAACCTAGCAGTTTGAAAGCACGCCAGGGCAAGTAGATAAATAGGTACCACTGCAGTGGGAAAGTAAATGGCGTTTCCGTGTGCTCTGGCACCCATTGCGGACTGCGCCAGTAATGGTTTAGTCATGCTGGCCACATGACCTGGGAAGCTGTCTGCGGACAAACGCCAGCTCCATCAGCCTGAAAAGCGAGATGACTGCCACAAACCCATTAAAAAAATCCCTTTTTAAAATTTCATTCATTCAGAAAGTATTTTAAAATCACAGAATCAAAGCACCAGAAGAGCCTAGAGCGGTGATGGCCAAACGTGGCCCTCCAGCTGTTTGGGGACTACAACTCCCACCATCCCTAGCTAACAGGACCAGTGGTCAGGGATGATGGGAACTGTAGTCCCCAAACAGCTGGAGGGCCACGTTTGGCCATCACTGGCCTAGAGGCACAAGCCAGACGCTCCGTCAACTATTAACTGAAAAGGGATTTGCTTCTGCATTGGTTTCCATTCCTGCAACCTGGTTAACAGGATCTGCAGATAAGGAACTCAGGATGTTCCTATTCAAAACCATTTCAACTTTTCATGCATTGACCTACATAGAAAGAATGAGATTTGAGGGAAGTTATTATTATATAAGAAAGTTGAGATGAGGACAGTTCAGTGGGGAAACCTACCATGTGGATCCAGATAAGCCAGCGATATATGTTGCACAGTCCAGAATTCCAGATTCATACAGTGCTTTCATCACCCCAGCAAACCCCACTGTGGCACGGAATCCACCACCAGATCCCAATATTGCAATCACCGGTACCTGGATAAGCATACAATAAAGATGGGTTTTTAAACATTCAATGTGTGTGGCTTAGTTTATCTGTCTACTGAATTTTTTTAAAATGAATTTTTATTGGAAATTTTATTTACAACATAACACTGAAATATTATGTCTACTGAAATTCTTTTGTTCCTACAGACCTAGTTAGTTTCTGGATCACCTAGAGGCAATAAAATCACCTCTGAGAAAGACTGTGGGTCAGTGAGAACTATATTCCTCAGCTTCAAATAAAAACATTCTCTTCCATTCTTCTTTTCTATCCATGCCTCACCCTTCCATTTTCTGTTGCCCTCCCTGCTGTCAAAATTTACAATGTAAGCTCCTTAGAGTGGAAATACATAGCAAACCCCTCTTTATGTTACTTTGTAAATCAAATTATACATTTATGGTGCTGTAGAATTAAAACATAGGGACGCAGGTGGCGCTGTGGGTTAAACCACAGAGCCTAGGACTCGCTGATCAGAAGGTCGGCGGTTTGAATCCCCGTGACGGGGTGAGCTCCCGTTGCTCGGTCCCTGCTCCTGCCAACCTAGCAGTTCGAAAGCACGTCAAAGTGCAAGTAGATAAATAGGTACCGCTCCGGCGGGAAGGTAAACAGCATTTCCGTGCACTGCTCTGGTTTGCCAGAAGCGGCTTAGTCATGCTGGCCACATGACCCAGAAGCTGTACGCCGGCTCCCTCGGCCAATAAAGCAAGATGAGCACCACAACCCCAGAGTCGGTCACGACTGGACCTAATGGTCAGGGGTCCCTTTACCTTTACCTTAGAATTAAAACAAGCTGCCAACATTATTCGACTGGTACACCTTTGACAGCAGTTTTGCTTCTGACTCAACTGAACAATCTGATCCTATTTAGATACTGCTTTCTCCTCAACTCCCACAGTCGTTCTGCCCTTTTTGGTGGTCCACAGTCACTTTTTCAGGTTTATACAAAAGAGTCTGACGCTACATTAGATATCATACCATCTAAACTAAGATTCCCACTCTCCTAAGCCTAAAGGAAAAATAAAAATGAGGGTGGGAGGGAGAGAGAGACTGGTCTAATTGTTTAAAATTAAGATTAAAATAAAGTCCCAAACATGCGAACTTCCAGAAAACAAATCCTAGCATCCAGATTTTGCCAGCAGAGGCTAGAAAATGAGTGTGTTGAACTTTAAAACAAGAAACTGCAGGACTATAGATAGCAGGAACAGAGAATAAATCTCAAAGTCAAGCATTAACAAAGCCAACTGAGTAAATATGCTCAGCACCAGATATGCTGCTGTGGTATTTTAACAGTCTGGACTACAGACACACCTGTTCAGTAACTTCGTTGCGGAACTTTGTTGTTTTATGAGTATTTGCATTTTAAAAACTCACTACTGAGACTGTGACAGCAACAGCCATCTTAGCTACTGACATGAGCCTTCCAAACTTACATCACGGGTAGAGGTGAGGTCTGTCCCCAGGAAATTGTTCAGATGGTGCATTACTTTAGTTTTCCGCTGCTCTCGGAAAGCCTTTTCCTCATCACACAGTGCCATGCTGAAACGGAGGTCTGTTGATGAGCTGCCGGGCAAAAAACAGAGAAGTTTTACAGCATGAAATTATATGAAAATGATGTACCGATGATATTTAACACCAGGCATCGGCAAACTCCAGCCCTCCAGATGTTTGGGACTACAATTCCCATCATCCTTGACCACTGGTCCTGTTAGCTAGGGATGATGGGAATTGTAGTCCCAAACATCTGGAGGGCTGGAGTTTGCCTATGCCTGTATAACACCAAGTAAAATTGCAAAAATGTATAAAACAAGTTCAAATTTGTTTTTATCATATGCGGTGGACATGTATACAGGTAAAGGCTTTCTGGGAAATGATATATAATGAATTAAAGAAAATGTTTAAGAATACATTTGTTAAGAAACCAGAAACCCTTTTGTGAGGTATTAACAGCTGAAGAGTTACCAAAAGAGGATAAAATACTTTTTATGTATGCAACAACAGCAGTGAGAATGCTACTAGTCCAGAGAAGGAAAGAAGGAGAAGTAACAATAAAAGAAGAATGGCAGACGAAACTGATGGAATACGCAGAGATGGTGAAACTGGCGGGGAAGATCAGAAACCAGGAAGATCTTTTTTAAAGATTGGAGTAAAATTCTTAATTTATTTTTTAAAAAACCCACTGTAAACAGTTAAAATCATTGGCAGGGTTGTAATGACACTTGCAATGTGGAACTGACTATGATAACTAATGGCAATTATATGTCAGTGCTGTTGTAAATTTTTATATGGGAGTGGCTGATAGTTGCTGATACTCTACTCTGCGACCACCAAGAGACTTCATTTAGACTTTATTTTCCCAACACAAAGACAGTTAACCATCTTTAATCCTATTAAAATCAATGGGCCAAGCGCATTTAACTGTGTTTAATTGTTCCCTCTGTTTTAAAAGAAGAAAAAACAGCAACCGCCATGAAAACTGGACATTTGCCCTTTAAACTTGAACTGTACGTAAGATGTCATATTCTGTGTTCTGCAGAAAGGTTATAGTGCAGGAGATTTCCAGGCTTTCTAGTTTTATGTACCCAAAATCTGCATCATTTTTAGAATATTGCAAGTATTGCTTAGAATCTAGTATGGTACATTTGAATCCCATCAGTTTAAATAAGTGGGATAATTAAGCACATGTCAAATACCTCCTCTGAAGATTAATGGGGCTTGCTGGATAATACCAACTTCCTACCTGATATTTTCAATGCTAGGTTATTCTAACAGTTAGCGCTACACAGTTACCGTATTTTTTGCTGTATAAGACTCACTTTTTCCCTCCTAAAAAGTAAGGGGAAATGTGTGTGCGTCTTATGGAGTGAATGCAGGCTGCGAAGCTACCCCAGAAGCCAGAACAGCAAGAGGGATTGCTGCTTTCACTGTGCAGAGATCACTCTTGCTGTTCTGGCTTCTGGGATTCAGAATATTTTTTTTCTTGTTTTCCTCCTCCAAAAACTAGGTGCGTCTTGTGGTCTGGTGCGTCTTATAGAGTGAAAAATACGGTAATTTTACAGCTTCACACTTAAATTTACAAAACATAGCAAAGCAACAACAACCAAAACCTACTCTCAAAACCATACTGCTTCTGAAATCTCTAAACTTCTGTTTTTATTGCATCAAGATGACTTACCAAACTTCAAGAGATACCTCCAAAGTAACGGTAATGACCTAAACAAGACAAGTGGGGAAAGATCATGGTCTTTCTTTGTAGTTAAATGATGACCAACAACAACAAAAATGTAGTTTACTCAATGATGCAATTAATTAAGCTATGGAATGACAGAAACTTTTAGAAAGTACAGAACTTAAGAGGGCTACTAAGTAAGATTAAAAATAAAACCCTCATAGGATCAGACCCAAAGGTCCATCCTGTTTCTCACAGTGGCTAGACAGAGAATTCCAGCAAGTTTAAAGAAACAGACCAAAGCTTGTAGGTTACTTCACCCCCATCGTTCAGCCCAGACACTGAGGTCCAGCTCTGAGGGCCTTCTGGCGATTCCCTCACTGCGAGAAGTGAGGTTACAAGGAACCAGGCAGAAGGCCTTTTCGGTGGTGGCGCCTGCCCTGTGGAACGCCCTCCCATCAGATGCCAAGGAAATAAACAACTATCCGACTTTTAGAAGGCATCTGAAGGCAACCCTGTTTAGGGAAGTTTTTAAGGTTTGATGTTCTGTCATGTTTTTAGTATTCTTTTGGAAGCCGCCCAGAGTGGCTGGGGAAACCCAGGCAGATGAGAGGGGTATTATTATTTTTATTATTACAATGCAGGAGTGGGCAGAGAAAAGGGGTGGCAGTGCATGTCATGCTTCCATTGGTGTGCGTGTACAGCACTGAACCAGCTACTGCTCTTCACCTTTCCCGCCCTGGTGGTTTTGTGCTGTCGACCTTTCCTGTCACCTGTTCCTGAAACCATCACCTGGTGTAGCGGCCTTCCAACTTTCAGGACAGTGCTTTAATCCTAAACTGCTGCAAAATACCCCCTTTAACTTCTACAATTCACCTTACTTTTACTATACAGTGGTACCTTGGTTCTCAAACTTAATCCGTTCCGGAAGTCCGTTCCAAAACCAAAGTGTTCCAAAACCAATAGAAAGTAATGCAAAACGGATTAATCCGTTCCAGACTTTAAAAAAAACACACCCTAAAACAGCAGTTTAACATGAATTTTACTATCTAAAAGATAGTAAAGATATCTAAAAGAAGAGAGCCAGTGTGGTGTAGTGGTTAAGAGAGGTGGACTCGTAATCTGGTGAACTGGGTCCGATTCCCTGCTCCTCCACATGCAGCTGCTGGGTGACCTTGGGCTACTCACACTTCTCTGAAGTCTCTCAGCCTCACTCACCTCACAGAGTGTTTGTTGTGGGGGAGGAAGGGAAAGGAGGTTGTTAGCCGCTTTGAGACTCCTTCGGGTAGTGATAAAGCAGGATATCAAATCCAAACTCCTCCTCCTAACGAGACCATTGATCCATAAAATGAAAGCAATAAACAGTGTACTGCAGTCGCACAATCAATCCACCAGTAGCTGAACTGGGTTCCACACAGTCACAAAAACAAAACAAAAAGAGCTGCAAAAACAAAAACGCAAAACAAACCACAAAAACAGACAGACCTCAGCGTAACACTCAAAACGGAAGTGTGGCACTCAAATTGGAAATGTGACACTCAAAACGGAGCACATTCGGCTCCCGAAAAAAGTTCGCAAACAGGAACACTTACTTCTGGGTTTGCAGTGTTTGGGTTGCAAGCTGTTTGAGTACCAAGGCGTTTGAGAACCAAGGCACCACTGTATCCATTTACTACTGTAAATACAGTACCACCTCAACTTGAACAACCTTCTCTGCTCTTGTTGGGTCATTTGCTTGTTTGGTGCCTTTAAACAAGACACCCCCAAGGCAGTTTACAGAAGAAAAGGTTGACTTCTTCCGCCTTGGGCAGCCAAGTGTCTTGGACCGACTCCGTCCACAGCCCTCTTCCCTTTGTGGATAATCTTCCCCAGCTCCATCTGCTCCCAACTCCTTAAAAATATTTAGCACTAAGGAGACATAATTAGAGGCAAACCACAAACGAAAAGCCAGCCGACAGCTCCTCCCTTCCTGTGTGCTTAACTTAGATTCCCCTCCAGCTCTCTTTGCCAAGTTGTGAGCCAAACAAGCAGCCTGGCTCCAGGTCAATTCTTTCTCCCTGGGTGGCAAAGATAAAGTCTTTTTTCTTCTTCTGGTCTGCCCAGCTCCTGAAAGCACCATATATATTGATGGTGCTGATCATAAAAATAAATATTGCCCTTCTCTCTTTCCACTGACATTTTAGAAGTGTGCCTTCCCCCATATCAACCTTCTCAGTGGTGGTTATTAGGATGGCGGCTAAGAGATTGAGGTTGAATCCTGACAAGACAGAAGTACCGTTTTGGGGAAACCGGGGGCAGGCGGGTATGGGGGACTCCCTGGTCCTGAATGGGGCAACTGTGCCCCTGAAGGACCAGGTGTGCAGCCTGGGAGCCACTTTGGACTCACAACTGTTCATGGAGGTGCAGGTCAATTCAGTGTCCAGGGCAGCTGTTTATCAGCTCCATCTGGTATGCAGGCTGGGACCCTACCTGCCCACAGACTGTCTTGCCAGAATGGTGCATGCTCTAGTTATCTCCCGCTTGGACTACTACAATGTGCTCTATGTGGGGCTACCTTTGAAGGTGACTCAGAAACTACAACTAATCCAGAATGCAGCAGCTAGACTGGTCACTGGAAGTGGCCGCCGGGACTATATATATATAAAGGATCTTCACTGGCTCCCAGTACGTTTCCAACCACAATTGAAAGTGTTGGTGCTGACCTTTAAAGCCCTAAACGGCCTCAGTCCAGTATACCTGAAGGAGCGTCTCCACCCCCATTGTTCAGCCCAGACACTGAGGTCCAGCTCCAAGGGCCTTCTGGCGGTTCCCTCACTGCGAGAAGCCAAGTTGCAGGGAACCAGGCAGAGGGCCTTCTCAGTAGTGGCGCCCGCCCTGTGGAATGCCCTCCCATCAGTTGTCAAAGAAATTAACAACTATCTGACGTTTAGAAGACATCTGAAGGCAGCCCTGTTTAGGGAAGTTTTTAATGACTGATGTTTTAATGTGTATATATGTGTGTGTGTGTGTGTGTGTGTGTGTGTGTGTATATATATATATATATATATATATATATAGTTGGAAGCCGCCCAGAGTGACTGGGGAAACCCAGCCAGATGGGCGGGAAATAAAGTCTTCACCAAGGAAAATGGTAATATTACTAATAGTATAAAAAGTGTTGCAATTGGCTTGCCATTTCCCCAAGCTCTTTCTCTCCCGAGAAAGCATTACCAAGCTAATCCAACGGCAATAAGGATCTAGTTTTAATCATTTTTTAAAAAATGCACATCATGCTCTTTTCCTATGACCAGCACACTTAATAACGTTGTCTCATTGTACAAGTAAATCACAACAGCCTTGTAAGCCAAGTTACTATTGTTTGAAAGGGCCCTGTTTTATAGCATCCTTCACATCATACTAAATTCCACCATGATTAAAAAAGGATATCACTGTTTGACATGGCTACTTGGGATACATTATACAAAAGAACTGCTTCTATACACTCATTGAATCAATGTATTTATATGTTTTGGGTTCTACTGCTGTCTTTCAACTTGTATTTTGCATTTGTTTCATTTTACAGTAGGCTGCTGTTAATCCTACTGAAAAGTTTTATTTTGAAGCTTATGGACTTCCAACCTGGGACCTTCAGGTGCGGAGCAGATTTGAAATACTTTAATGACTAGAAACACTCTTAGCCCTCCATAATACTGCACAACGCCAGTTTTGCCACTGACATCAATGGAACGGATATTCTACCAGCGGAATTTTGAAACCTACTTTATTGATGATGAGTGAGACCTCTTTCTTCTCTCCCACTTTCAAAGAAGATATGGGGAACGTTGCTGTACCAATTGTCTCATCCATCACATAATTTGCATCCATAAGAGTGACCTGCAAAAGATAAACATTATTATTTTTTTATTTAAAAAAAACCACCTATTTGCCTTTATGATAACATTCATTAAAGGCAACACATTTGCCAAGCAATTATTAGTACACATTTGTCAGATATGGCAAAGCAATTGCACAAACTTAATATATCTAAGCATTTTCTTTTTCGTCATCCAGTCGCCTTTCTCTACTGCCATTTCTGATGTACATTTTTTGGTTCCATTCTCTATCTAGACCACTAGTATAGATACAGTGGTACCTCGGGTTAAGTACTTAATTCGTTCCGGAGGTCCGTTCTTAACCTGAAACTGTTCTCAACCTGAAGCACCACTTTAGCCAATGGGGCCTCCTGCTGCTGCCGCGCCGCCAGAGCACAATTTCTTTTCTCATCCTGAAGCAAAGTTCTTAACCCGAGGTAATATTTCTGGGTTAGCAGAGTCTGTAACCTGAAGTGTATGTAACCTGAAGCGTATGTAACCTGAGGTACCACTGTATCTGGTTTCAGGGTAGCTTCCTGTTCCTCAGTATGAATGGGCAGACTCTGCTTATGCACCCACCACCTATTTTTCAATATATCTTGCCAGGGGTCTAGGACAGCTGCAAATTTGCCCACCTCATTTCTAAGCCATGATGGGTTATTTAAAAATACTAATGTAGAAAAAAATCAGAAATTAAGCAGGAAAAAGGGAAATTCGAGCATTTGTGTACATTAGTGTACAACAAACAGAGCCCGAATGAGGAAAATAAAATATTAAAATCTGGCAGAAATATGCTCAGTGAAGATTCACCATCAGTAGACAACAACATTTTGAAATAGTGGACAAAATTTGCCCAAGGACACATACTATTCTAACATCAGATCAGCTACATACTAGAATGAGGCATGGAAAGTATTCTGAGATCAAGACATGCATCTTGGAGCCAGTTCAAAAATGAAATATTATGATATGATTTTTAATCTTTGGGTATTCAGTGTATGAATTGAGAGTTGTTGGAATTGATTCCCTTGAAACAGTGTTGTATTCTGAGGTGATATGTGAATCTTATCTGTTGTGTCTGATCTGTTGTAATAGTCCATTTATGCATATAACACACTACAGTGGTACCTTGGTTCTTGAATTTAATCCGTTCCAGGAGTCGGTTCGACTCCCGAAATGGTTTGAAAACCAAGGCTTCCTGCACTCAATCGGAAGCCGTGTCCGACGTTCGGCTTCCAAAAAACGTTCGCAAACCGAACACTCACTTCCGAGTTTGCGACGTTCGGGAGCCAATTTGTTCGACAACTAAGCCGTTCAACTACCAAGGTGCCACTCTGCTTGGTGCTGCAGCTATTAAAATAATTAACTCGCAGATGTGTGCCAATGGTTGCACAGAGTATGACATTCCAACATCATAAAGATGTTGATCTATAGCCATTTCTTTACTTTTCCCTCCTTTGCTCATTCTCATAGTGTAGAATGGAGATCATCAGTTGTTGTTGTTGTTGTTTAGTCGTTTAGTCATGTCCGACTCTTCATGACCCCATAGACCAGAGCACGCCAGGCACTCTTGTCTTCCACTGCCTCCTGCAGTTTGGTCAAACTCATGCTGGTAGCTTCGAGAACACTATCCAACCATCTCGTCCTCTGTCGTCCCCTTCTCCTTGTGCCCTCCATCTTTCCCAACATCAGTGTCTTTTCCAGGGAGTCTTATCTTCTCATGAGGTGGCCAAAGTATTGGAGCCCCAGCTTCAGGAGATCATCAGTAAGTGGCCCCAAAGGCAAGGGAATGTAAAAGGAGATGCTAAACATATACATTACTCTGATGACCATATAATTTTGCAGAATTTTGTGTTATTATTTTGTAGTTAACACCAACTGAAGCGAACACTTAATCTCCACTTCAGTCTAGCCCCATACACCAGAGGCAGGAGAAAGTAAATGGCAATTAAATTCAAGAGGTAAAGGAAACTCTGAATTTCATGAACTCTGGTAAGTATGCTCAGAAATATCATTTCCAACTACAAGGTTTTGCCTGCCACTTTTAAGCTCTTCTTGCTGTTAGATTTCCCCCTCTTCTTCTCGAAGGCCAGGTTTATTTGCTTGGGAATAGGGCTGGGGAAAGAATGAGACCAGTAGGAATGGCTGGCAAAGGCCATTTCCAGCTAGACCAAATTCAGAAGGGTCTGGGCCCAGCTCAGAATGGACAGTTTCCATCTTTTTGAATCCTTATTTCAAATTCCCCCAGCTTTGCATTTCCTCCATCACTAGCTAGTTCATGGGTGTCATTGTTTCATTTGCCAAACTAACAACATTGGTTAACAAATTTACTTGAAAAATAGAATTTAAGCAGAGAAGGGTAGGCCTCCACAATGATACATTTCTAAGCACCGAATTACAAACTAAATTTAATACTGTGTACATTATAGAAATGTGATAGTAGAGGGAAAGCACTTTTGCAAATGGCACTGCATTACTGTCAGATAAACACTCTTATCCAGCCTACACAACATTATTGGTTCTTTAGTGTTAGCTTTCAGAATTTTCATCATGTGTTTCCACAAGCAGCTGAGCATGTCAATTTAAATTATTAAATCTATTACAATAAAAGCAGGTTTCTAAATGTTCCTTTTTAAAGCTGCCCAGTAGGAAATTATTTCAATTCACCATAGTTATAGCAACAGAAATGAGCGAACTAGCTAGCCCCTTAAGAAAATTCCTTTCGATATTTTTTTTCTGCCTCCGAGAATAAGGGAAGTTCACATAATGCGTACTAAGAACAGCATAAAGAGAAGTAAAACAGGATGTTGCTGGAATGAAAGCCCCTATTTGGAACAGATATACTCATTTAAGCTCAGCACACATATACCATACATGAGAGTATTGGATTTCCTTCTATCACAAGCACAAGTAGACCTTCTGCAGGCCCCTTGCTACTACTCATAATGTCCTAGATAATGTGGTGAATGGATGTGGTTACACAGCGCTGAGTGAAGAGAACACTCAATTATGCTCTCAGAGTTGCTCATTTCTTTACTCGTTTTGTTTGTTCCAGTTGCAGCATTAAAAAAAAAAATTCAAAGGCTCAGTTCTGCTGAGATATGAAAGCTTTGCCTCACAAAATTTCCTTATCTTATTTACCCCGCCATTAAAGCCATTCTACAAATGGGTGGCGCTATGGGTTAAACCACAGAGCCGAGGACTTGCCAATCAGAAGGTCGGCGGTTCGAATCCCGGCAACAGGGTGAGCTTCCGTTGCTCGGTCCCTGCTCCTGCCAACCTAGCAGTTTGAAAGCACGTCAAAGCGCAAGTAGATAAATAGGTACCGCTCCGGCGGGAAGGTAAACAGCGTTTCCGTGCGCTGCTCTGGTTCGCCAGAAGCAGCTTAGTCATGCTGGCCACATGACCTGGAAGCTGTACGCCGGCTCCCTCGGCCAATAAAGCGAGATGAGCGCCGCAACCCCAGAGTCGGTCATGACTGGACCTAATGGTCAGGGGTCCCTTTACCTTTACCTTTTTACAAATGGGGAACGAGGTCGTAAGAGAGTTAGTTGCCCAGGGCAGGTTCTCAGATGACCTTCTCTTCTCCAAACCTCTCAAGAAGCCCACAGATTGCTCTCTCTTCTCATACTGAGTGAGCCAGATCTCACCGAGGTGGGGGACTCCTGGCTAGGCTATATCACTTCAGACTACCGGTGGGGATTCACATGTTCCTCCATACAAATGAACTCCCAGACCATAAAAAACTCAATGTAAAGGGGAAGAGTTCAAGCCTAGCTTGATGTATTCATTTCCCACACGAAGCTATCTTTTGGGGGAAAGTTCCATTATGTGAGCTCTCCCCTGTAACCTGATGTAAAAAGGTAAAGGACTCCTGGATGGTTAAGTTCTGGCAAAAGCGACGATGGGGTTGCAGCGCTCATCTCGCTTTCAGGGTGAGGGAGCCGGTGTTTGTCCACAGAAAGCTTTCTGGGTCATGTGGCCAGCATGCCTGAACCGCTTCTGGTGAAACGGGACACCGTGATGGAAACCAGACCACACGGAAGTGCCGTTTACCTTCCCGCCACAGTTGTACCTATTGATCTACTTGCACTGGTGTGCTTTCGGACTGCTAAGTTGGCAGGAGCTGGGACAGAGCAACGGGAGCTCACCCAGCCGTGGGGATTTGAACCACCAACCTTCTGATCGGCAAGCCCAAGAGGCTCTGTGGTTTAGACCACAGCATGACCCACTACACTGCAAACATAGGTGTACCGTCTCTGTAGGAAATGCCTTAGTCTAGTAATATTTTTGCTCACTTTTTACTGAACTCCCCAGCCTGTAGCAATATCCTTCTTCAGTCCCTTGTAAACTCAGGAAATTCATACCTAGAACACTGTGGACTGGAAGCTTGAGGGTTCTGCAAACACGTTGCCAATGCTACATTCTTCCTCCCTTTATCAAACCATGCTTCCAGACACCATTTTGCAAATTCAGCAAAAAAGATGGATAGACTTAAAAGAATGCAAACTTGTATAAATTATTCTGAATACTACAGTTTTCCCGAGGTAATTTTAAATATCTTTGGAACAAACCAGCGAAAGATATAAGCTGCCCTGCACATATGACCCCCCCAAGGCCAATATAATGTGTGCTGGTACCTCCAAAACATTTTCCTGCTTGGGGTCCAAAATTATTTCGAAGGTTTCATTCCACTCGGGGTTCACATTGTTGTTGATGTGTGTCGTTCTCTTTCTGCTATCTGGGGCTGTTGGGATGAACAGTTCCACATAGGGGTCAGGAGTGTCCACTGAAATAAAACAAAGACACGCAGGAATCAGTAACAGACTCTTCAAAAACATGGAGGTAAATCGAACGGCCATTGCACTCAACAGACTCTTCACCAACTGCACTTCTGTTTGTGTGTTTGTTCTGCACAGACATATGAAACCCTGGGCTGAACAGATGCTATTTTGCACATAAGACAACAAATTGAGTTAAGGACACAGCCCTGTGCCCAAGATGTGCTGGCTAGGGAGAGCTAAAATTTGGCAGAAGTCCTTCCATTGGTGCATCTTCAATACACCTCCCACAATGGCCCTACTCTAACAGGATTTGAAGCACAGAATGCAGTGTTGACTGATCACCATTGCCAGTGAAAGGGCCAGAACAGGCTGGCACAGAAAGAGTAGACTTAATGTCAAATATTTCGCTTGCTCAGAGCCCTCACCTGCTCCTACAGTAGCACATAACATCAATAAAATACGTGAAACAAGTACAATAAAGGTAAAGGTAAGGGACCCCTGGACGGTTAATTCCAGTCAAAAGCGACTACAGTGGTACCTCAGGTTAAGTACTTAATTCGTTCCGGAGGTCCGTTCTTAACCTGAAACTGTTCTTAACCTGAAGCACCACTTTAGCTAATGGGGACTCCTGCTGCCGCCGTGCCGCCGGAGCCCAATTTCTGTTCTTATCCTGAAGCAAAGTTCTTAACCTGAAGCACTATTTCTGGGTTAGCGGAGTGTGTAACCGAAAGCGTATGTAACCTGAAGCGTATGTAACCCGAGGTACCACTGTATGGGGTGTGGCACTCATCTTGCTTTCAGGCTGAGGGAGCCAGCTGAGGGAGCTTTCCAGGTCATGTGGCCAGCATGACTAAACCACTTCTAGCACAATGGGACACACTGACGAGTGCCAGAGCGCACGGAAACGCCATTCACCTGCTGCAGTGGTACCTATTTATCTACTTGCTCTGGTGTGCTTTCCAACTGCTAGGTTGGCAGGAGCTGGGACCGAGCAATGGGAGCTCACCCTGTCACAGGGATTTGAACCGCTGACCTTCTGATCGGCAAGCCCAAGAGGCTCAGTGGTTTAGACCACAGCGCCACCAGCTGTGCAAGCACCTCTCATGCAAGGGTTCCACTCCAGGGGCAGCATGTATATGCAAAATGGTGCACAGATAAAAGCTGCCATCGGAAAGCTCGGGAAACCCCCCATGGAGGACCTCCCTGCATCTCCACTGTCAGAGGAAGAAGAAACCGGGCTCCCTTGGCTCCAGATCTGCTCCAGCCTTTTCTTTCCCAGCCAGAACCTTCCTGAGGGCACAGCCACACTGGCCTTTTAATAACAGGTGTTATTTACTTAATATACCACTTAATTGCCAAGGTGATTTAGAAGTATAAAACCAATTACCTAAATATATATATATATAAACACACATAATTAAAATACACATTAAAACAAGTCCATCAAAACATTAACCTAAACATCCAATAAAACAAGCCTATTAAAAGAGCTCAAAAATCATAATTGCTAATACGGCAATTAAAGCAGGAGGTTCAGGTCAGGAGATCAAAGGAATGCTCATCTGAGAAGCTGGTAGAATGTCAATGCGTATTTTAGCAGGCAGACCATTTCACAACAGTAGTTGTTGTTGGTATTCATCTGTCTCGATAGACAATGGAATGTTGCCTCCAGGAGTGAAATAGAGCAGCGTGTTTGGCACCAGCTTGGCTGCAGGAGTTGCGTGTCAAGACCCAGAAGCCACCCCCTCGTTGAGAAATAACACACACAAAGACACGGATATTAGGTTAATGTTATTGGGCAAATTTGGCCATAACTTTATTGATTACAGAATGTGAGCGGTATTGGCTTAGGCACTGAATGGACCCGACTATATCTGACTCCTGCCCGATGCGCAGGAAGTCTAGTAAGGGTAAACCACAGGAAGGGGGAGCCCTGTCAATGCAGACCAACTCAAGCTCCCCCTGGTGTTCCCGTCGAGGTCGTGTCATGGCCCTAACCCCCAACCCGGGCTTTGGACAAGATCAACACCCCGGATTCCTTTAACGGAATACCCTTAAGCTTGGAGGGGCAGGTGATGGCCACACCTCCCCTCCCCCACCACAACCCTAACAAAGTTGTGAGGATTGCTACGCAGTAGGCGAAAACCAAATGGCCAGTGCCAATTTGCCAAGTGGAAAAATTCCTGCCAGGCCCCTCAACGGCGACCAACCAAGGTCCATAGCAAAGCCAGTGCCTAAACCTGCAAAATATGGAGCGAGGAAGGGTGATTGAGGAAGCGAGCCAAAGAGGAAGCAACAGAACACCATGATGGAAGCCAGAGCTCACAGAAATGCCATTTGCCTTCCTGCCACCTTCTACTTGCACTGGTGTGCCTTCCAACTGCTAGGTTGGCAGGAGCTGGGACAGAGAAATGGGAGTTCACCCTGTCACAGGGGATTCGAACTGGCAACCTTCTGATCGGCAAGCCCAAGCTTAGTGGTTTAGACCACAGTGCCACCCGCATCCCATCACCAGCAGGTAATACCAGTAACCAGCCAAGGCAAAAGAGTTGCCAGGGAGAAGCTATCAAACATACCCACCCCAGCTTCTTACCTTTATAAGAACCTACAGGACTTATAAAGATATCACTTTTCATCGTAGTTATCATCTTGCACGTTGCAGAGACTCCAATTACATCTGCAAATGTCTGTAGGTGAGCAGCAACTTCACTTCAGCAGGTAGCCAAGACGCAATGGCAACTCTCAGTCAAGGATTTTAGATGACTACTTTTTTCTCTTTGCAGAAAGGTTTTTTGCAAAATGTGTCATTAAAGGTTGCCCTCAACACTTCCTTGGAAGAGTATCACTGGCCTCCTTCACAATCATCAATAAAGTCCCGAGATTATCAGCTACCAATATGAGAAACAAACTTGCCCCTCTGTGCAATCTGTATGGCAAGAGACTCACTCTCATCACGTAATAGCGCTTTGTGCCATATAAATATGTTACCATTCACAAGCAATTAGTTTCATTCGAAGGAATATGAGACAGCATTTGCCACCGAAACCCACAAGAATTCAAAAAAACATATATTCATATATGCAGGGAAGGAAGGAAAAATAGTTCAGAAACTAACAACAACAAACACACGCACAGGGTTCTGGATGGGATATAACTCTGCCTACCCACCCGGTTTCCTATGCATGCAACTAATTTGAAAATTCATTTGTAGTAAAGTTAAGCAACATTTGCCAAAATTTCAAAACTTCAGCATCTATATATTTCCTTTGTAATAGCCCCTGGTATTGTTGAGCAAGGGTGAGAATGCATAGGAAAGAGCAGCACGTTGATGCATTAAATGATCACACATTAATTTCTAAAGGGGGGATATAGCAGATGTCGTGGGCCACAACAGTCACCAGTCCAAGTCAGTATGGCCAATAGTCAGGGGTGATGGGAATTGTGGCCTGAAACATCCGAGAGGATGAGCAATGGTCACCCCTATTCTAAGAGCTCATACTAGATTGCCTTTCAAACAAAAAGCACACTTTTGGCTTTACTTTCTGTTTTGCCATAAGGACTCAGCAGAACTTTTGCACACACCCCTTTCTTGACCACAGCTAACCTCTAAGTTTCAGTAAGTGAATTGCTGAATTCTAAGTCAGTCTAAGAAGAGCAAAGGCAGCAAACACACTCATTGACTTTGCTGCTACAGTGGTACCTCGGGTCACATACGCTTCAGGTTGCATACACTTCAGGTTACAGACTCTGCTAACCCAGAAATATTACCTCGGGTTAAGAACTTTGCTTCAGGATGAGAACAGAAATCATGCAGCAGGGGTGCAGTGGCAGCAGGAGGCCCCATTAGCTAAAGTGGTGCTCCAGGTTAAGAACAGTTTCAGGTTAAGTACAGACCTCCAGAATGAATTAAGTTCTTAACCCGAGGTACCACTGTACTGGGAAGTGTAAAATAACAAGTAAGCCTCTCATTAAAAAAAAAAATACAGTCAACAAAAATGCTGTTTAAGGAACCCGCATTATCTTAGTCATTGATTCTAACTGGCTGATTACAATTTAAAAGCCAGATAAAAATAGCAAGTTTAAGATTAGACCCCTCTCATACGGGAAGAACCCAGCATGTGTAACTTGGAGCGCACGCACACACCAAAATATCCCACAGAGCAATACGAACAAAGCTGAAGTGATACTTACGCATGTCGCCAAAAGACCCTTTGGTGACATTCTTGGCTTGCTTAATCGTCACGGTAAAGATGTGCGAATACTGGTGTTCCACCTGCATGCCAAAAGAACAGCTGATGTTAGGAAGGAAATGAAAGGCCACAGAGCGCATAAATCAAACAACCCTCTCCAACCCATTTTCAACTTGTCTAAGACACTCCCCAAGTTTGTTTTCCCAAAAGCAAATGAAGCACCCACTGGAAGACAAAGCATCTTGAATCAGAAGTCTTCAGCTTTACTGAACATTGAGACTACATTGAGCGTAACCGACTAGAACTACTCCTACACAACTGCTCGTTCCCCTCGCCACCACACCTTTGTGTTTTTAATTTTTAGCGTCAATGAATTCAACACTCCTCCCCTCCAAGCACTGGTATTGCACAGACATTTCGTTAGTCATCAAAAAACACAGCAGGGGCTGAGGAAGCCAAAAGTTGTTTTATAGATGCCTTTAACTTTACCCTGTGCTTGTAATTCCCTCCTACGGGAAAGGTACAATTATACCTAAATACTATATTGCAGAAGGCATACCGTATGCCTATGTGCATGTGGAAATGGGTTTACATTCAGGATACTTACATATACTAGAGCAGTTGTTTTCCAACTTTCTAACTTCACAGGATCCTTTCCACACTGGCCTGGCTCAGACCCCATGCTAAGCCACACAACGGCTTGCCAGGACCATGCAAATATCCTTTCCTATCAAGACAGGCAGCTTTATTGACGCCACCAGTAACACTGTGTTCTGTGATGTAGTACCCCAACGTTTTGCCCTAACCTGTTAGGCCAGACTCTCTGCTTTACCCCAAATCACCTTCCAGTTTGGCTGCGCAATCAAGGCAGCTTTTGACATCAGCTGGAAGGGAAATTGGCTAGAAGGGAAATTGACTTCTGCTGCCTCTTCCAGGTCTCCTCTCTCAGTGGCTTTTGACACAGTGAGTTGCATTCTTGTATCAGCCCAGCTGTGAGTTTTAGCTGAGGGTGAAGTTCAGTATTGTGCCATCAGCGTTCTTTAACAACCAGGTTCCTTTCTAATAGCCCCAGGTTCCTCCTTGGACCCTGGCAAGATATATTCTGCAATTTTGTAGGACCAGGGCCGGATTTAAGTTTGATTAAGCTACTGAAGGTAATGGGGCCCTTTATATGTCCAGCTGTCCTTTGTCAACAACAAATTGCTGCTGTTTTTTGTGTTGAATATATGCTATATGGTAACTTATGGACCTAATAGGTATCTAAAGCCATTTGCCCATAACAAAATATGTATTTTATCAAAGTAATTGTTGAACTGAAATACAATTAAGAAGAAGTACTGTATATTAATAGTGAAATACAATTAAGAAGTAGTTTATTAATAGTGAAATAATTACCAGTGATATTTTAGGGAGCAGGCTATCAGGTGGGGCCCATGACTTATGGTACATCATAGGAGCCTACACAACACAAAACACTGTTGCTGTATGTAGGTTTTATTTTATTTGTTTTTTATCTTATATTTTGGAAAGGTACATCCAGTTTTTTTTCCCTTTGCATTTTTTGAGGAGGCCCAAGAGAGTGGGGCCCTAAGCTATAGATTGTTAGCTTATACGTAAATCCAGCACTGTGTAGGACCATACTGAATCTGCAATTAGGAGACCCTACACATTTATGGAGTAGCTGTCCCCAACGTACTGAGGACACTCAACTTTATTGAGTTAACTCAATATGGAAAGAAATCAAAAGAGATTTGGATACATGGAATAGAATAACGCTATCCTGGTCCGGGAGAATAGCAGTAATTAAAATGAACATCCTTCTGAAGATGTTGTTTCTTTTTCAGACCATCCCCCTAATTAAGGGATCAACACAGTTTAAGGATTGGCAAAAAACCCTATCAAAATTCATCTGGCAAGGGAAGAGACCAAGAATCAAATTTCAATTACTAACTGATCGAAAGGAAAGAGGAGGATTCGCTGTTCCAAATTTAAAATTATATTATGAAGCATCCTGTTTATGTTGGGTTAAGGAATGGATCACTTTAGAAAACACGGACTTATTGGACTTGGAGGGATTCAATAACAGATTCGGGTGGCATTCGTATTTATGGCATGATAAGGTGAAGGTACACCAGGGTTTTTCAAATCATATTTTTAGAGGTGCCCTATACAAAGTTTGGGGGGAAAATAAAAATCTATTAGAAAGATACACACCCTGGTGGCTATCACCGATAGATATATTAACAACAAAAAAACTAAAAATGGAAGGAGAAAGAATAACATATGAAGATATATTAGTAAAAACGGAGGGAGGATGGAAAGTGAAAACGTGAGGAATTAAAAAATGAGTTGACAGGATGGTTACAGTATCACCAGATAAATGCTTTATGGAAGGAGGACAAAAAATTGGGATTCAGTGAGAAAAAATCTAAATATCAAACAGAAATTTTGGAAGGAAAAACAAAACTTTTATCTAAGATGTATAACTTTTTATTGGAGTGGGACACCAAGGATGAGGTAATTAAGGAAGTGATGGTAAAGTGGGCAATTGACTTCGGTTATAATATAGAATATGACAATTAGATATATTTATGGAATAAAGAAATGAAATTCACGGCATGCTCCACCCTAAGATAAAACCTAGAGAAGATGATGTACTGGTGGTATATTACCCTGGTCAAACTGGCGAAAATGTACAAAACGGAAAACAAAGTTTGTTGGAAATGTAAAAATAAAGATGGGGACCTTTATCATATGTGGTGGGTATGCGAGAAAATGAAAAGATTTTGGAACCTGATATATGATGAATTAAAGAAACTTTTTAGATACACCTGCCAAAAAAACCTGGAGGCATTCTTATTAGGGATAATAGGGGATGAAATAAAAAAAGAAGACCATAAGTTATTTCAATATGCAATGGTGGCAGCTAGGGTCCTTGTAGCACAAAAATGGAAGTCATCAGAGATTCCAACAATCATGGAATGGCAGGTAAAACTTTTTGAATATGCTGAATTAGCAATAATGACAAATAAAATTCGACACCAAAAAGGGTCAAAGTTCACAAAAGAATGGAGTAAATTTATGACATATATAGAATTGAACTGTAGAAGTTTAAGAACTACAGCAGGATTAGGATAATTCCTGTGACGTGTGTAGAAAAGCAGAAGAAACTGTAAGAGGAGATGTACATTATGAAAACCGCAACTGGGAGGGAAGGAAGTCGAGGCACGATTTAGTGCAATGTAAATAAGATGACATTAAGAATGAATGTAAAGATTGTTTTATTTATTTATTTATTGGAAAATGACAATAAAAAGTATTTTTTTTAAAAAAAAATTGTCCTTTCAACAGCTAGTCTAGGAACAGATTTATTGGGGTGGGGAGCTGGTTGATAAGAGGAAAACATAATGAGAGTAAAAAACAAATAAATTAAAAGAAATGCTGCTTAGGAATTCCTGTTTTCAGACGTTATCTGCCCAGCTGACGCACCTCAAACACCATAAACAAGGTGGGGTTTTAACAATACAATGGCAGGGTTAACTTGACATTATTGTCAGAATATTAGTTTATTAACTAGCTTCGTTGCCTGGGGCAAATAAGGATCCTCTCCTGGAAGTAGGCAGAGAACTTTTTATAACAGGGGTGGGAGACCTCAGGCCAAAAACAGGCCCCCAGGCCTTTGTATCTGGCCCTCAAGAGTCCGCCCAGAACAAGGTGGGAACATGAGGGAACACAACTTCAAGACTGAAAAAGGTCCCCACTCCCATTTCATGGAGTGAAAGTTTGTTCTTCTTCTTCCTTCATGCCATCAACAGAAGCGAAAAATATCTGGCAGGGTCCTTGTCCTTTGCTTCTAACCGGCAGGTACTGCATGGCTAACAAGGTGCCAGCAAGCTTCCTTAGGGAAGGCACGCTGATCTTGCTTCTCTTTTTATAATCAGCCATTTTGTTAAAATGTATCCTTGGGGAGGAAGGACAGGAGAAAAACTCCAAAAAACAAACAAACAGCATGTGAGTATAAAGCCAGTGAAAACCATTCATTCATGAAGACGTCTTTAAACAGATCAATAAATACTGTTTGGTTAAAAAGAGAAGATTCATACCTCAAAGGCCTGTCTAAACAATATGCTTTGCAAAACAAAACAAAAAGTTTCAAAGAAGGGAGGGATGATTCCTCCCAAACCTCTATTGATAGAGCGTTCCCTAGTAAAAGCCAACCAAAGCTTTCTAGGCCTACTGGGAAAGCCCAGAGTTCGCCCTGACCGTTCCTACAGTGTCTGTGACAGGAACACTAAGTCATGGTGCTGAAACTGAACGCATCATGTCCGCACCCGCATTTTCCTTCTACTTCCTTGGGAGCAGCAAGGAAGCTTAAGAAGACGTTTAAGAAAGGGGGAAAGATTCGTTTCAACAGCTCCCTTCACAAAAGCACGTTTCCTTCTTTGCACAGGGACAGAGAGAACTAAGGATAAAATAATTACTTATTAAAGGTAAAGGGACCCCTGACCATTAGGTCCAGTCGTGGCCGACTCTGGGGTTGCGGCACTCATCTCGCTTTATTGGCCGAGGGAGTCGGCGTACAGCTTCCAGGTCATGTGGCCAGCATGACTAAGCCACTTCTGGCGAACCAGAGCAATGCATGGAAACGCCGTTTACCTTCCCACCGGAGTGGTACCTATTTATCTACTTGCACTTTGACGTGCTTTCAAACTGCTAGGTTGGCAGGAGCAGGGACCGAGCAACGGGAGCTCACCCCGTCGCGGGGATTCGAACCACCGACCTTCTGATCGGCAAGCCCTAGACCCACAGCGCCACCCGCGTCCCTCCCAATTACTTATTAATTGGTTATTAATGGCATTTATATATTGCCTTTCTGCACCAAAGGCAACCAAGGCCGGTTTACAATAAACACAAGCAAAAAAAGGTACAGATTTTTCTCAAGCCGGCCTTCAGCGGCTTATGACACCAGCTCCCTGGCTTCTGCTTTCCCTCAAGGCACCCAGGTCTTGAATGGCCCCAGGGAAGATGGCGGGTGGGGTTTCTCCAACTGTCTTCTCAGGCCACCGATGGGCTCCTTCAGGCACTGGTGGTTATGTGCTCCCTTCTCTTTGGGCTCTCCTCAGAAACACTTATGGTAGTTATATACTTGCATATATTAAGTATAATGATTACTTAGCATGCACGAATAGCACTTTATAGACCATTCAGAACACTTCACATACATTCCTTATAACTAATTTCCAAGGTGGCCATTATTATTATCCTTATATTGAAGACCAACAGGAGGGAGGAGCAGAGGGCCAAAAGCACAGCTGTAAGGCAAGACCGTTCTGGCCAAATCTGACACAACTCCCAAGAAGAATGTGGTTTATGAGAGGGCCCTACTTCTATCAAATTGCTCAAAAGCCTAGAGAAACTACTGAGTCATTTGTCAGGGAAAGGCAGCCAATGTAACACCAATTATTAAAAAGGGATCCGGGGTAGGGGGGATCCTGGAACCTATAGGCCGGTTAACTTAATGCCCGTTCTGGAAGAACTGGTGGGAAGCATTGTAGAAGGTGGAACTACCAAGCACATATAAGCACAAGTCTTGCTGAGGGAGAACCAAAATGGCCTCTGTGAGGGCAAGTCCTGTCTCACTAACTGCTGAGAGTTCTGTGACAGTGTTAAACAGTAGATAACAGAGGCGATCTGGTTGACCCTGTGTAGATGGGCCTTTGGTCTGATGTTTGCTTGTTTTTCAATGATTAAGATAGAAACAATTTTGCTGACACATCAGAAGAAAAGGAACCATTCATCACTGCACCTTACCAATAAATTTTGGAAAAGGCTAGCACCTGGGAGCTCAGCACTATTGGGTTTTTGTGGATTACGTACTATTCAAGTACTGATACTCCCCTTGCCTGACATTACCTGCCATAGCATTGTTGCACAACTGAAGAATATATTTGATTACTTCGGCTTTTCAGAAGAGCTTGGACCAACCATGCAACCCAGCTTATGGCAGTAGAATTTCAGCCATTCTTACTAGCCCTCACTAAGCACAAACTGTAAGGCAGAGACAATTGCCCACATATTGCTATTTTAAGTGACAACTCAATACAATCAATAGCTGCTGACTGTAGCTCAACAGAACTGCTAATAGGGTGAGAAATCACAACACTCATTCAAATCCTAAAGAAGGAACTCATTGCAAAATGGACTGTCTGGAAAGTGTTGCTACGTCAGATTACCAAGCTAACAGAGGCTATAAACATTTCTATAATGGGCAGAATTCAGTGTGAACTACCAGAGGAGACAGTTTATATATTAAATTTGATGAAGAAAAGACATTGCATACTTCAGGTACCGTACAAAGGTAATACAAATCATCCAGAATGTATTCTGTTGAGGCCGAACATGGGAATGTGTAAGAGATGCTGATGACTACTTCTCCCTGCTTCTGAAAACATTCACTCATCAAATGCAGAAGTCAAGTTCATCTATGAAGTCTTTTGTACTCAAGACTTCACTTGACTGACAACAATGGAAGATCATCACTCAATCTAGACTTCAGAAAGGCTTCAAGATTCAAAGTTCTTGCCTAGCTTCCTGGCTGGTGTGTACTCATGAGAGGAAGGGCTATAGCTCAGCAGAAGAACACAACATGGATCAATCATCTCACTCCGAATAAGCTTTCTATGTTTATATGTCATCCAAACCTTCCATGAACATTCTACTTCTCATTTTAATCATATCACTTTTCCTCCTGCACAGGCTTCCTTTTTCTCAGCCTGTTTATCTTAAGCTTATTCTTTTGGTCTACTATAAATATTTACTTCTGTTGCTCCCGTTTATTGTCTTAGAAACTCAAAAACTTTTTTTAAAAAAGACAGAGTTAGAGCACAGTCCTATCACACACAAACACCCAACACACACACATTTATGCCAGGGTTAGGCAGAGGAAAATGCAACCCTTTACCCCTACAGTGAGTATAAAAGGTGTCATGTGTCCTGCAGGCTTATGCTTCTGTTGCAAATAAGATTTAGATAAATACAGGTTCTGCTGAATGGTAACTGTCAATTTTCTTCCAGCTATACTGCATAATTAAACTCAGAGAGGATAAACTCACAGACCTCAACATTACTCTGGAACTGAAAATAGCTTCTCCCCAGTCTTTCCAGATAGCAGTTGTTGCACAAAAGGAAAGGGGAGTGTTTGAGTGTGCATAAACAACATCGTTTTCTTCCAGCCTGCATTCATTTATCCATACACCATCCTGGTTCTCTACTCACACTAACCTACCGTATTTTTCGCTCTATAGGACACACTTTTTCCCCTCCAAAAATTAAAGGGAAATGTGTGTGCGTCCTATGGAGAGAATGCAGGCTCCTTGGCTTCAGCGATAGCAACGCAAAGCCTCCGAAGCGCAGAGGGAGCGCTCCTTTCGCTGAAGCCTGGAGAGCGAGAGGGGTCGGCTTCAGGGATAGCCGCCTGAAGCCTCCGGAGCGCAGCGGGAGCTCCCACTGCGCTCCGGAGAGTTCAGGTTCCTTTTGCTGAAGCCAGGAGAGCAAGACTCTCCTGGCTTCAGCAGAGAGGGAGAGCTGCGCAGCGGCCCTTCAGCGAAGCAGGAGGAGAAATGGAAGGGGCTCCGTTTCTCCTGCCACTTCGCTGAAGGGGCACTGAGCAGAGAGGGGGAGAAATTTTTTTTTTCTTGTTCTCCCCCTCTAAAACAAGGTGCATCCTATAGAGCGGAAAATACAGAATATGGATTTGGAGACTATGCTTCACCCATCTGCATGCACAGAAAGAGTGAGGGAAACCTACCATTGTAAAAAAAAATATTTGCATAAGAGTGGTTACATTTACTTATGTATTTTAAAACTTTTAAAAGCTTTGCTCTAGAACCAAAAAGGTTCCCAGTGTTCCTTAGACAATAGCAGTTAAGACATCCCTGACTGCAGGCTCACATCCTAAAAGACAAAACACAAAAGGGAAAAGCTCTGGAGAAGGAAGAGGATGACAAGCAAACCAATTCTTACATTTGTTTTTAATAATGAGTAGCCTTGAATGGAAACAGGCAGGGAGAAGGGGAGCCAATCAGAGCTGGTTTGTCAAGGAAGCCAATTGAGTGGCCCAAAAGTTCTGTCTCTCCTTCACTCCAGCCAATTGGAACAGTTGCTAATAGGTGACAGCTGAGGGTTGCAGGAGCCAAAAGGCGCTGATTTAACTGAGGGATTGGTGGTATTGGTAAAATCAGTCCTTTTTTGTTAAAATGTTTATTAAATTTCTGTTTTACGTTTTAGAATATTCACTTAAACATCCTTAAAATATCAATGACTTTCCTTCCTCTCTTTCCATGGTTCATATTGCACAACATAAATCCCTGCATATTTTATAGACGGTAAACTAAACCATTCAGTATTCCATTATAACATCCATCAAAACTTATTTACACTGTTGAATTCATCTTAAGGCTGCCCACGTTTTCAGATATACACAATTTTCCTCCATATATTCCATAAACCTTTTCCAATCTTCTCTAAACGTATGTTCTTCTTGTTCTCTTATTCTATATGTGAGGTCCGCAAGCTGTGCATATTCCATCAGTTTAAGTTGCCATTCTTCTTTAGTTGGGACTTCGCTCGTTTTCCATTTTGGGGCTAACAAAACACGAACTGTAGTAGTAAAATCAGTCCTTTGCATGCAGATAATAAGATGGCTGGTTTTTTAAAAAAAGGATTCCTATTCTTCTTATGCCCCAGCTCTAAATCGGACATGTGACAATTTCTAAAACAATTGCAGAGGTTTGCTTTATTTGGAGCAAAATGCAGGCCTAAGTAGCTGTGAGGGACCATAACGAAAACAGAACTCACTGAAATTTCTGCCTTTTAATGCTATTTGACGGTGGTGACCAGGACTGTACTTCATAGTAGTTGGTTGTTGTTACCATGTAAAGCTTCAGCTGTTTTGTATTATATGTTTGGTATTCTGACGCGGGCGGCGCTGTGGTCTAAACCACAGAGCCTAGGGCTTGCCAATAGAAGGTTGGCAGTTTGAATCCCCGCGATGGGGTGAGCTCCCGTTGCTCGGTCCCTGCTCCTGCCAACCTAGCAGTCTGAAAGCACGTCAAAGTGCAAGTAGATAAATAGGTACCACTCCGATGGGAAGGTAAACGGCGTTTCCGTGCGCTGCTCTGGTCCGTCAGAAGCGGCTTAGTCATGCTTGGCACATGACCCGGAAGCTGTACGCCGGCTCCCTCGGCCAGTAAAGCGAGATGAGCGCCGCAACCCCAGAGTCACCTGCGACTGGACCTAATGGTCAGGGGTCCCTTTAACTTTACCTTTTATCCTGACTCTGGCTACCTGGCATCAGTCGTTTGCTTATTTGTTTCATCTCACAACATTTATTTACCACTCGATTGAAAGAAAACTTAAAAAGAAAATAAAACAATAAGCTGCTTCTGCAGCACAGTAGACAGTGATGGATCTGGAAGTCGTTAGAAGTGTTTGAGCACACTGTAAAACTTTCAGATATTCAAATATTCCAAGTGACACTTTTCATCCAGGAGGTGGCAGGAGTAGCTAACCTCATCCTCTTACAGAAAAGATGCAAGCCATTGCGCAGGATTACTACTACGTGACAACCTGCAACTGGATAAACCCTTAATATGATCATGTTCGTCCTTCATTCCTCACAAACAAACATGCGAACATTAGACTCCCATTGGTGAAGCCATAGAGTGGTGAAATACGCGCTTTTACAGCCTCTTTGCAGCAGACTTACTGAAAAGGATGTGACTGTATGTGGAGGGAAACCCAAAGCCACAGAGATGATAAAGGATCACTTCAAGGAAGCCCAGAAAAGTATTTTTAGCACCCCAGTAGTTTAGCATTATGATGAATAATCTGGCAGCTACCTCTGAACAGACGCTGCTTTCTTTTCCTGCTACCAGCTATTTCCAGAGAATCTGGATATACTACAGCTAATATTTTCATACAGTTCTCCGGAGAATAAGAACCCACGTGTTAATTTCAGTAAAAGTACACCTGCATTTAAGGGTGTAATTACTAATTTTCACAGTAAAAAAATTAAAATGTATTTGCCCATAATGATTTGAACTGAAGCAAACAGAACTCAAACTGAACCATTTTGCCTTAACTAAAAAATAATAATCCATAAGCGATAGTCGATTTGCACTACTCTTGTTCAGCCCATTGAGTAAAGGACAGAGGGAGAGTCTTAGATACTCAAGGATTGTCCGCTAAGTTTCTAATTATGCCGACTGGTTTTTGACCAATTTACTCAGCTGGCATCCCTCACAATCTTAAGCGGTGTTTCCTGATCAAGTCTGTAAAATGACGTCTGAACGATATAGAGTTGTAAAGGCCCCAGAAAAATTAGGGGGTGGGGAAGAGACATTTTCCAGGAAAAAAGCTCTTTCTGTGACATGTTTTCTTGCTGCATAAAGAACATTTTAAAGCCCCTGTCTAGCTTACAGGGCTCTGGGAATATAATGTGACGCCTTTGCAGAACCTCCTGCAAGATTTCACAAGATTTCTGCAATCTTGTAAGATCTTGTGAGAGGTTCTCCAGAGGCCTCGCATGACCTTCCCAGAGCCGCTAAGCAAGGCAAAAGGGGCTTAAAAAGCTACCCACCTTGCATGAGGGGAGCAATTCCCACTCAGAACTGGATGTGGTCATTGTGGGGGTGTTCTGGCTTTGTGCGATTTTGCCTGTACAGTGGTACCTCGGGTTACATATGCTTCATGTTACAGACTCCTCTAACCCAGAAATAGTGCTTCAGGTTAAGAACTTTGCTTCAGGATAAGAACAGAAATCGTGCTCCGGCGGCACAGCGGCAGCAGGAGGCCCCATTAGCCAAAGTGGTGCTTCAGGTTAAGAACAGTTTCAGCTTAAGAACGGACCTCCAGAACGAATTAAGTACTTAACCTGAGGTACCACTGTATACCAAGTAGTACAATTTTATATTCCAAACAAGTAATAAAATAACCCACTTAAGTAGTTAAAACAGTAAAATGGGTGCAGGGCATAGCTGTCAACCGTCCCTTATTTGGCGGGGAACTCCCTTATCCCAGCGTCGTGTCCCGCTGCTGTCCCTTACTGATGACGTCCCTTAAATTTCCCGGGTTTCATGCTCGCCTGGCTCGGGAGGGAAGCAGCGGCTTGGTGTCCTGAGCCATGAGAGAGAGAGAGCGCACGAGCTGCCACATCTCTGTCTCTCCCTTTTCCCCCTCAGGGGCGCGTCGTGAGGCGATGGGTGGCGGCGGGCGGGCAGGCAGCCCCTCTCTTGCGAGACATCCGCCGCGCTGCCAAGGGAAGCCAGAGGCGGCAGAGGCGGCGGCTGAGGAGGCGGCCTGAGGGAGGAGGAAGAGGAGGGGATGGGGAGGGTCGCAGAAGGGCGGCGCCGCAACCGCTTCATGCTGGGCTCGCGGGCGGCGTGGGCGAGAGTCTCTCTCCCTCCCTCCCTCTCTCTCGGGCGGGGAAGGGCCGATGGAACTCCTCACGCCAGGGCGACGGCAGCCCCTACGGGCTGCTTAGCATACCCTCCAACCAGTGCAGCATCTTAATGTAGTGATTTCCCCCTCTGCATCCCTTTTATAACTCTATTTTTATAAATCATTTGTCCATCCATAGTTCAAATTTTTACTACAAGTTTTCTGTCAATCCTACCAATGTATGTTACTCTTTACAATAGCTTTTCAACTAAAATATAAACTTTCCCCATTCCTTATTAAAGAGGTCCTCTTCCTGGTTTCTAATTCTGCCTATAAGCTTTGCCATCTCAACATCGTTCATCAGTTTTGTCTGCCCCTCTTCTTTGGTGGGAGTTGTAGACCCTTAGGATCATCTAGTCCAACACCCTGCAAAACACAGTCAGTGGCAGCAAAAGCAGCATGGATCCATCAGTGCCGGATTTCTGTATAAGCTAAGCAAAATCCTTTATTTTGGCTGCTAATCCCTTATTTTCGAGGCTGCTGGTCCCTTATTTTCAAATCTGTAAGTTGACAGCTATGCTGCGGGGTTCATAAGTAAGTTTAGCGGATATTTTGGTTTTTCCCAAAAATGTCATCCCTACCCCCCCCCACCCCCGTGTTGAGGCCATGGGCATAGCCGGGGGGGGACAGGGAGGGGCAATTGCCCCCACCCTAAATTAATAAAAAAACATAGCTAGCAAAAGGCCTGCCCCCTCCCTAACAAATCTCCTGGCTACGCCCATGGTTGAGCTTCAACAATTCAACAAATTTTACACCTCTAAAACTTGAAATCAACTATTTCTTGCGGTTGAGCTCCTTCAACTTCCTCTGCCTTTAGTTCTTCTTGCTTGAAGGAAGGTCATTCGCAAGTTTTCAATACAAGCCTTCCACATCTAGTTTCCGTAATTTGTCAGAGGGGGAATTGTCTTCTTGAAAAGCGGACAGCAAACCAGAATCCTGAAGTCTTTGCTTATTTTCAGCCCCTCAACTAATCAGTTTAATCTGTAATTAAAGTTTTAGTTACCTAGTTACACCCTAGTACAGAATTTATCTTACTAAACATATCAGCTTTTGCATTTACGGTTGTTTTTTTACAGAGTTTATATCCCCTTATCTTCAGAAATACATGAATTGAGGCCAGCTGGAATATTTTTTTTCCTTACTCAGTGCACTTAAAATATTTTCACGTCAAGTTTTTTTTCACATTTTTCCCGGCTCGCCCAAACTTACAGTGCATAATGCTTATACACACAATCCCTAAAATTGCAAGCCTCGTTAAAATAATTTGCGGTAGTTAATGTCATTGTTATTAGCCGCAGTTTATCCTGAGCACTGGGAATAGAAAGTCTAATCAACTCACCATAATTTGCTGATAAGGATCTGTAGAAGACATTTTGGTTTCGGTAACTGCCTGAAACAGGCGGTGGACGATGTTATCCGCTGCTGATGTAATGTTCTTTTCACACTGGACTCACACAGTCTTCTAAGGGCTGTATAATTTAAAAAGCCAGAAAAAAGTTTTAACTCTTTTTATTTCTGCAGCCAATCTCCAGACATAATACCGTGCCCCTTATGCACCACCCACCCAAAAAACCCTCTCTTGTGCCAAACCAACTTCCTGCTGGCTTTAAGGAAAGACAAGCAAAAACAATTGTTTGGCCCAACAGGCTGAAACTTTAACCTGCCATCTTTCAGGCTGCTAGTTTAAAAGTCCCGGTGGTAGGTTTGTGTTCCAGCACCTCATTTTTCTCTCTTCGTTGAGAGGGGGCTTTGCAAAGTTCAGTTCAACTAAGGTGGAAAGAGCCTTCCAGCATTTCTTTCCAGTGCCTCAAATTTATGGAGTTCCACGTGTAAAATTAAGCAGGCATAGCGGGAAGGAAGGAAGCCCCAGTGTACAGTGGTACCTCGAGTTACATACGCTTCAGGTTACATACGCTTCCGGTTACACACTCCGCTAACCCAGAAATAGTACCTCGGGTTAAGAACTTTGCTTCAGGATGATAACAGAAATCGTGCTCCGACGGTGCGGCAGCAGCAGGAGACCCCATTAGCTAAAGTGGTGCTTCAGGTTAAGAACAGGTTAAGAACAGACCTCCAGAATGAATTAAGTACTTAACCTGAGGTACCACTGTATTTGATTGGGGCTTACTCTGAATAAAATGCAGAAAATACAGCTGTCCGTTTTTCAAAGGTAGTCACTATACCTGCAAGTATTTCGCTTATATATTTAAAAATATTTCTAACTTGTCTTTCAGAATTAACTGAGCTAACTATTGCAAGGTTTTCATTGTCCAGTGGGGCATGTAGCCAACTACTGTATGTCCAACAGCAGTGACAGATCTATGTGTAAAAGGTAAAGGTAAAGGACCCCTGGACGGTTAAGTCCAGTCAAAGGCAACTATGGGGTTGTGGTGTTCAGCTCGCTTTCAGGCTGAGGGAGCCTGAAATCATATGGTGATTTCAGCAACTATGGTGATGTGCCGGCCATATTTATGAGCCGTTCAAACAGAACACTTGGACAGTTCCATAATTCAAGCTATGCAAATATTGTATTAAGTGATGCAAAAAAGCTGTTGGGAACAATGTGGAAGAAGACCCTGAACAAGCAAATCCATATTTCCTTCTCCCTGCCAGAGCCACTCCCCACAGACTCCACTGCTATTCTCCACAGAGCATTCACCAATATTTATAATATGAAGCAAATAATTGTACTGTAGAACACGGACCGCCTTTTCCTGAGATGTCATGATAAGGACGGCATTGTCAGAAATCTCCAACAGGGCATTTTTAAGAGGAATCTTTCAGGGGCAAAGCTACATGAAACATTTATGTCTGAAAGTATCACCACAGCATAAAATTATTGAATTTGAGCTTCAAAAAGAAAAATGGAGATCTAGATTTATCACTCCAACAAAAGTCCACCATGTATTGACCTCAAAGAGACATTTAGGGAGTATGAGTTCTCGACTCTCCCAAGATCCCTCTTTCTATGGAATCTGGAAGCACTTCTTACCCGTCGAAAGTCAGGCTTGTCCTAGAGTCCACAGAGACACACAGACCCATTTTTGAGGATTTCCTCCCAATCTTTGTAGGCTTCTAAATTATCATGGAATGCAACTCTAAGCAAGATAGCATGTACCTTGGTTCTCAAACTTAATCTGTTCCAGGAGTCCGTTTGACTCCCGAAACAGTTCGAAAACCAAGGCACGGCTTCCGATTGGATGCAGGAGCTTCCTGCACTCAAGCGAAAGCTGCGTCGGACGTTCAGCTTCTGAAAAACATTCTCAAACCAGAACACTTACTTCTGGGTCTGCGGCATTCGGGAGCCGATTTGTTCGACAACTAAGCCGTTCAGGAACCAAGGTACCACCGTATATGCACACAAGGAAAATCCGTAGGTGTTGTATCATCACACACTTTGCACATGAATTATAACCACTGGGCAGTTATAAATTTTCCTTTCCAAAAACCCTAGTCTAACCCACAGAGGGCATCTTCTTGTGTTCTTAGGACAACCCCATGCCAATTGTTGATGTAGCTTTGGTATTTCCATACTTCTGAAACTTTTATTGTTATAGCAAAACCAAATTGTAGTGGTACACCATGTATGCAGCTTTACTTCCTGGTGTCTGAACAGCAAATGCTTTGTTCAGAGGTGTTGCGAAGAGTCATCTCTCAAAACAATAATGGAAAGATTAAGGGGAAACAAGGAGACATCTTCCGTGTAAGCAGTAAGGCGAGATGCAAAATTGTGCAAACATATATTTCAGGAAATATCAAGAGCTATACAAAACAGACCATTATATTTATATTATGCCATTTCTACACACATTTCCAGGTGCTGGAGATAATGACCTGTGCCCCACATATCATATCACATCCCAGTCATTTTACCTAGATTCTGATAGCACTACCAATATTTAATTACAGCTGATACACAAGTGCCACTGAACACTGAAGGACTTAGCTCCAAGTAAACATGCACAGGATTGTCCTGTTACAACATGCTAAAAAAGTTTCCCATAGTTTCACTCATAAAGCTGAGGAAAAGCATTGGGCAAGCTGTATAAAATATAGGTAAAGGTAAAGGTAAAGGTAAAGGTAAAGGGACCCCTGACCATTAGGTCCAGTTGTGGCCAACTCTGAGGTTGCGGCGCTCATCTCGCTTTATTGGCTGAGGGAGCCGGCGTACAGCTTCCGGGTCATGTGGCCAGCATGACTAAGCCGCTTCTGGCAAACCAGAGCAGCACACGGAAACGCTGTTTACCTTCCCGCCAGAGTGGTACTTATTTATCTACTTGCAGTTTGACATGCTTTCGAACTGCTAGGTTGGCAGGAGCAGGGACCGAGCAATGGGAGCTCACCCCGTCGTGGGGATTCGAACCGCCGACCTTCTGATCGGCAAGTCCTAGGCTCTGTGGTTTAACCCACAGTGCCACCCGCGGCCCTAAAATATAGGTAGTCATGTACTTAATATTAACATTTATTTACTATTTACTTATTTCATTTATATCCTGTCTTGGCTGTGGGAGAAGCAAGACCCTCTTGGGGTGTTAATGCTGTGAGGCAAAAGGTAAAAGGCAAAGGACCCCTGGACGGTTAAGTCCAGTCAAAGGCGACTATGGGGTTGTGGCGCTCATCTCACTTTCAGGCTGAGGGAGCTGGTGTTTGTCCACAGACAGCTTTCCGGGTCATGTGGCCAGCAGGACTAAATCGCTTCTCGTGCAATGGAACACCGTGACAGAAACCAGAGTGCATGGAATTGCCATTTACCTTCCTGCCACAGTGATACCTATTTATCTACTTGCACTGGCATGCTTCCAAACTGCTAGGTTGGTAGAAGCTGGGACAGAGCAACAGGAGCGTCACAGGGATTCGAACCGCTGACCTTCCGATCAGCAAGCCCAAGAGGCTCAGTGGTTTAGACCACAGCGCCACCAGCTCTGAACCCCTCCATCTTATATACATCCTAAAGACACCACAGGCTCCGCTGTCCCCCATTCCAAGGAAACTGAACCCTGGGTAATCTCCTGGAACCCTTGGAATCTTGCACTGCTCAGAGATTGGGGTACACCAATGTTTTGGAAAGTGGTTTATCTGTCTGTTCCCCGTCCGTTCAAACACCTATAGAGTTATTGTTGCCAAACTTGGCATGACAGTTCCCAAGATGGAGGTGCAGATTTTTGTCTATGTTTGGACAATGTTGGGTACCATTTAGAATCAAGTTGGAAGACCAAAATGTTCCAAACTGTAATGATCTGGACATTCCTGAAGAGGACCATCACCAAATTTGGTACAATGGTTTCCAAGATCAAGGAGTGTGTTTTGTTCTATGTTTAGAAACCACTGGGTGCCATTTTGGATCAAGATGGAAGACCAAAACATTCCAAACCGCACTGATTTGGACACCCCTAAAGATATAATCACCCCACTAAGTGTAGTGGTTCTTGAGATCAAGGTGGTTCTGGTTTATATTTGGATACAATTTTAAATCAAGATGGTGTGCTGACCCTTTCCAAACTCTAACCAAATTTAGCAAAAAATTTTCAGATGTAAGAGTGTTTTATACATGAAATTCTCAGTACTCTCTTTACACTTTTAAAAATTTGTTCTCATACAGTCGCATAGTTGAGAACAGCATAAAGGTCACTGAATCCAACCTCATCTTATGGAAGATTCACCTCTCTACACACCAACAAATACGATCCCAGCTAGGGTAAAGAGCTGGTACACTGCAGGACAAATTACCTCCAGGCAAATCTGCATGTTGTTATCAAGCAACTCCTAAGATCTGTCTTCCCATCCATCAGTCTCATACCAATAGCAATAATATTTATCTGACCCAGAAGACATAACCTTACATTCTGTAGTCTAGAATTCAAAACACTGAGACTCCATTTTTTTGGTCCACACGGTTCGTCCTTTTATATATGCCTCCTGCTTTTCGTGCCGTTCACAGATTTACACCATGCCAACATATATGGTGCATGTTGTACAGAATGAGTGTGCGCACTCGTGCACTCCTGCAAAGTAAAATAGTCTGCAAGTGCTCCTTAGGTCATTGGCTCCTCAGTATTGCTATCGCCACTTTCCATTTTAAAACTATATGGGTCTTGGCGGTAAAGAGATCCAGAGCTGTGGTGTTTGGGGTGATCTGAAAGAGGGTGGAAGGAGACTTCTAACAACTCCCATCATGTTTACATACGAGACTTAAAGAGTTTGTTTGCTTAAGGCTACCTACTTACTAACGCCATAGCAGTAGAGGGAGTTGAACCAGGGATTGACTTGATTTCTAGTTCCATCTCTTATCGCTATATTAAACCAACTCGCTATCATAACACATGGTTGGGTGGAAGGTAGATCTGAATCTTCTGCTAGATTCCTGCTTGATCAGCAAGGATTTCTGAGGTTCAGTTGTTTAGCAAAGCTATCTACCAAAGGAAACCCTGCTCTGTCTTTAATTATACAGCTGGAATGAAGAAATCTTGGGGTAACCAAGAACAGATTTGTGTGTGGGAAGACTATGAGCTCCATTCAGTTCTGGGCCTCAGAACAAATTCCTGGGCTCAGGATTCTTTACTTAGTCTATGTCTCTTGCACTTGGCTCAAGAGCACTTGGCTCTCACGGTCCCAGTACAATACAAAGTAGATCCTACAAGCCTTAGGTTTCCCCAGCCCTGCTGTAGCACATTACTCCAATGTATGAATCCAAAGATGGGACCATGAAGATGGTGTTTGTTCTCTTTTGCTTGCGTTACCTCACTGGGCAATCAGGGCAACTACTGGGGAGGGATAAAACCTGCTTCCCCCCTCCGCCGCAAGAAATATGGGTCAACAGAAGTTTGCCCAAGTATACATTCATGCACAAACCCAAAGGAAAAGCTGTGTGCACAATAAAGCCTGTGCAGAATATGCAAGTGTACTATATTGTTGTCAGGTGTGTGTGCAGGAGCCAGGGCCTGTGACCAATAGGACTCTGCAGGACTGGGGCCTTCCTAAGTTTGTTCTGAAGAGGCAAGGTGCGGCCACACAGGTGAGGCCGATTGACCATGACAACTGTTCTCAAGTGTCTTGCAATACAGTACAGTGGTACCTCGGGTTACAGACGCTTCAGGTTACAGACTCTGCTAACCCAGAAATAGTACCTCGAGTTAAGAACTTTACCTCAGGATGAGAACAGAAATCGTGTGTCGGCGGCGGCGTGGCAGCGGCAGCGGGAGGCCCCATTAGCTAAAGTGGTGTCTCAGGTTAAGAACAGTTTCAGGTTAAGAACGGACCTCCGGAACAAATTAAGTACTTAACCCGAGGTACCACTGTATATAGACCTCCCTAGAATCATAGAATTGTTTAGTTGGAAAGGCCTATAAGGGTTATCTAGTCCAACCCCCTGCAATTGCAGCAGGACTCTTTTGCCCAACATGGGGCTTGAACCCACAACCTTGAGATTAAAAGTCTCATGCTCTACCAACTGAGCTATTCACCCCCTGTATGCCACCCCCGATATGGGTGTTTCGAAAGAACTACACAATCACAATGAATTCTTAAAGAACTGGCTAATCATATGTTTCACACTTCTACATTGTCACCTTGGGAGAACAAACTAAATGACAATTAACAGACACCGGATGACTTTATTCAATTGTGCAGAACCAATGGGCTGTACAGTATAGTATGTGGTGCAGGCCCCAGTTCAAATTTCCACCTAGGATTGACCTCTCTCAGTGACTTATCTCACAGGGTTGCCATGAGAATGAAAACAAAAGTTGTAAAACTCTGCAGTTCAAAGGTGTTAAGTCAGCGATAATTAGCCACAAGAAGGTTAAATACTTTTCTCATAACAGTAAAACTCAACAATGGAAAAAAGGGCTCTGGACGTCAGGCACCATTCAGAACTTCCGTTTATTGTGACTCAACAATGGCATTACTTTGAAGTTGTATATTTGCTTTTATTGAAGTATGATGTGATACCTTTGGTCAGAGTGCACAATTTAAAAAAAATAAGCTTGTGTCATTTCCATTAGGTGGCTCTAAGTGTCTGTTCCTTAAATAAATGGAAAAGGAAAGTAACAAAGGCTATGCCCTTTATAGTAGTCATTTATTATGAAGTATTATTGCAACTTGCTGGCATCTTCTCAAGAACAAGCTGAAATCTTGGAACTGGATATGGGTGAACCATAACAAGGGAGTGTGACTCCACCCAGACTAGACATATCCCCAGCCAACTGGTCTAATGAGTGCTTTGCTATCAGTTTTGATTTATCTGGATTGAACTTTACTTAGTAGACCTGTTGGCTGGCGATATTACTGGTATGGGTGGGGGTTACACTCGCCTGTAAGATTCAGGTTGATGGCTTCAACTGCTGGGTTCCACACTGCTCCTATTGTAACCTGGGCTACCTGTGCCAGCTACAGCTGCTTCAGGTAAACAGAAACTCGGCCAACATTGTTCATGCTGTACCAAATAGTATGGGAAACAGCCTTACTAGAAAAATTACCGTATTTTTCGCTCTATAGGACGCACTTTGTCCCCTCCAAAAATGAAGGGGAAATGTGTGTGCGTCCTATGGGGCGAATGCAGGCTTTCGCTGAAGCCTGGAGAGCGAGAGGCACCGACCCCTCTCGCTCTCCAGGCTTCAGGAAGCTATCCGCAAGCCTTGCGAGCCCGGCGGGAGTTTCCGCTGGGCTCGCAAGGTTTGCGGATAGCAGCCTGCAGCCCGAAGCACGGGGCGCACTCTGGAGGGCGCCCCATGCTTCGCGCAGATGTCCGCAAGCCTTGTGAGCCCGGCGGGAGTTGCCGCCGGGCTCGCAAGGCTTGCGGATAGGAGCCTGTTCTGGGGGCTGGGGTCGGGGGAAGCTTGAGCTTCCCCCTCCCCAGCCCCGCGCCTGGGGGGGGGGGGCATAAATATATAGATATTCCCCCCCCCAAAAAAAACCCGAGGTGCGCCCTATAGGGCAAAAAATACGGTAACCAATACAGTGGTACCTCGAGTTACATACGCTTCAGGTTACAGACTCCGCTAACCCAGAAATAGTGCTTCAGGTTAAGAACTTTGCTTCAGGATGAGAACAGAAATCGTGCTCCGGCAGCGCGGCAGCAGCGGGAGGCCCCATTAGCTAAAGTGCTGCTTCAGGTTAAGAACAATTTCAGGTTAAGAACAGATCTCTGGAACGAATTAAGTACTTAACCCGAGGTACCACTGTAAACTGAAACTGACACTGGGACAAATAGAAGAAGATGCCTTCACCCCGGTATGGCTCCCCTTTATCACATACACAGCCCCAACAAGACAATGACAAAAAGTCACCAACAGCATACAAATCAGTATGGCTAACCTGATCCAAAACACCCGCCCACCCCACTCAGACATGAAAGCAAAGACCACCACAGCCAACCACAAATGAACAGCCACACCCTAGGCCAACCCCAACCTCTCTCACCACCAAAGGAACACAAGTGAACAGCAGAGAACCTGCACAAGCAACACTGACACAAAGCCCCACATATATTAAGTAAAATAGAAATATCACCACCCAACCCCAACCCCACTCATCTTCCCCCACCTCTTTCCCCCTATTCTTCCTAATGTCTCAACAAATGAAACCAATTTGTTAAAAAAAAATAATGTTACATGGGGGTGGGAATACGAGAGAGAGAGGCATAGCACATACCTTTGTAAATCAAGAAAATCTTTAATAAAAATACATTTTTAAAAAAGCATTGTTCATTCTGTGGTGAGATCCAGTGTGGTATAGTGGTTAGGAGCACTGGACTAGGACTTGGGAAACCCAGGATCCAATCCCCACTCAGCGGTGAAGATCCCTGGGTGACGGAGAGCCAGTCACTGCCCCTCAGTCTAGCAAATTGGAGTATAGGTGAGCTATACATGTAATAACAAAAACAAACAAATAAATTTCCCAGGTTGCAGCACAGCTCTGTGCTCAAAATAAGTATGCCTTTGAAAATTGTTGGAAAAGTCCTGCTAGCACAAAATGCTTGACTATTGGCAGGTTAGAGTCAGCATATTGTACCCGTATCTTCTGTATTCTGAAAAATATGCACTGGTTACCAGGTTTCCAGACCAAGTACTGCTTTCAGTCTTAAAGCTCTCATCTCCCCGGGTTCTGACTATCTTACGGAATATCTCCTTCCACACTTAGCAGTTAAATGTGTTGGATAAACAGCTTCATATAATCAACATGCTTAACTCTAACCAATGCATGAAGGGGTTAATACAGTAGAGTAAACTGTCCTGTCAGGCTTAGCAATGTCCACTTTCCCTCACCTTGGGAGGAACTAAGTAATCAAGCCTTTGTTCACCCTCTGTCTACCTGAGAAGCTGAACATATAAAGAGATTTGAGCTGGTTGCTCCAGCTCAGACCATATGGCAACCACAAGCCACTCGAGTTCCTATACCAGTAATTTAGGAACTTTCACCACTTTGTAACTAATTTTTCTGTCGCACATGAAACTGACCTTTGGAGAGCTTGTAAGTAACCCATTTTTAACTCACCAAACGTGATCTTTTTCTATGCTGGGGGAGTGGGAAATTTTGGAAGGAGCTTTGAATGGTATAGTTTAAAGGTCTAACAGCTTATATTTCCACACTTTACTTTTCTGCATCTCTTGTGATTTTAAATCTCTGCTGAAATTCTCTCACCAAAGAGTGCTTGCATCAACCCTGGATCTTGGCATCCAGGAATTCTCATGTTATACCTATTCCTTTACCTTGGACCAACAAAACGGGAGCACCAAACACCTAACAGGCCACAAAATACAACTGGTGGGCTGCACTTGGCTTGGTGGGCCAGAAGTTGCCCAGTCCTGTTGAAAATCTTCTTTAAAAATGAACTCCAATGATCCTTAAAGGCTACTTGTCTTCATCATCCTTTGGGAATGCAATCAAACCAGTCCAACTGGCTCATGCAGCCACAGCTAATGACTAACTGATAACTCTTGAAGAGGTTCGATAATAAACCCAGCTTTCTCACATTCTGCTGCATAGGGTATTGCACAATTAAGTACTTGAAGGTTTTAAAGTGTTTTCCCCTAATTTATCCAACCTTGGTCACTCTATGAAACAGATCCCCTGACTAGATATGCCAGCCATGTCCTTCCTTGCTTTCTCAAACTATCTATGCCTTCCGGGGAGACACTAATGACGAAGCAAAGTGACACAATGGGGGGGGGGGGGTTGATGGGTGAGAGCTGCTGCTGGTGGTGGTTTGTTGTATCTTTATTTTAGATTTTGTCGTGATATATGTGGAAATTGTTCAGTTTGGTTTTGTATTTTTGTTTAATGTTTCATTTATTTGAAATAAAAAACTTAAGGTCTTATATATATATAATAAATGTACCAAGCAAGCACGTACATAAATATATAAACCACATGTCTGAAGCAGCACAAGAAAACAGCCCTGAAACTATTTTTACTCCCAAACTGACCAAATGTTTTCTCTGCAAGGTTGAAGGGAAATGGAAAGCCTCCCCATTGTCTTTTCATTCACAAATCCTTTCTTAAGGGTATGTCTGTGTATGAATAGGGTGAGCCTGTGACCTGGCTCAGGAGCTAAGTATTTATCATTACAAAAGATGGGCCAGGCTCCCCAGGGTATCCAATCAAGTAAGCATTAACAGGTGACCTGCCAGACAGGAGGTAAACAACACACTCAGATTTCTGTTGTAGACCGCCCTTTCTGTGATGTAGGTATGATAAGGGGGTGGTCTTGAACTACACCCCTTCTGTGATGTATGTATGATGTTTCTGGGGGTGGTCTTGGACTCCAGAGCGGACAATTTAAAATGTCTATATAAGGGTGGGCACACCTTGGTTTGGGGTCCTCCTCCTCTCTCCTGCATGTGAAGGGGGCACCCTGTTGCAACAGTTCAATAAAGATCAGGCTTACTAGCTGCTTTGCTTCTCAATATTCTCTGTTACTTTCTCCGACCGATGGAGAGCCTGCAAAAGACTCTATAAGGGCTCTTGTGTCCCCCATAAGAGAATAAGGGCAGATTTTCGTTTATTACATATTGTTTATGACTACAGTGGTACCTTGGTTCCCAAACGGCTTAGCTGATGAACAAATCGGCTCACAGATGCCGCAAACCCAGAAGTGTCCCAGTTTGCAAACGTTTTTCGGAAGCCAAACGTCCATTTCGGCTGTCGGCATTGTTTCTGGGGCCAATCAGCCAATCGGAAGCTGTGCCTTGGTTTTTGAACGATTTGGAAGTCGAACGGACTTCCAGAGCGGATTGAGTTTGAGAACCAAGGTACTTTGGTTATGCTGTAGTTATGCATTCATTTCATCTTGCAAGCAGCCTTGAGCATGGTTTGAACTGTGGAAAAAAGGCATGTAAGTAAGAAAGTAAGTAAGTAACGGACAGGGAATTTCTGGCTGCTGCAGTTTTTCTAACCTCCACATGAACACAAGCAGAACTTGCCAGAATTCTTTCTTTTTACAAAGCTCCTGAAGGCATGTAATCCCTGCCTCCCTTTGCATATGGCCACTCTATGGCAGTGATGGGAACCTCAGGGGTGGCCCTCCAGACCCCTCAACCTGGCCCCTGAAACCGTCCCCAAGCCACACCCTCTCCCTAGCTACATCCTCTCACCAGCCCTGCTCCACACCCCAAGTGTTTTTTGCTTGGCTGGAAACGTGTCCTTGGAACGCCTTCACTTCCTGGTTGGATAATATTTATTTTATTTACTTATTGAATTTATATAATGCCCTATACCCAAGGGGGTCTCAGGGCGGTTCACAGAATAAAATCAAGATATAAAACCACAAAATACATCATAAAAATAAAAACTCCAACCCAATAAAGGTAAAGGTAAAGGGACCCCTGACAGGTCCAGTCGCAGACGACTCTGGGGTTGCGGCGCCCATCTCGCTTTATTGGCCGAGGGAGCCGACGTACAGTTTCTGGGTCATGTGGCCAGCATGACTAAGCCGCTTCTGGCAAACCAGAGCAGCGCACGGAAACGCTGTTTACCTTCCTGCTGGAGCGGTACCTATTTATCTACTTGCACTTTGACGTGCTTTCGAACTGCTGAGTTGGCAAGACCAGGGACCGAGCAACGGGAGCTCACCCCGTCGCGGTGATTCGAACCGCTGACCTTCTGATCAGCAAGCCCTAGGCTCAGTGGTTTAGACTGAGGCATCAGATCAAGGCCTACATTTTAAAATGAGCTTAAAAAATATATTTGCAAATGTTTGTATGTTTTATGCCAGGCATAAAGTGCTGGGTGCTTTGGCAGATGTTTATCTTCCTAAACAGGGCCCCTCTGATCTATAAGCAGTGCCTCAGAGTTGTAAAAGGAAATTACAGGCTGGGAGCAAAAGGTCACACTGACCATACAAATTACAGAATACAATCAAGCTGCAAAGACACAATTAAGAGTTGGTAAATAGTGAAATTTATTGTTTAACAGAAGACTCGAGCCATATTTTCATAAGGTTAAAGGGCAAGAGCTAATAGAAACAGCAGCTGGCTTGAAACGGAGTTGTAAATTGAAGAAGTTGCTTTTAGAAACAGCAGCTGGCTTGAAAGGGGGGTGTAGATCTAAGGGGTTGCTTTCGAAGCTGTTTTACTGAGTCCTTTTTACTTTGAAACTGTTCCTTTTCTTCTAAAAATCTATCTATGTTAATGAATGAAATATATTGGCTTAAATGTAATTATGCAAAGGATTTAGAAAGTAAGAAATGTTAGATTCTTATGTTAGATTCTTATTTCATTGATGGTGTGTGAGAAGGTGAACCCAAGATCTCTGTTTAAGATAAAATTAGAACCATTAGCCATCTGTTCTGGAGTGAATAGGGTAATAGGGCAATAGGGCAAAAAGGTTATCTGGTAATTAAGGTGCCTGGTCGAGGCAAATGTAAGATATATGGCTACTTGTCTGCCATTTATGGATAGAAGGAAATATAGCTCTTTGTCTCCCATAAAAGGTAATAGGAAATGGCTGTATCTTTTATGATTGGTTCTAGCAAACAGCCAATAGGAATTTCGACCAGGCTGATTGGACAGAGGCAGCCAAAGGAGGAGCAAGGGGGCTGGGCTGAGGAAATATAAGTGCTGGCCATCAGGGCTGGAGTAGGCAGAGCTTTGGTATCCATATACCACTGTGTCTCTCATTTATTTGTCTGACAAATAAATTATTATTTTAATTTCTCTATTGCTGAGTTGAATATTTCATTCCAGCTAAGCGTTAACCACAAGCAGGGTGCTACAAGACCACAGCACTACCCACGCCACCCCCAAAAAAACACATTTTAAAAGGGCATAGGATGTACTGTATTTCCTTGTATTTTAGAATCCACAGTGCCATACATCAGATTTAAGATTGAATGAATCAGAATAGTAGGGGGTTTTTTTGTCCAAATAATGTATGCTTTAGAGTCAGCACTGGGCACAAACTAACCTAATTGATCAGTGAAGAAATCCTTGAATCACCTTTGTAAGGAAGGGCAAAGTAACAGTGCCAAGAGCGAAGGAAAGGATGGCAAGCATCTCTGCACAATTTGGACAGAAAACCTACTAGTATTGCACGGGTACAGGCAGAGAACCCGTGGCAGCCATTTTGTTTGGACCACTGGATGGAGCTAGCAGCTCACACAATTCACAAACTGCTTTACAATGAGGATTTAGCTTTTTTGGCCAGCATCTAATCTATTTTGCACAAACACTTCATTTCAGCTCCAGAACACTTCAATCCAGCGTTTAGGAATGTTGTCTTAAAGTTACATTTTTTAAATAAATTGAAAAAATGTACAAACCGCTTCATCGATAATAGAGCAGGGCATGCGAGCGTGCACAAAAACTAGCCTTGTGTATAAAAGGGAAGATTTGTGTAAATTGCTCCAACTAATTCTGCCTCTGTCCCTGGCAGGCTGGCCAGAAGTGAATGCCACCTCCAGGCTGGGAAAGGTTTCTGCACCTTCCAGTGTAGCGTGGCGATCAGTCCAAATTGGCTTTCAGAATATTTCTTCCATTTTTCTACAGAGAAATGACACATAAGCAAGCCTATTGACTACAGCAATGGAACAGTGTGTGATTCCAGCTAGGAAACCAAGATCTGTGCACCTAGTTCCCCATACCCAAGAAGTTATTTGGGCGTATGTTTCTTGGCCATCTGTTATGGATGCTTGAGCAGAGATTCCTGCATTCCAGGGGGTTGGTCTAGATGACCCTTGGGATAACTTCCAACTCTACAATTCTAAATTAACTAGGAAGCATACTTTCCATCCCTTCCACAATGGGCCATGTTAAGCTAAGACAAGTCATTTGGCTGGCCACTGTGAGAACAGCACACTGGATTCAGGGGTCAGCAAACTTTTTCAGCAGTGGGCCAGTTCACTGTCCCTCAGACCTTGTGGGGGGCCGGGCTTTTTTTGGGAGGGGGAATGAACGAATTCCTATGCCCCACAAGTAACCCAGAGAAGCGTTTTAAATAAAAGCAGGCATTCTACTCATGTAAAAACACCAGGCAGGCTCCACAAATAACCCAGAGATGCATTTTAAATACCATATGTACTCGAGTATAAGCCGACTTTTTCAGCACATTTTTTATGCTGAAAAAAAAACCCCTCAGCTTATACTCGAGTGAGGGTCCTTTCGGGCTGTTCCTTCCTCCTCATCCACCTTTGCCGCTGTCTTCCTCCTCCGCCACTGCCACCAGCCTTGGCCTCTCAGCAGCACCCTAGGTAGGCAGGGGGATGGGAGGAGCTGGGGTGGGAGAGAGAGAAGCCCCCTCTGCTGCGTGCACATGTGCATGGGCACACACACTCCAGCCCACCAGGAGGTTTGTGGTGTGGTGAACCAGCTTATACTCGAGTCAATAAGTTTTCCCAGTTTTTTGTGGTAAAATTAGGTGCCTCAGCTTATATTCGGGTCGGCTTATACTCGAGTATATATGGTAAAAGGGCACATTCTACTCATGTAAAAACACGCGGATTCCCGAACCGTCTGCGGGCCGGATTTAGAAGGCGATTGGGCTGGATCCGGCCCCCGGGCCTTAGTTTGGTGTGATCCTGCAAAGCTCTTCTAAAGACCTACAACTGCTTCCCAATAGTAATATAAGTCCTGCTGCTGCTTCACAAATGCCTGTAAGCCCAGAATATCCAAAATTCCTACAGGAAAGTGGAGCAGCACTTCTAAGAAAGGAAAGGAAAGGAAAGGAAAGGAAAGGAAAGGAAAGGAAAGGAAAGGAAAGGAAAGGAAAGGAAAGGAAAGGAAAGGAAAGGAAAGGAAAGGAAAGGAAAGGAAAGGAAAGGAAAGGAAAGGAAAGGAAAGGAAAGGAAAGGAAAGGAAAGGAAAGGAACGGAAAGGAAAGGAACGGAAAGGAAAGGAAAGGAAAGGAAAGGAAAGGAAAGGAAAGGAAAGGAAAGGAAAGGAAAGGAAAGGAAAGGAAAGGAAAGGAAAGGAAAGGAAAGGAAAGGAAAGGAAAGGAAAGGAAAGGAAAGGAAAGGAAAGGAAAGGAAAGGAAAGGAAAGGAAAGTAACGGAAAGGAAAGGAAAGGAAAGGAAAGGAAAGGAAAGGAAAGGAAAGGAAAGGAAAGGAAAGGAAAGGAAAGGAAAGGAAAGGAAAGGAAAGGAAAGGAAAGGAAAGGAAAGGAAAGGAAAGGAAAGGAAAGGAAAGGAAAGGAAAGGAAAGGAAAGGAAAGGAAAGGAAAGGAAAGGAAAGGAAAGGAAAGGAAAGGAAAGGAAAGGAAAGGAAAGGAAAGGAAAGGAAAGGAAAGGAAAGGAAAGGAAAGGAAAGGAAAGGAAAGGAAAGGAAAGGAAAGGAAAGGAAAGGAAAGGAAAGGAAAGGAAAGGAAAGGAAAGGAAAGGAAAGGAAAGGAAAGGAAAGGAAAGGAAAGGAAAGGAAAGGAAAGGAAAGGAAAGGAAAGGAAAGGAAAGGAAAGGAAAGGAAAGGAAAAGGAAAGGAAAGGAAAGGAAAGGAAAGGAAAGGAAAGGAAAGGAAAGGAAAGGAAAGGAAAGGAAAGGAAAGGAAAGGAAAGGAAAGGAAAGGAAAGGAAAGGAAAGGAAAGGAAAGGAAAGGAAAGGAAAGGAAAGGAAAGGAAAGGAAGAAGGAAAGGAAAGGAAAGGAAAGGAAAGGAAAGGAAAGGAAAGGAAAGGAAAGGAAAGGAAAGGAAAGGAAAGGAAAGGAAAGGAAAGGAAAGGAAAGGAAAGGAAAGGAAAGGAAAGGAAAGGAAAGGAAAGGAAAGGAAAGGAAAGGAAAGGAAAGGAAAGGAAAGGAAAGGAAAGGAAAGGAAAGGAAAGGAAAGGAAAGGAAAGGAAAGGAAAGGAAAGGAAAGGAAAGGAAAGGAAAGGAAAGGAAAGGAAAGGAAGTCTTCCCAAAGATACCTGAGAGGGGTACCTATGCTAAATCTGGACAACAAAATGATGCATATAACCTAATCAACTGCTATTATTGCTTCCTCTGGGTGGATTAGGGCTTTAAATCCTATGATTCTAAGACAGCAGCTCCCCACAGCCACAGGGCAAACTGCTTTGAAACTATTTCAGGGCTTTCCAAAATCAGGGCTTTCGTTTCAGGGCTTTTCCAAACACGGGAGTTGGGCGGTTCAAGGGAGTTGGGAGGGAGCAAAACATTTCACTAATTTCCTTGGACACAACTTGCAAGGTGATTTGCATCCTGGACTTTTTTCTCTTGCGTGTCGAGGTCCCCAGGGCCACCCCAATAACTCACACATCACACAGAATTTTTTGTTTAAGATTTTTGGCATAATTTTGGCCACAACTTAATTGAAATACAAATTTGTGAGTGGTTGCTTAGGCATTGGTTGCGACTATCTGCCCCCACCATGGGGGACAGACTGACATTCCGCACGATGCGAAAGTCAGAATAGGGGAATACACTTGGGGGTTACGCGGAGCAGGGAACCTGCCCTCACCCCAAATGCAACCAGGAGCTCATTGCTATGGCCCGAGCCCCCTTGACAGAGTGGACAAGCAATAGTCAGCCGCCAATTCCTTTAACGGAATCCCTTGCAGCAGCAGCATTAGAGGGGCAGGCACTCAACCTACCAAGGGCAGGCACTCAACCACTTCCCCTCAACCAACCAAACCATAAACCAATGCCTAACTGCCACCAAGCACTCAAGCTAACTTGCAAGGTGATTTGCATCCCGGACTTTTTCTCTTCCAGGTTCACATATCATCACATCTGCATGCTTACCCTCGGAACAGGTGTTGTAAACAAAATCAATCTGCCCTTATGGGGTATCCAAGAGCCCGTATAGAGTCCTTACGTGGGTTTCCTATTGGTAGGAGAAAATAACAGAGGCCAACCAGAGAATATTGAGAAGCAAAGCAGCTAGTAAGCCTGATCTTTATTGATCTGTTGCAACAGGGAGCTCCCCTCACACGAAGGAAAAGGAGGAGGACCTCGAACAACGGTGCGCAAGGCCTTATATAGACATTTTAAATTCCCTGCCCTGGAGCTCCAGACCATCCCTCCATACATCATACATACATCCATGAAAAGGCAGTCCACAGCAGAAATCTGACGAGTTTATCTCGTCTGACAGGTTACCTGTTAATGCTCACTTGATTGGATACCCTGGGGAGCCTGGCCAGTCTTTTGTAATGATAAATACTTAGTTCCTGAGCCAGGTCACAGGCTCACACCCTGTTCAAACACAGACAGACATACCCTTAAGGCAGGATTTGTGAAGGAAAAGACAATGGGGAGGCTTTTCCATTTTCCTTTGACCTTGCAGAGAAAATATTTGGTCAGTTTGGGAATCAAAAATGGTTTCAGGTCGGTCTTCCTGTGCTGATCTATGTACGTGCTTGGTTGGTACGTTTATGAACATTTATTATATATCTAAGACTTTAAAATACTTATCACACAGGACAGATCAAAAACGCAAAAAGCATTAACGTTTTGTTAATGCTAATTTCACTTTTGCCTCTCTGCTCTACAAACGACAGCATTCTGTTTCCTCAAAGTCCGCAACAATAAACTTCACAAAACACGTAAAAACTTGATCCAGATTCCTCTCGCTTTCCTCCCCCGCAAAAAGAAAACCGGAAGAAATCAGTAACATGAGGAAGTTTAACTGCTGCCTTGTTTTTAAAACCTGTAAAAGGCTGACTTAATGACTCCTCTCCCAAAATCACATCGTGCTAGGAATCACATCTGCAGGGAAATCTACTACAAATGGTGACGGGGGGGCTTCCCCCACCCTACCCGACAGACACAAGCTTTAACCTCAAGGCTGAATCATGGTTACGCTTTGTAGGGAAATGGTCCATAATTGTGTAATCCAAGAATGACACGTACCTCTGGGATGAGAAGAGCCCCAGCTATTGTGGCTTACAAGGGGCTGGGTTGTTTTAACAGACAGCTAGAATAAGGCCGCCACCTTTAAATCTGGCAAATGATGAGCAATCTAGCATTCACTTTTTCATTCTTCAGTTAGAAGAGGAAGCTAGGTAAAGGTAAAGGGACCCCTGACCATTAGGTCCAGTCGTGGCCGACTCTGGGGTTGCGGCGCTCATCTCACTCTATTAGCCGAGGGAGCTGGCGTACAGCTTCCGGGTCATGTGGCCAGCATGACTAAGCCGCTTCTGGCGAACCAGAGCAGCGCACGGAAACGCCGTTTACCTTCCCGCTGGAGCGGTACCTATTTATCTACTTGCACTTTGAGGTGCTTTCGAACTGCTAGGTTGGCAGGATCAGAGACTGAGCAACGGGAGCTCACCCCGTCATGGGGATTCGAACCGCCGAACTTCTGATCAGCAAGTCCTAGGCTCTGTGGTTTAACCCACAGAGGAAGCTAACAAGGGCTTATTGCTGCTGCAAAAATCTCCCAAGAAATACGGGAGGGCTGGCTTCAACTTGCTCTTGGCTGCTTCTACCATAAGCACTATGCAGTGTTTATTACTGACTGCAGCAACAGGAACTGAGGAGCCACAGGGCAGTGCATTCCAGACCTGTTATTAAATTCCCTGGGGCAGCAGGTAGTATTTTGGCACCGTAGGCAAAATCTTACAATGCAACTCAATATGCACCTTTTACACAGAGACACTAAGATCCCTGGCATGTTTATACACACAATACCTGCCAATTTTTGAAAATCTTGGAAAATAGAGATTGCTGGCATTTATACACCTCGTTTATCCACCTAAAAATATGTGCTGGAAACAAGAATGTCTGAGAAGGTTTCTTCAGATGCTTTAAGATGCAGAGCAGCTTGAAATTTTGTACTGCTCAAGGTATTTGGGTTCAGCTAAGACCTGCCTAGCTTGTTGGCTAAGAAACCAATTAGGCAACCACCATGTTGAAATGTGAATAATTAAGCAAGTAGATAAATGTCTTAAAATGCAGTAAAGAACTGCACTAAACCTATCAGCTAGAATATTACATACACAGAAATAAAGGTGAGCAGGTTTCAACAAAGGAAGTGTGGCTTTTGAAAGTGAAAATTAAGAGAGCAAAATGATGAAGTAATTAAAAAATATTACAGCCAAATGAAATCACAGGCAGGATTTGAGATAAAAGCAGCAGAAGGAGAATGACAACATAATTGCAATAGATAATTTTTTTGTAATAGATAAAGATTTAATGCAGTAGAAAAGGTTTGGATAAAAACACTGTGGAAATGAGGGTGGGAAGTCAACTAATGAAACAAGGTATTTGATTTCTGAGGTTGATATTTGATAAATATTTTGAGGTTATTGTGCAAATGTTTGAAAAAATGAAAGCGAGAGAACTGCAATAAACCTAAGTAGGTAAAAAGCTTACATCTGATTGCAAGATGTTATGCTTGATCTATGTAGCAGTTCAACAACTAAGGCACCACTGTAAAATCATTCTATACCATAATGGAGAAAGGAGTGTGCCGTTCTGTGGTGCTGATTACGATAAAACTGTATGCTAGCGACTGGCCCAGCTGCCCTCATGTCACAGAGAGGAAGCCAAACCAGAACTCTCTTGAGTGCTATTCACAGGTACACACAACCCCCACAGTCATCACAGGAACAAAGGGGTCACACTCATTCAGTAACTGTGTCAAGGAGTTACACACACACAAAAATGGATATGCATAGGGCCTCTGAACATGGCCCCTGAATATGCTGGCCAGTGGGGCTTTTCTGGTGCGCATGTGGTAATGAAAACAGGGCTACACAACCCCCTCATGTGCTCTTCAATGCAAGATATATTGCAGTGTTGGCTGTACCAGTTTCATTTCTTTTTAGTGACCTTCCACAAAAGCAGTGGTAGCAGAGTAGGTGCTAACTAGACTTCTGCAACTTCCTCGCCACCTCATGCCCACTGGGAATAACACAACATTACCAATGGTCTTGAAGCATTGTGGGAAGAAGTAGTAGAGATTGCCAGTGGAGGCCGCCATGTTTCCTTCTGCACATTGCCCCAGGAACGATACTACAGTGGTACTTCGGGTTACATACGCTTCAGGTTACAGACTCCACTAACCCAGAAATAGTACCTCGGGTTAAGAATTTTGCTTCAGGATGAGAACAGAAACTGCGCAGTAGCGGCGCAGTGGCAGTGGGAGGCCCCATTAGCTAAAGTGGTGCTTCAGGTTAAGAACAGTTTCAGCTTAAGAACAGACCTCCAGAATGAATTAAGTTCTTAACCAGAGGTACCACTGTACTTTGTTCTTGTACATGCCACAAAAGCAGGCCTTACAAGCACAAAAGAGTGTCACACCAAGAATGTACATTTTCCCCAAAATGTATTTTTTCCCCCCAGTTTAGGAAATGATATACAGTGGTACCTCGGGTTACAGACGCTTCAGGTTACAGACTACGCTAACCCAGAAATAGTACCTCGGGTTAAGAATTTTGCTTCAGGATGAGAACAGAAATTGTGAGGCAGTGGCAGCGGGAGGCCCCATTAGATAAAGTGGTACCTCAGGTTAAGAACAGTTTCAGGTTAAGAACGGATCTCCAGAACGAATTAAGTTCTTAACCTTGAGGTACCACTGTACAATGAGTTGGGGGGGAAATGTTTAAAAAACCTGAAGGCTTCCTTTTAGGAACCTTAGGTGCCGAAATCCCATGGGAGCAGAAAAGACTATTTATGTACGTGACCATGGCTACACGGATGTTATTGGCCCAGAGACGGAAAGAAGATAAAGTCCCCGACAGAGAAGAATGGCAGATGAAGTTGATGGACTTGCTGAAATGGCTAAAGTGACCGGAAGAATCAGAAATCAGGAAGACCACAATTTTAATAAGGAATGGGGAAAATTTATAACTTATCTTAAAGACCATTGTAAACAGTTAGACTCGTTAGTAGGATTGGAATATCACTTGTAGTTTAATAGTGAAATTTGGATATAATGGAGATGTAAAAGATTTGGATCATCATAAAAGATGCAGGAGGAAATGAGTAATAAATAGGACCAACAAAGGGGAGGGTGGAAGTCCAGGTGATTCCTTGGAATTTTGTTTTTATGATCTATGTTTGATATATGACTGTAAAATTTTAATCTGAAAAACCAAATAAATAATTTTTTTAAAAAATCCAAAAAAATTGTACATTTTTCATGCCAGCCTATAAATGTGTCCATATTTATAGTCTGAATACAGGCAGTGACCAACCACACCCTGTTATTCTGTTCTGCTCCACCCCATTCCGTCCCTGATCTGCCTTCTTCCAAGTCCAAAAGGACCCGTGCATTGGCGATCACACATCAATTGGACACGCCTAAAATGGTCACCACCTGTAATTTATTTTGTCGATTCCATAAGGAATCAACAACTTGGACGAAACCTCCAGAGTTCTGGCTCTGGGAAACGGAGCTACAGTGACACGTTTGAGCTACTTCTTTTGTAAGGTAAAGGTAAAGGGACCCCTGACCATTAGGTCCAGTCGTGGCCGACTCTGGGGTTGCAGCGCTCATCTCGCTTTATTGGCCGAGGGAGCCGGCGTACAGCTTCCGGGTCATGTGGCCAGCATGCCTAAGCTGCTTCTGGCGAATCAGAGCAGCGCACGGAAATGCCGCTTACCTTCCCGCTGGAGCGGTACCTATTTATCTACTTGCACTTTGACGTGCTTTCGAACTGCTAGGTTGGCAGGAGCAGGAACCGAGCCACGGGAGCTCACCCCGCCGCGAAGATTCGAACCGCCGACCTTCTGATCAGCAAGCCCTAGGCTCTGTGGTTTAACCCACAGCACCACCCGTGTCCCAGGTACTTCTTTTGTATATGGATGCAAATATTTGCAAACAAAGAACAAAGGGCTAAACTTAACATTTCTAACAAAAAGAAAAAACAGCACAATGTAACATTAGTCTCCTTGCAGCAGCTACAGCTTTCATCTGAGCAGATGTTTTTATATTATGGGCAGAATCCACCCAAGTCATACGCAAAATAAACCAATGGATTAAAGTTAATCATGACCAACTGAAACCACCGGTTTCAATGGATCTGGTCTAAGTCAGAGAACAACATACTTATTTAAAACACTTAAACCCAGTCTTGCTTTCAGAGAGCTCGAGGCAGCTAGCAATGAAGATGAAACCCTGTAAAATATCCCACACAATCTAATGTTAAAACGGCAGCGAGAAATTACTCAACAGCAGCAATAAAAAGTCGTTAGAAATCCAAGCACTTGAAGTAGCAAACCCAAGTTTATCTCCATAAAATCTGTGCATCAGCCCATAATTAAAATCTGAACACAAATCCAAGCAAAATATACCATTCACTAGCACACCGAGGGATATGTCGAATTGTGTTTCCTCTTTTCTTGCAAGATCCATCTCTCTGAAAACACCTAAATATATTTTGTACACGCAATCAACTTCACAAAGAAGGACCAAAGAGTATTGGCACCTTAAAATGTATCAAAGGCTTTTCTGGGAAAATTAATGAGCAAACGCCTAGATTTTATTTCATCAGAACTGAGAAATATGGCGTCTGCCACTCAAGGAGGACTTTTGGATCAGCGTGTGAGGATTTATTGCAAACAAAAGAATTACCAGCTTTAAAAAAAAAAAGGGGAGAGCCTTACAAAGTTCACACAGAAGCATAATATTGCTTACTTTAACTTGCCTATGGAAACAACTCAGAGGCTATTCAGAAGAAAAAGGATAACAAGAAGATTGAAAGATGGGACTGGTGAACACTAAAAGCAGCAGAAATTTGAGATGATTGGACCCTACTGAACTCGAAGCATGGGAACCCCCAACAAAAATTTATAATTTGGCAAAATATTTGGACTTTATGATATGTACTGGTATAATTTGGAATAATCAATGTGATATGATTGGATTGTTAAATGGAAAACTTAATAAAAATTATTATAAAAAAATTAAAAAATGTATCAAAGGGTGCAACTTTTTCAAAACAAGTACAATAAGTTTTTTCTGCTTGAAACAGGGGTGACTAACCTGTGGCCCTCTATATACTGCTGGACTTCAACTCCCATGAGCCCCAGCCATTATGCCCAATGGTCAAGGATGATAGGAGTTGTAGTCTAGCAATATCTGAGGAGCAAAAGGTTAGCTACCCCTGCTGGGAAGAGGCAAATGAATCTCCTCCATAGAAAAAAAAAATGTTGTTTTGGGAAACAAAGCAGCCAGCGTAAAATGTGACGCAGATCTGGTTCACATGTGCATTTCCTCATCCCTGCCTCAGAACACAGCAATTGAAACAAAACCTTCAGCATGCCTGAGGCTCATGTTCACACTCCGGTATCCGGATGACTTTAAACTGCAGCTAATCAATGCTTCAGAAAAAGAGACGTTTCCAACATAAAGCTAGTCATCGTAACCAAACCAGTTAGGAAAGTGGAACTACAGTGGTACCTCGGGTTAAGTACTTAATTCGTTCCGGAGGTCTGTTCTTAACCTGAAACTGTTCTTAACCTGAAGCACCACTTTAGCTAATGGGGCCTCCTGCTGCTGCCGCTGCACCGCCGCTGCACGATTTCTGTTCTCATCCTGAAGCAAAGTTCTTAACCCGAGGTACTATTTCTGGGTTAGAGGAGTCTGTAACCTGAAGTGTATGTAACCTGAAGCGTATGTAACCCGAGGTACCACTGTATATCAAAACGTTTCAGCCCGTCTAGAACTTGAATTTCTTCAGGCTCTCCATAACGTAACATGGAAGCCACCACATGATGGTGATATGAAAATATCTTAACTGCGTCAACATGGCCCGATGAGAAGAGATGCAGCAGAGGAGCAAAGCACACGATTTGAACGCCAAAGACTCCAGGTTCAACCCCTGAGATCGCCAAATAGGGCTGGGAAAAGCTTCATCCGAAATCTTGGGAGAGTTGCTGCTAAAATAATGCACATGTTACAGAGCTAGTGACCAAATGACCCAACTTGGTATGAGGCAACTTCCTGTGAGACATGAGGACTCTGTACACTACTTGCACCTCACATTTCTCTCCCAAGATATGGCTGCCTCAGGCATTCACTCTCCGGCAAAATTATTATGCAAGGGGTACAGCGATGATGCAGTTAGCTCTGCCGCCCCACCAAGGCCCAGTGCAGTTGTCTTTCCATTCACAAAAGGCAACTGTGTGACTTGGGGCACCTTTTCTAAGCATGCCTACTCCGTGCACATTTTAGAACCTTTTAAAAATTTAAGTATCAAGTTTCCAAAATGTGTGGGTAGCCTCCACGGATAAATAAGAGTTCCCCGCATCCCATGTTGTAGTTGTTGTTTAGTCGTTTAGTCGTGTCCGACTTTTCGTGACCCCATGGACCAGAGCACGCCAGGCACTCCTGTCTTCCACTGCCTCCTGCAGTTTGGTCAAACTCATGCTGGTAGCTTCGAGAACACTGTCCAACCATCTTGTCCTCTGTCGTCCCCTTCTCCTTGTGCCCTCCATCTTTCCCAACATCAGGGTCTTTTCCAGGGAGTCTTCTCTGCTCATGAGGTGGCCAAAGTACTGGAGCTTCAGCTTCAGGATCTGTCCTTCCAGTGAGCACTCAGGGCTGATTTCCTTCAAAATGGAGAGGTTTGATCTTCTTGAAGTCCATGGGACTCTCAAGAGTCTCCTCCAGCACCATAATTCAAAAGCATCAATTCTTCGGCAATCAGCCTTCTTTATGGTCCAGCTCTCACTTCCATACATCACTACTGGGAAAACCATAGCTTTAACTGTACGGACCTTTGTTGGCAAGGTGATGTCTCTGCTTTTTAAGATGCTGTCTAGGTTTGTCATTGCTTTTCAACCAAGAAGCAGGCATCTTTTAATTTCGTGGCTGCTGTCACCATCTGCAGTGATCATGGAGCCCAAGAAAGTAAAATCTCTCACTGCCTCCATTTCTTCCCCTTCTGTTTGCCAGGAGGTGATGGGAACCAGTGGCCATGATCTTTGTTTTTTTGATGTTGAGCTTCAAACCATATTTTGCGCTCTCCTCTTTCACCCTCATTAAAAGGTTCTTTAATTCTTCCTCACTTTCTGCTATCAATGTTGTATCATCTGCATATCTGAGGTTGCTGATATTTCTTCCGTCTATCTTAATTCTGGCTAGGGATTCATCCAGCCCAGCCTTTCGCATGATGAATTATGCATATAAGTCTCCTTCAAAGAGTTGGAATGGGTCTGAACTGGTGATGCAACAGCATGGAGCTAGGACTCTCAACTACACGGTAACTTTGTGAGTTTGTAAATGGCTGTAGAGTCACGTTTCTCAAACTTGGGTCTCCAACTGCTATTGTCAAACTACAATTCTCATCATCCCTGACCACTGGTCTTGCTAGCTAGGGATGATGGGAATTGGAGTCCAACAATAGCTAGAGAGGGACAGAGAGGGGAACCAATTATATCTTAGTCTGGAGATGGGGAATTATCTTGTACCTGGTATTTATAGAACATTTTTACCTCTACGATTGTCTAAAAATAAATAAAGCTTTCAATAGGATCTTTCACGAGTGAACTGGCACACCAGACCCCTGCCTCTTAAACAGATGCTTTTCATTCCTTATTGGCACAGCGCATCTGGATAAAAATAGAATCAATTGATCAGTAAAAATAATAAAAGAAGAGTAATAATAAGATATGTGAAGGAAGATGAGGCAGCTCTGTTGAAACACGTTGTTGTAACCTAGGGCTACTACAAAGCGATCATTTCGCAGTTTATTACTAAAGATCAAATCAGCTGCTACTCCTTAATACAGACTGGTACTTATCCTTTTCCTTACATAGTAAGAGCTGAGGTTGGCATCACATGAACACAACAGTTTATTTATTTTGCTTACCAGGGGTACCTTGTGGCACAGTGCCAATTGACAAGGGCATTTCCAGAAACTCTTAGGCTGGAATTTTATACACACTTACCTGGAAATACGTAAGCACCACTGTACGCAGCAAGACTTATTTCTGAGTAAACGTGTAAAGGATTGCACCACATACCTGGCTGACAGGTATGTTCTGCTTTTGATAGCGACTGAGATAAATAAAGGACTCAATTTTTTCAAGTGTTATTTTTTAGATAATAAGCACTCAGTATCTGTGCCAGGCATAGACCGATACTAGTCATTTTAAATAAATTTTAACACAGCATAGGCAAAGCTAAAACAAAGTTCTGTACTCCAAAAGGATCTAGTCTGGCCGTTTAAATGTAGAGGAATTTGCAGAATGAAGTGGAATGCATTTCAAAGGCTAGAACACTGGTGAGGAATCCTCAGTCCACATGCTAACCTTGGCCTGCCCAAGTTTCCAGCTTGGTCCTTGCAGCCATTTTTTTTAACCACCTATCAATCAGGTGACATCACCTGAGGGTCAGAGGGTTCAGTCCTGCTTGGTTCTGCTGTGCACACTTGCTCCCCACACAAAACTCTGTTTCTGGAGAAAGCAGGACTGGTCTCCCACCCATCGGCTGATGGGCAGGGTTTTACTCCTACCCACACTGGCCATCTTTGACAGGCAGGTGGTCCTGTCCACCTGTCAATCACCTGGCAGCAGTATGACAGGAGATGAATGATAGGTGGGCTGTTTTTCCTTTTACAGTGGTACCTCGGGTTACATACGCTTCAGGTTACATACACTTCAGGTTACAGACTCCGCTAACCCAGAAATAGTACCTCGGGTTAAGAACTTTGCTTCAGGATGAGAACAGAAATCGTGCTCCGGCGGCGCAGCAGCAGCGGGAGGCCCCATTAGCTAAAACGGTGCTTCAGGTTAAGAACAGTTTCAGGTTAAGTACGGACCTCCGGAACGAATTAAGTACTTATCCCGAGGTACCACTGTATTAGCGATCCCAAAACACACCAAAAACTGCAATTCCTAGAGGAGGAATGACTGCTGAACCAGTTTGATTCTGTAATACAGTGGTACCTCGGGTTAAGAACTTAATTCGTTCCGGAGGTCCATTCTTAACCTTAAACTGTTCTTAAACTGAGATATCACTTTAGCTAATGGGGCTGCCACCGTGACACCGCCATACAATTTCTATTCTCATCCTGAAGCAAAGTTCTTAACCCGAGGTACTTTTTCTGGGTTAGCGGAGTCTGTAACCTGAGGTACCACTGTATAGTACAGTCAAACCCCGACCAGCGGCGTTGCTAGCTGCTTAGGTGCCAGGTGCGGCCCACGCGTCCTGCAGCCGGGGGCGGGGTGAGCCGCCCATGGGGGAGGGAGCACTGTATGGAGCGTCTCCGCCGCCGCCTCCTCAGCTGTAGGGATGCTGAAGGAGAGGCAGAGGTCAGGCACCAAGTCCCACGCTACCATTTCAGGCAGCACTGAACCTACAGGCGCCCAAGCCATCACATCACTTCCAGGAGAGACGCATGGCTCGAGCACATTGCAGGCCCCGCAGTAAATGCCAGCCCCCACGGTGTGGCTCCCAGTGCTAGCCGCATATCGTTGCCTGAACTAAAAAGTTTTGTGAACCCAATTGTGTTTTAAAAAATTAATTAAATACTTTTATTTTGCTTTAAACAAATATCGTATTTTTTTGCTCTATAAGACTCACTTTTTCCCTCCTAAAAAGTAAGGGGAAATGTGTGTGTGTCTTATGGAGCGAATGCAGGCTGCGCAGCTATCCCAGAAGCCAGAACAGCAAGAGGGATTCCTGCTTTCACTGCGCAGCGATCCCTCTTGTCGTTCTGGCTTCTGAGATTCAGAATTTTTTTTCTTTTCTTGTTTTACTCCTCCAAAAACTAGGTGCGTCTTATGGTCTGGAGCGTCTTATACGGCGAAAAATACAGTACCTGTAAATATAGACAACCAAAATTACAAAAGAAAATTCCTTAATAATAATAATGAAAAAAGCTAAAAAAACTACAAAAAGTATCAAAGTACATGGCTTAAAACATAAGCCATTGTGGGAAAGAAAAAAGAGAAAAGGAAAGAAGAAGGAGGATGGGGGGGGGGGAGAAAAAAAGAGGAAGATGAGCCAAAACACAAGAAGGCTCATCTATTGTACGCTTCCGTCAAGGTCACAGCAGATCATTATTCTTATCAATTCTCTCTATCTGCATTCCAAAGAATCCCTCATCTTGGTATCAGGGAATATTTCCCTATGCAGTATCATTCTAAACATAACCAGGTCTTTCTTGATGAACCCTTATCCCCTAGATAATTATTTAATTAATTTTTTAAAAATAATTTTAAAAAATTCATATTTTTGTCATTTTGTCACCCCCCTCAGTGATGACACCCGGGGCTGACCGCACCCCCACACTACCCACACTACCCTTCCTCCGCCACTTACCCCGACTCCCGAACGCCTCCGTTACCGTACATTTCGGCCGAAAAGCCAGAAGTAAATGTTCCAGTTTTCAAACATTTTTCGGAAGCCGAACTCCCGACGCGGCTTCCACTTGAGTGCAGGAAGCTCCTGCAGCCAATCGGAAGCTGCGCCTCGGTTGTCAAACATTTCGGAAGCCAAATGGGCTTCCGGGACGAATGAAGTTTGACAACCGAGGTTTGACTGTAGTGTTCTCCCACTAGACATCAGAGTCTTAGGAGGCAATTCCAGAAGGCAGTGCAACCTGGTGGAGGCAGTTCAATTTTTTTTAGAAGCACTGCTTTAGTTTGCAACTTTTGTGATTTTAACTTGTGCACATTCAGCTTTATATGCGAAGGAGAAGAAGAAGAAAATAAATAGAATGGGGCAGGTTTCCAGGAAAAGAAACTTCGGTAATCCCACACCCCACTGCATCCAATGCGTTTTTACTATACACCATTTGGGCTTTGGGGGCGTAGCTGCCAACTTTCCCCTTTTCTTGCAAGGAATCCTATTCGGAATAAGGGAATTTCCCTTAAGAAAAGGAAAACGTTGACAGCTATGTTTAGGGGTGATCTGAGGAACATAATTCCCACCTAACTTGCGAGCTTACTTTAAACCACAAAGGTATCTTTGAGAAGCCATCAGCAGCTGCTGTCGAGATCTTTCTCTCCTTCACAAATAATTTACGTAGCAGGAAATTTTGTAAGACTCTTTCTTCATAGAATCATCCTGCTGCTTCTCTTCATATTTCACAATAAACTGTTTCAAGTCAGTGGTGAAAGAGCTGAATCAGGCCACTGAAAGGAAGCTTTTTAAAAAAATGTAGTTATCAATATTCCCTTTTTACAGATCAACACAATGTAGATGACTTTTTCAAAAAAAGTACCCCCAACCCATTGAGTCTGTCAATTTTCATGAAGACCATCTTATTGAATGAAGCGAAATGCATGTTAAATATTATAATGTTTTGTGTTGTCTAGTCCACTCCGCTGCTGAATTGCTGTACTGACCTCAAAAGAGATGAGATGGGGTTGGAGCAGGAGCGGGGATAAGATTATTACTGACCCACATAAATTGAACATTGCTGAACAGCTGATGCTAAAGGCCAAACGAGGTGCTAACTTTAATTTGTGCAGTAAGCAGAAACATCTGTGTTTTACTTTATTTAATTACAGGCACTGGAGCCAACTATCATTGGGACCATAGAGACTGGCAGAAGAGGTGGTTTATCCCATTCCAACACATCCAGGACAAAATTCCACCCCCTCAAACGGGTTTGAGGCTTACACCTCTGTCTCCTGCATGCTGGTGGTGGTCCAATGACAACCCCCCTCCTCTTCCTCTAATTAATTAAAGAAGAAAAAAACAAAAAACAACCAGGCATGGCTGCAAACTGCACATCTAACATAGCACATGCAACTTAGTCTGGGAGAGCAGAACCCTGGGAGAGCAGGGTTTGAATCCCCACCCAGCCAGGAAGCTAACTGGGTGACCTTGAGCCAGTCAGCATCTCTTAGCTTAACCTACCTCGCAAGGTTGTTCTGAGGATGAACTTGTACACCACATTGAGATCCTTAGTGAGATCCTTAGCCTTGGTGAAGACCTGATGTTTTCATCCCAAAAAAAGGTTTTGATTTGAGTTTCCATTGAAATGAGGCTGCATTTTAATGTTTTGATGTAACCAGAGGTACCACTGTAGTGATGTATGGAAGTGAGAGCTGGGCCATAAAGAAGGCTGATCGTCTAAGAATTGATGCTTTTGAATTATGGTGCTGGAGGAGACTCTTGAGAGTCCCATGGACTGAAAGATCAAACCTATCCATTCTGAAGGAAATCAGCCCTGAGTGCTCACTGGAAGGACAGATCCTGAAGCTGAGGCTCCAATACTTTGGCCACCTCATGAGAAGAGAAGACTCCCTGGAAAAGACCCTGATGTTGGGAAAGATGGAGGGCACAAGGAGAAGGGGACAACAGAGGACGAGATGGTTGGACAGCGTTCTCGAAGCTACTAACATGAGTTTGACCAAACTGCGGGAGGCAGTGGAGGACAGGAGTGCCTGGCGTGCTCTAGTCCATGGGGTCATGAACAGTCGGACACGACTAAATGACTAAACAACAACAACAATTTCAATCAATTTGTTTTTATATCGGTTGCTAGCCGCCCTGAGCCCGGTCTTGGCTGAGGAGGGTGGGGTATAAATAAAATTTATTATTATTAGAAGAAGAAGATAAAAGTGATATCAAGGTTGTGGGTTCAAAAGATTCCTGCATTGCAGGGAGTTGAACTAGTTGACCCTTGTGAGCCCTTGCAACTCTGCAATTCTATGATTCTATAAATGTAATAAATATTATTATTATTAATTGAATTTATATACCGCCCTATACCCAGATGTCTCAGGCCGGTTCACAGAATAAAATCAAGATATAAAACCACAAAATACATAATAAAAATAAAAACAACAACCCAATAGCCCCCCTTAAAAAAGCACATTTTAAAGGGGCGTAGGATGTAAATCAGATCCACCAAAGGCCTGGTTAAAAAAGAAAGTTTTCGCCTGCCGCCTAAAGGTGTATAATGGAGGCGCCAGGCAAACTTCCCTGGGGAGAGCATTCCACAGACGGGGAGCCACTGCAGAGAAGGCCCCGTTCTCACGTTGCCACCCTCCGGATCTCGTTAAATAAATATAAATAATAGTCCTAAGGCTGCATTTTGTACCAGGCAATAAACCTATGCCAGCACAATGATGTACAGTACTTAAACAAGATTCCTTGAGGGAGCAAAGAAGAGGTTTAAGCAATTTGTGGCTCTCACCCACTGATGTCTACGAAGACATGAGATGCTGCTTTTGTACCCAGGACCTCCCCTTCACAGAACTACAATTCCCACAATCCCATGGGAAGAGGGAATAGCTGTTAAACCACTTAGTGTTCTGGATATGCTTGCCATGCACAGTCCCAAGAATTCTTCCAGCAAAAAGCCTCTAATCCATCTAAGAGTGAGATCTAATCTCCTCAAGTGGAGCCTCACCTATTCAATGCAGGATTCTGCCTCAAAAGCAATTTCACTTGATCCGCCACTTCGTCTATCAGGTATGCAGTTTTGGTTGCACTTGTTTAAAAGAATTCTGTGCCCTAAACAGGGTGGATTTGATTTAAATCGAATCGATTTAAAACACGATTTAAAACGCTAGTCAGTAAGACTTGATTTAAATCGTTATTTTTTTACAGAAAGACTCATTCTTGCTGGTATAATCTTAATATTTACAACCAGATGAAGGTGTCATTTCTGGAATAATAAATTTTCAGGGTAGTTTTTACAGTTATATCAAAAATTACTGATTTGATTATACTCTTAGAAATACATAGAGAGATGATTATGAAATTATTGTGGGGTTTAATAAGTTAACTGTTTATATTTGGACAACTTTTCTGCAACAACTTTTCTGCTGCACCTTATTGGAAGGAGAAAAATGATCATTTCCAGAAGAACAATTTAAACAATTTATTTAACTAAAACAGTAACATTATAGCATACGTATCCATGTTTGTTAACTAATGTGGTTAAACAAAAACAAAAAAAAATGTAGACTGAGTTTTAGCACACATGAAAAACTTATTTCCTGATGAATAGCCTCTGGACTATAATGTAATTTAAATAGAAAACGATATTTAGGCAGATTTTTCCTCCAAAAGCATTTTATTTTAAAAATCCAATTTAAATTTTAAAAAATCTGATTTAAATTTTTTAAAATCTGATTTTTTTAAAAAAAAAATTAATCATTTTTAAAATCATTTATTCACCCTGACCCTAAACCAACTCTCAGGGCAGAAGTGGACAACAGTTAGGTTTCAGAAGCTCAAGACAAGCCTAGACAACCTGCCATACAGGATCTCTGCTGAATCAGAACCAGTCAATCTAGTCCAGCACCGTTTTGCCTCCAAGATGGCCACAAGCAAAGCATCAAGGTAACAACCTTCAACTGTTACTTGCCCCCAAAATCTGCTTTGAACGCAGATTCTCTTTAGCCTCCATGACCAATACCTCTTGACACACCTAATCGTCTATGAACTTGCCCAGTATTTTGTTTTTAACAATCTAAGCTAGCGGCTGTCAGCACTACTTTAAATAAAGCAGTTTTTGTCTGTACTTGGGGAACAAAATGGGGTGTAAAGGGTGGGGTAGTCCCTCTATTGGGGGAATTTGACCACCTTTGGTCACCACCATGCACTCGGATCTCACCTGTGGCTCCTGGAAGCTGCCCCCATGTGACAGCGGCCACATTCCTGGAACGGCTTTGATTGGTCGGCTAAACCAGGTGATGGTAGCCGATGGGTCTCAAGCTCTTGGTGAGTTACGAACTTCCCCTGTGTGCAAAGACAGCGGACTGAGCGGACAAGACCAAGAGTTGGTCCAATGGTCAAGAAGATGGTTTCAGCACATGTTGCAGCGGGAAATGAGGGGCAGCTGGGGCTTATCCACCTTGGAAGGTAGCCCATCTGGGAGAAGGAAAACTCTAATCCTAAATCTCCGCTGCTTTGTGAGATATCTTTGGGAGAAGAAAATGCTAGCAGATCTGGAGTGGAGTCCCTAAGACAGTTGGATAGCGACTTGTATGCCTACTTCTGGCAACTCCTGCAACCAAGGTAAAGTAAAGGTAAAGGGACCCCTGACCATTAGGTCCAGTCGTGACCGACTCTGGGGTTGCGGCGCTCATCTTGCTTTATTGGCCGAGGGAGCCGGCGTACAGCTTCTGGGTCATGTGGCCAGCATGACTAAGCCGCTTCTGGTGAAACAGAGCAGCGCACAGAAACTCATTTACCTTCCCGCTGGAGCGGTACCTATTTATCTACTTTCACTGGTGTGCTTTCAAACTGCTAGGTTGGCAGGAGCAGGGACCGAGCAACGGGAGCTCACCCCGTCGCGGGGATTTGAACCGCTGACCTTCTGATCAGCAAGTCCTAGGCTCTGTGGTTACAATAAGTGAGTACATCCATGTCACAATATTCTTCATTATCCTTCTACATTGTTTGACTTCCCCACACCTCCATGCGTTCCTTTTTACTCTTAGTTGTGCTACATAATAAATTATTATTATTATTATTATTATTATTATTTATACCCCACCCATCTGGCTGGGTTTTCCCAACCACTCTGGGCGGCTTCCAACAACTAAAATACAATAACCTATTAAACATTAAAAGCCTTAAAACCTAAACAGGGCAGCCTTCAGATGTCTTCTAAAAGTTTGGTAGTTAATTTTCTCTTTGACATCTGGTCGGAGGGCGTTCCACAGGGCGGGTGCCACTACCGAGAAGGCCCTCTGCCTGGTTCCCTGTAACTTGGCTTCTCGCAGTGAGGGAACCGCCAGAAGGCCCTCAGCGCTGGACCTCAACGTCCAGGCTGAATGATGGGGGTGGAGACGCTCCTTCAGGTATACTGGACCGAGGCCATTTAGGGCTTTAAAGGTCAGCACCAACACTTTGAATTGTGCATGGAAATGTACTGAGAGCCAGTGTAGGTCCTTCAAGGTCTTTCATATCCTTCCACACCTTCTAATTCAGGCTTCCTCAACCTCGGCCCTCCAGATGTTTTTCAGACTACAATTCCCAGCATCCCTGACCACTGGTCCTGCTAGCTAGGGATCATGGGAGTTGTAGGCCCAAAACATCTGGAGGGTCAAGGTTGAGGAAGCCTGATCTAATTGATTTAGCTGCTGTTCATATGTCTTGCTTTGCTTTATTTTGAACCACATCAGTGAGGGCGCAGCCCAGGACCTCCACGCATACTGCCCAGGCTTGTGCCCTGGAGAGGTCACTTTGGTTTGACTTCACTCCCAGAGGTGCACTGCATTGTCTCTTGAGACAGACGATGACATCAAAGGAGAACAAAATGCCCCAGGGCATCTGCAGAATGTCATTAATACTATGCCAACAACAACTGTTAGACGTAAAGAAGCAAGACTCCCGAAGACCATAGCCTTCTCCTTTTTATTTATAAGTTAGTCTCAAGCACACCAAAGAGAGGTTTTATAAACTGTGTAAAACAGAAAAAGTAAGCTGGAGCTTTTTAAAAAAAAGATAAGGGTAAAGGACCCCTGGACAGTTAAGTCCAGTCAAAGGTGACTATGGGGTTGCGGTGCTCATCTCGCTTTCAGGCCGAGGGAGCCAGCGTTTGTCCACAGACAGCTTTCCAGGTCGTGTGGCCAGCAGGACTAAACAGCTTCTGGTACAACGGAACACCGTGACGGAAACCAGAGGGCACAGAAACGCCATTTACCTTCCCCACCACAGCGCTACCTATTTATCTACTTGCACTGGTGTGCTTTCAAACTGCTAGGTTGGCAGGAGCTGGGACCGAGCAACAGGAGCTCACTCCGTCGCGGGGATTCGAACCGCCGACCTTCCGATCAACAAGCCCAAGAGGCTCAGTGGTTTAGACCACAGCGCCACCCGCATCCCTGGAGTAGCGAACCTGTGGCACTCCAGATGTTCTTAGCTGGCCCCAGCCAACACAGCCAATGGTCTTGAATGATGGAAGCTGTGGTCCAAGGATGTCTGATTTCCCATCCCTGAGTTAAGGATGCAGTTGTTGATTCTGTTCATTATCCCAGCATCACTCTATGATTAGGCAGCATCTGTGCCTTTAAATGTGCAACTATCATAAGCTTAGAGGTGGTACCTCTGCCAATGTGGTGCTGTGGTTAGAGCATGGTGGGCAGGTTTTCGGGTTATGTGACCTAGTTTGCATTTCTGCTTAAACTACCAATATCTACCAATCAGAGCCAGCTGCAAAACCAAAAACGGGGAGGAGCCACTCCTCTACTGCATCCCAGAAGGCAGGCATAGGCAAACTCGGCCCGCCAGATGTTTTAGGACTACAACTCCCATCATCCCTAACTAACAGGACCAGTGGTCAGGGGTGATGGGAATTGTAGTCTCAAAACATCTGGAGGGCCAAGTTTGCCCATACCTGAAGGCATACAGCCAAATAACCTGTGTGTGTTAGTACGAATCGACTACAGAGTTACAACAGATCAGGGATTTGAGAACCAAACTCCCCAACAGGCCAGTGGAAGTGCAAAAAGAACTGGTCAAAGGCAGACCAACTTACATTCATAAAATTGCAGGAAGGAGAGGTACAGAAAGGTTGACAAGCAATTAGCACAAGGCTAAGCCACAGGTTTTTGTTTTCACTTGCCATTTCGCTTGGTGTTACAGTGCTACCTCGGGTTAAGAACTTAATTCGTTCTGGAGGTCCGTTCTTAACCTCAAACTTTTCTTAACCTGAGGTATCACTTTAGCTAATGGGGCCTTCTGCTGCCACTGCGCGATTTCTGTTCTCATCCTGAAGCAAAGTTCTTGACCCAAGGTACTATTTCTGGGTTAGCAGAGTCCGTAACCTGAAGCGTCTGTAACCTGAAGCGTCTGTAACCCGAGGTACCACTGTATTAAATTAATGGGAGTCGGAAACTCTTGCTGATCTACTGCCAAATGCCTAGAGATCTACTAGCAGATCTACCTGCTCCCAGTCCCTGGGTTAGACTGTCTGACTAGCATGACTAGGCCTGGTTTCAAATCCCCACTCAGCTGTGGAACAGCCCACTCGGAATGACCTTGACCCAATCTCTTTTTCTCTCAGCCTAACCTACCTCACAGGGTTGTTGTGAGGGGAAAAGTGGGCGGAGGAAGGAACAATGTAGGTCAGGGAGGACAGGTGGATTAAAGTCAAAATTAAAATAAATTTAAAATGATTTCAGATGGGCCTGCCACAGAGACTAGGGCTCCTTAGGTTATAAGGCTGCACATCTTGGCCCTGCACCGAAAACACTTTTGAAAATCTACGTTCCACACAGAGATCTCAGGCATCAAAACACTTTTGCACACTATTCCTGAGTCTTTCCTGCAGCACCTAGAAATGCAAATATTAATATTAGATTGCATGCTGTTTTTTATCAAAGGAGAATGAAATCACGCTTGGAATGTGAAACATCAGGGTCACCAGATAAACTGAGGGAAAGAACACGCAAGCAGTCTACAAATTATGTGGATGCTAGAGTAAGCAGAGGCAGATATCAAACAATATTTGCACGTTTGTGTGCGCACACAAAAAAAAATTCCTTCATACTTCAGCCCCTTGTGAGTTCATTCAGAACTGCTTGCTGTATTCCACGGAGTTAACTTCCTCTTGGTGTGTGCAGAGTTGCAGTCTCAGTGACAGAAATGCTCTCTGGGCACTGGGCATATTTTCAATTTCACGCTCAAAAATCCTGGCTTCCTCCTCCTTTTGCATTAGGAAGCTGCGCAGAGCGAATGAAGAAACTGCCAGCTCGTTTGCTAAAACATCTCCGTGGCCGTTGCGAAACCTTTTGCCTCCTGGCCTGAAGTCTCCCTTCTCAGCAGTTGCTTCAGCCAAGGCATGCGTGCGCTTGCCTCTCATCAGTTAAGGGCGGCTTTTAATCGAATCGCTTCTTCCCATTTTGCAGGCGGAGAAGCTGAGGCCACCCTACAGAGGCTTGCACTCGCGTAGAAAGGAAGGCTGTGGATACTTTGCGCGCTTGATCGCCATCCCCACGAAAGCACGTGAGAACAGCATCACGTGCTGGGATGCACCTGGGATAGCTCAGTGGTTAGCGCATGAGACTTAGGGTCGTGGGTTCGACCCCCACGTTGGGCAAAAGATTCCTGCAGTAAAGGGAGGTTGCAATAGATGACTTCGCGGTCCCTCCCAACTCTACAAATTAGCTCCATAATGACAGGCTCCTTACTTTTCTCTGGTCCCTAGAGAGGTAAATAACATGCAACTTCAATGCCCCCCCATCCTTGATCCACGCAAAGAAACACAACAAATCAAAGCTCCATAATACCCAAGGCATGAGAGCCTATCCCGTTTGCAACTGCCCAGGCGACCCAAACATCTCCTCTAGCCCGTGCCAATCGCAATCTGACCAGCTGTTTGCAAAAATAACTGACAGAACCGCAGAATTCGTGTTTCGTTTTTGTATTCCTTCCTCTCAGGTTATTTTTAAGGGACCGTGCGATGCGCTTCCTTATTTCCTTCCCGTCCCAGCTTCTTGCGAACGAACCACCCCTAACCCAACCCAACCCAAACCTCAGTAAGGAAGCCCCGTGCGCCCCCGCGCGCCTCCTTCCTCTCCAAAGTCGCCCTACTTACAGTTGCAGCGCCGTCTTGGAGCGCTCGGGGATCCTCCGGTGGCGCGCAGATCTCCGCTTTGCGAGCCGCGCGCACACGCATGCACTGCGTCTCTGTGTCTCTCTTTTTCTTTTGAGGTCTCTCTCCTCCCCTTCTCAGGCGGGCTGCCCGGGAAGAATTGCCATTCGCGAGCCGAGCGGGGGCGGGCGGAGTCCCCGGCCAAGTCAGCTGGCCGCTGCCTCCAACTTTAAGGCGGCGCGAGAAGGCGCTGAGGCTGCGGAGAGGAGAAGCCCCGGCAGCCCGGCTTTGGGCTTCTGAAAAAGACAAAGGAAACCCTTCTTAAAACGGGGGGGGGGGGGCTAGCTCCCTTCTCTTTACATTCACACTCGCGCAAACACATCTAATCTTAAAATATCCTTGACTTCCTCCTTTCCATGGTTCATTTTGCATAACATAAATCCCTGCATATTTTATATAAACCAAACCATTCAGTATTATTCCATTATTACATCCATCAAAACTTATTCACACTGTTGAATTTATCTTAATGCTGCCAATGTTTACGCTTCATTCATTATCATCCTTTCTCCAGGCTCACTTTCACAGGAGCCAACTCCTAGGGGCCGAGGTCCCTTTGCCCCCCAAAAAAAATATTTGAGGGGGCCGAGAACCCCCAAAGTTGATGGACATTGCCATTCAAATAGTGTGCATGTGCTGCGTCATGCAATTCATTACACCAGCTTGGACTTAACAGCCCCCCAATATTTTATTCAAATTGGCCCCCCTGCTCACCTGAACCTCTAAGCTGCCACTCAAATAAAGCTGATGAATGAATGTACTGTATTTTCTTTTCTGTTTATAGATTTTCTGTGTTGCTGTTTCCCGCCCCCTCTTTTCTGTCTTTTTTGTTTTGTTTATTGCTTTTATTAAAGATTTTCTTGGGTTACAAAAGCACATACGTTGTCTTTGTTTTCATATTACAAGAGTCCTTTTTACAGATCAGTTACATGCAACATAAGACTTTAATGTTATATACAGTGATACCTCGGGTTAAGTACTTAATTTGTTCCGGAGGTCCGTTCTTAACCTGAAACTGTTCTTAACCTGAAGCACCACTTTAGCTAATGGGGCCTCCTGCTGCTGCTGTGCCGCCACCGCGCAATATCTGTTCTCATCCTGAAGCAAATTTCTTAACCCGAGGTACTATTTCTGGGTTAGCAGAGTCTGTAACCTGAAGCGTCTGTAACCCGAGGTACCACTGTATAGTGTAAAGCTGGGGAGAAGAGAGGTGGGGAGAGAGAGAAGGACGTAAACTTTCATTCTTTTACATAGTGTGTGTGCGAGGTTTGGGTGTCAGCTTCCTGTGGGTAGGTTCTCTTTTATACATTTATTTTTGTTGACACTTGGCACTTGGGTCCACTGGTCAAGAAGGCAGTTTCTACATGCACTCTGGAGGGAAGTGAGGGGCAGGTGGGGCTTGTCAAGCTGCAAAGGTAGCCCATCTAGGAGAAGAGAAACTCTACTGTCCTGCTATGTGAGAAAGGCTTTGGGAGTAAACCTGAAGGAAAAATCTGTACCCGCAGCCTTACGGGATATCTTTGGGGGAGGAAAAGGCTAAGGAGTAAACCCGACACAAATCCCGAGTGGAGTCCCTAAGCTGCTGCCAAACGCCTTGCTCTGCTTTCCTTTGGCCCACATCAACAAGGCCAAGAGGGGCATCTTGTCGTTTGCGTAGCCCTGGACCTCCATACATACTGCTCAAGAGGGGACGCGGGTGGCACTGTGCTCTAAACCACTGAGTCTCTTGGGCTTGCCGATCAGAAGGCCGGTGGTTCGAATCCCCAAGACAGGGTGAGCTCCCATTGCTCTGTCCCAGCTCCTGCCAACCTAGCAGTTCGAAAGCACACCAGCGCAAGTAGATAAATAGGTATTGGTGCGGCGGGATAGTAAACGGCGTTTCTGTGCGTTCTGGTTTCCATCACGGTGTTCTGTTGCGCCAGAAGCAGTTTAGTCCTGCTGGCCACATGACCCAGAAAGCTATCTGCGGACAAACACCGGCTCCCTTGGTCTGAAAGAGAGATGAGCACCACAACCCCATAGTTGTCTTTGGCTGGACTTAACCATCCAGGGGTCCTTTACATACTGCTCAGGCATGTGCCCTGGAGAAATCACTTTGGTGCTGCTAACACAGCAAAAACAAAACGGAAGCAGCAATTATGAGTTACCGGTCCATGCAGCTACCGTCTAAGGTGGCAGGATCCACAAGGGCAGAAGATCCCAGTGGAAATCTTTATTCCTGCCATTAGTCCTCTCTTGCTCTGATGTAGATCTTCACTCACCACAATGGTCTATTTGATGCGCGCTTTATTTCTTTTTGCCTTAAACTTGTTTTTATTTTATTTTTTGCTATGTGAACGTTTGTTTTCATATTGTTGTAGACTGCTGTGATATAGTTCTATGATACATAATGCTTTTGAATTATGGTGCTGGAGGAGACTCTTGAGAGTCCCATAGACTGCAAGAAGATCAAACTTCTCCATTCTTAAGAAAATCAGCCCTGAGTGCTCACTGGAAGGACAGATCCTGAAGCTGAGGCTCCAATGCTTTGGCCACCTCATGAGAAGAGAAGACTCCCTGGAAAAGACCCTGATGTTGGGAAAGATGGAGGGCACAAGGAGAAGGGGACAACAGAGGACGAGATGGTTGGATGGTGTTCTCGAGGCTACCAGCATGGGTTTGACCAGACTGCGGGAGGCAGTGGAGGACAGGGGTGCCTGGCGTGCTCTGGTCCATGGGTCACAAAGAGTCGGACACGACTAAACAACAAAACAACAACATATTACCAAAGTCTGCCCCTGTAGGGAGGGAGGCAGGGTAATCCACATTTTAGGGTGCTTCAGTTAGCGCCCCAAAGAGGTACTAGACAGGCCTGCTTGGGTTTAGCTAGTGGTTTCTTTTTTCTCCCTAGAAACAGAGCTGTCACCTGACTCTAAAATCCTTGCTGCTTAAATGTCGTAGGTTGAGATCAAACTTGCTGGAGAATCAAGCTGAATGCCAACTATTCTTGGCAGGAGGACACCCTAGGCTGAACGCAAACACGACCTTCTGATGCCATCTGTGATGTTACAGTCAGGATCAGCCCAAAGGAAGAAATAGGTAACAGTCACACCTAGGTTTCATACTGTGAAGATGCATCTTTGTGACAATTATTTTGGGGGCTATATTGTCTACTTTTCTCATAGGCGGATTATTTTGGAATGATTTACTTAAGAGGTACTCATGATTCTTTTCTGTGTGTGTTTGTGTGTGCGTTTTAAGGAACCTGCAGCGCTATCTGCATGTGGGTGGCCTTCACATCGAAGATTGTGCTTGTGCTATTTTGTACGTACCTCTCTGTATGTGAGTACAAAATGAAAGAGGCTGTCTCTAGAAATTGCCTGAAAAGGAGGTGTCTGTGATGTTATGTAGAGAACCAAAGCTGCATTCGCTGAAATCAGAGCTCAATTAAACAAGTAACCTTTTTTGGAAGGAAATATCCTCCTGGCAATATAACATTGTCTTTCTGAACCCTTTCCATCCTTACACAATGGCCATTGTAGCCTGAAAGTTTTGAGTTTATGAAAATGTGAAACTAATGGTGCAGGTACCCCTGTGGTAACATCTGGGGGGGGGGAATAACTAGAAGTTCTTCAGTAGTAGGAATGCAAATGCAAAATTTAATTACCCTGCTCAACAAGAAGTAGTCACAAAGGTGGCCTTTAGTTTGTGGTTTTCTGTCATTTGCTGTTGGACTAACTTAGCTCTTTCTTTCTCACTAGACTCACAGATCGGTTTCTGTCATCTGTGAAATTTGTGGGCAGATAACATCAACTTCCTGTCCTAAATCTGCCATTCTGCAAGCCATGAGCATCAGAAAACCATCACATGCCCTAAAGACTGTTTGCATCTCTCTGCAGGACTTTTGTTTGGGTATAATTCTTTTCAAAAATGTCATTCCATATGAAATGGTCTCTTACATACTGGATGGAGTTTTTGAAAGACTTGTGTAAAACTTACAAATATTATTAAGACAACATCATTTCTGTCAATATTTTAGCCTGCCATAAATATTCTTGTTTGGAAGGGTACCGTTTAATTCCAGGGTACAGAATTTAATTGGGGCGCTATTATTTTGTTTCTCCACCTGTTGCAGACCCTGGATTAATTCCCAGTCTTCCATGGCCTACTTTGTGGCAATAGATCAATAGCAAAGGCAGGAGGCCTGAGAGGCACAGAACCCCCATCTTCCTTAAGGGCCTGACCAGATTTTGTGGTGGTGTCAAGTGAAGAAAAAGTGTGCAGAAAAGAGAGCGGAAAACCCAACTGCAGGCACTAACATAAAAAGAATTTATCTAAATTTTCTAGTGAGAAAGTGAGAATAATCCCTATTGGTTGACAGGATTGTGATGATGTCACCAGGAAATTTAGATTAATTCTCTTTATGTTAGTGTTTTGAAACAATTGCATGGCATCATAGTGTCAGCTGCATTTATACTGACTAAAATTTTATTTTAAAATTAAGCTAGAGCAAAACACATACGCATTCAGCTTCCTCCACGTTTGAAATATATTCTATAACTTCCCTGATTTGAACTGAAACTTTCATATGCACATTTTACACATTGCTATGGGCAGAGATTTCATTCATCAAAGCCTGGGTTGCTGAATACCACCACTTGGGCCCCAGTGTTGTATAAATTTCTCCAGCTGATGCCGGTTGCAGTTTCTATTACTGGATATTTACTTCAATGAATTGTATGAATAACCTTGTATGACATTTGGTAGCCTCTTAGCGCTTTATTAATTGCAACACAGGTCATTAGTTTTCAAAATACTGTTTGGCTTTCCTGATGCATGTATTACAGTTAAAGAATAACAGCACACTTATTTTACTTCCTAAAAAGATGCATTTTAAATTAAAATGACCAGAAGCATGTTTTCCCCTTAGAGCATGCACCATTGCCTAGATCAAGACACTCTTCACAATGCCTGCACAACATGTGGCAAACCATGCCAGATGCAGGCCACAAATATTGTTACAAGTTTGTGGGGCGGCAAGACTCCCCTAAAACATCTGGATTTGGCAAAGGGTTCGAATTTAAGCAAACCCCTAAGTTCCCTGTTCTAGTGGGGGCTAGAGTTTAAACCAGTTTTTCCATATCCAGGGAACGGCCTGGCAGATGATCAACAAATCACCGGATTGGCCGAGCCATTAACTCATTAAAAAGGCCATTAACAGAGACTCTCTGGGCCAAACAGAAAATGGGGAAAGCCCCTCTGTTTTATGCTGCAGAGAGAGCGCTGCTTGGAGTCTCTTGGAATCCGAGGCTGCAGCAGTGGGAGGAACAGGATCCTTTGGGGACATCGCCACTGAGATGCAGGTTAAATATATTTGTAAATAAACCATATATCATAAAGACGCCACAGACTCTGCTGCGTCTCATTGTTCCAAAAGAAAACACAGACCCTGGTACCCCTGAAATCTTGCACTTCTCGGAGATGGTGTGTAACAATAATAATAAAGGTAAAGTACCCCTGGATGGTTAAGTCCAGTCAAAGGCGACTATGGGGTTGTGGCGCTCATCTTGCTTTCAGGTCAAGGGAGCCGAAGTTTGTCTGCAGACAGCTTTCCAGGTCGTGTGGCCAGCATGACTTAACAGCTTCTGGTGCAACCAGATACCGTGATGGAAACCAGAGTGCATGGAAATGTCGTTTACCTTCCCACCACAGTGGTACCTATTTATCTACTTGCACTGGTGTGCTTTCAATTGCAAGGTTGGCAGGAGCTGGGACAGAGCAACAGGAGCTTACCCTGTCGCGGGGATTTGAACCGCCAACCTTCTGATTGGCAAGCCCAAGAGGCTCAGTGGTTTAGACCACAGCGCCACCTGCGTCCCTGGCATGTAACAATATATTGTGGGCTGCCCAGTTGACAACAGCCCCCCCACCTCCGTTTCCATTTTTATAGTCTCAAGCAGACAGCAAAACCTATAGACTGAGTCCCCTGGTGAGCTGCAGGTAGTCTGCTTTTGGCTTCATGAGTTGCTAGTTCAACAAGTCTGCATTGCATCACATTTAAGGGCAAGGTTGCCAGCCAAATTGTTTTGGCCAATCCAGCCACCGCTATTTATGGAATGATAGAATCACATCAAGTCTAACCCCCTGCAATCTCACCAAAAGCATCCAGGACAGATGGCCTTCCTACCTCTGCTCAAAAACCTCCATTGATGGAGAGTCCACCATCTCCAGGGGGAGTTCGTTCCTCTGTTGGACAGTTCTTACTGTCAAAAAATTCTTCCAGATGTTTACATCGAGGCGTGTAACAATATATTGTGGCCTGCCAATATATTCTGAAATAGGAGCAGTGCTTTTTTCGGGGGGGGGGATGCAGGGGTACACATACCCCTAAACAATTTGTGAATCTAAGTTTGGCTTTAGTATTTAAATATGAGTAGGAAAATGAGAGTACCCCTAAATATTTTTTTTAAAGCACTGAATAAGAGGCTCATGTTTCCATTTTCCTGATTCCCATTAAACCCAATTAGTGATGTCAGATTCGTTGCACAAACAGAAATAAGAAGTTAGTATCAGCACCCTCAAAGGAATACAATACGTATTTTAAAATAAACCAAGAGGACAAATATCCTTATGAGAACTGAGTACTGTGAGTAGATCAGGAATTTATCATTTGAGTTCCTTGAGAACTCTCAGAGCCCTCTGCGCCCATCAATTTTTCAGTTTTTATTTTGTCTGTTAGGCTTAGAACGTCATCTCTCATCACCCCTATCTGCCTCAGTTCCTCAAACTCCCTCCCTGCAAAAGTTCATTCACGCACTGAGCTCTGCTCAATATTTTCCATTGTGGAGACAGATGCAAATAATTGATTCAGCTGATCTGCAGCATGGAAGCTGACCTGTGCTTTTTGGCTTGGATTGTGTTTTTGAGTGATCTGTTCCGCACATCTTTTGAGTTCCCCTTCCCAGGGCTGCTGACAGCTCTTTGCACTAGGTTTGACCTCGCTTTCCCTTTCAGACTATGTCCCTCTGAACTACCATAACAGCACAGAGAATGCTATTCATGCTCCTGCAAACTGCCCATTGTCAGCTGTGGCTCTGCTCACCATCAACTTCAGCTCCCAATTTGACCCCCCCTTCTCTCTCTTTCTTTCTTTCTTTCTTTCTTCCTTTCTTTTTAAAAATATTTTTATTAGCAATTTCATTTCCCCCCGCAATAATATTTATTGAATTTCATACAGACACATTACTTCAATAAAACAGAAATAAGAAAAATAATAGCAAAAGAAAAAAGTGAAATAATACAAACCTAACAAACCTAACAGCGTGGGTGGCGCTGTGGGTTAAACCACAGAGCCTAGGACTTGCTGATCAGAAGGTTGGCAGTTCGAATCCCCATGACGGGGTGAGCTCCCATTGCTCGGTCCCTGCTCCTGCCAACCTAGCAGTTTGAAAGCACGTCAAAGTGCAAATAGATAAATAGGTACTGCTCCAACAAGAAGGTAAATGCCGTTTCCGTGTGTTGCTCTGGTTCGCCAGAAGCGGCTTAGTCATGCTGGCCACATGACCCGGAAGCTGTACGCCGGCTCCCTTGGCCTATACAGCGGGATGAGCACCGCAACCCCAGAGTCGGTCACGATTGGACCTAATGGTCAGGGGTCCCTTTACCTTTACCTTTAACAAATATTAACTAAGAATATGACCGCATACACAAATACAATAAAACTTAATTATTTAGTTAAACTTCCAACTTCAATTTCAACATAACAACTTATCAACACATATCATATTCATTATTTTCCCCCTTTTTCCCCACCCTCCTCAAACCCTCCCCCTCTCCCCCAGAGACTTCTCTCAGCTCCTCTCTCTGATTTCTCAACACATATTATTCTCTGCATGTTATAAAATTATGCAAATCCTTACATTATCTATCTACCATGTTATCAATCAATAAATTTGTGTGTGTTTATTCAAAACCTGCCAAGGAGTCCAATTCATTTTGTTGTGTTTTTAAATAATTTGTATAAAGTTCCCATTCTTCCTTGAAGTCACAGTTGTCCTTGTTTCGCAATTTGTATGTCAATTTAGTCAGTTCTGCATAATTCATCAATTTCTCTTGCCACTGTTCTTTTGTCGGGATTTCCTCATTCTTCCATCTTTGTGCTGTCAAGACTCTTGCCGCTGTTGTTGCATACATTCCCCCTTTCTCTTTCTATGTGTGTGTGTTCCCTACCTGTAAATATATCCAGCAGCCAAAATGTTTTATTTCAACAGATGATGAAGTGATTTCCTCTTTTTGTCTCAATTTCCTATCCAATTTAATTTTTTTTTTAAAAAAAATCTCTCTTGGAATGCAGTAAGTGTCCACAAAACCCTGAGGCAGATCCTTACACAAGCATCTTTTGCATATTAGGAAAAAAGGCAAAATACAAATAGGAAATATGGCTTTTGCTCTGTAAATTTTCAGCTAACACTGACAAGGGAGACAAAAAGGTCATAATGCCCCGAGGGTCTCATTTGCTCAGCATTTTAATCTCTGGACTAGCAAAAGCTAGAGAGGAAGGTTATATAAAATCCTTGCTTTCAGATAACACCGTTTTCAACTACTCAACCAGAGCAAAGTGCACTGAGATAACCACATGTGAGGAAAAACTAAAATGTTTCTGGACAAGGACGGCCTTGCCATCCTTTATCTCATTGCCACGGGCCTCCATCTAACTAACAGAAGCAATTTTTTTAGTTATTTATAAAATCATTTCTGTATTGCCCTTTCCCACAACGTCAGGGTGGTTTCCCACAACATAAAACCCCCCCAAAAAACTTTAAAAGCAATATGAAGCCATCATAAAAATGGCTAGCAACTGTTAACGGAGAAATCTGAGGGCTCCCTTGGACAAAAAACAAGGACATCAGCCAAGAATATAAGAGCAAAACAGCAGCCAGTAGGCTTGGTCTTTATTGAAGACTGTCATGACAGGACTCCCACCTGCCACAAGGTGAAACAAGATGGAAGTCTCAAACAAAAGAGAACCCAAACTTTTATTAGCTGCTAATCCCCATGTTTAAGGGACGTGGGTGGCGCTGTGGGTTAAACCACAGAGCCTAGGGCTTGCCGATCAGAAGGTTGGCCGAATCGGTCCCTGCTCCTGCCAACCTAGCAGTTTGAAAGCACGTCAAGTGCAAGTAGATAAATAGGTACCGCTCTGGCAGGAAGGTAAATGGCGTTTCCATGCGCTGCTCTGGTTCGCCAGAAGCGGCTTAGTCATGCTGGCCACATGATCCAGAAGCTCCCTTGGCCAATAAAGCAAGCTGAGCGCCGCAACCCCAAAGTCGGTCACGATGGTCAGGGGTCCCTTTACCTTTACCTTTAATCCCCATGTTACACCCCCCCAACTACATCACTAATACATCATGGTTACATCATGAAAGGGGAGGTCTGGTGGCAGTAATCTGAGCATGCTGGACGCTGCCCCATGGTTCCCTTTGCCCTCCACCAAACACCCATCAAGTGTAACAAAAGAGATATTTACATTTCCCTGTTTCCCAGCCAAGTTAATCCCACCCTTTTGTCTTCATCTTGCTTTGTTATTTCTGGAATGGCTGCCTGTCTGGCACTCAGGTACAGTGGTGCCCCACAAGACGAATGCCTCGCAAGACGGAAAACTTGCTAGACAAAAGGGTTTTCCGTTTTTTGAGCTGCTTCGCAAGACGAATTTCCCTAAGGGCTTGCTTCGCAAGACGAAAACGTCTTGCAAGTTTGTTTCCTTTTTCTTAACACTGTTAATACAGTTGTGACTTGACTTTGAGGAGCAACTCATAGAACGCAAGTTTGTTTCCTTTTTCTTAACACCGTTAATACAGTTGTGACTTGACTTCGAGGAGCAACTCATAGAACGCAGTGTACATAGTAGCCTTTTTTGAGGTTTTTAAAGACTTTGGTGATTTTTGAAGCTTTTCCAAAACTTCTTTTGCAGCCATTTGGTAAGTTAAGCTTTTAAAACTTTTTTTGGGGGGGGTTGGATTTTGGGTTGGGGTGTTTGGAATTCAAGGACTTGGTGTTGGGGAGGGGTTTGCAAGAATCTGGAAGCTTGTTTTTTTCTGCATTTTTATGATTTTCTGTGACCATTGGGCCACTCTGCTGTTTTTTAAAAAAAATTCTGGATTTGAATTTCTGTGTGCTGGGTGGCTGGGGGAACAGTTGGGGAGGGGTTTGCAAGAATCTGGAAGCTTGTGGGTTTTTTTTCTGCATTTTTATGATTTTCTGTGACCATTGGGCAACTCTGCTGTTTTTTTAAAAAAAATCTGGGTTTGAATTTTGAAATGCTCTTTACAGTATGTGTGACTTTAAAGAGCACTTAATAAACTCTTGTTGTACCAAATTTGGCTTTGTTTGGACTTTTTTTGACCA